CTTTAGGGTGAATCGTGTACCCCCAAAGTACACATTAAATTCCTGACCCCAGAACCTCAAGACATGACCTTGTTTAGAGACAGGGTCTTTACGGAGGTAATCATGTGAAAAGGGGGTCTTTAGCAGAGGCCCCCCATCTGGTAGGACTGGTGTCCTTATGGAAGGGGCAAATTTGGACACAGAGATAGACACGCACAGAGGGAGACCCTGTGAAGAGACGAGGGAGAAGATGGCCCCCTACATGCCCCAGCGAGGAGCCTGGAGCAGAGCCTTCCCTCGCGGCCCTCCCAGGGCAGCGGTGCCTTGATGGTGGGCTTCCAGCCTCCACCGCTGGGAAGCAGTCAGTTTCTGTGGTTTTAGCCTCTCAGCCTGTGGTACTCTGTTACAGCAGCCCCAGCAAACTGGTACAGTGTCCTGAGCAATATTTGGGACATGCTTACAGTACAAAAATTATTCATTGTTTATCAGAAATTCATATTCAACCCAATGTCCTCTGCTGGACCTCGCCCTCCTACAGAGGAGGTGAGTCTGCTCTGCGGAGTCCAAGGACAAAATGAGAACCACTACTGATCGGTGAGAAGTAGACCTCAGCGTGAGACGCTGTGGTCCTGACAACTGAAACTGTCACACAGTGTAACAGCCACCTGGGGAAGTCATGAGTTCCTTATGCCTGGAGGTGTGCAAGAACAGGCCTACCTGCAGCTGTAAATGGGCATCAGAATCCTCGTAAATGCGCCGGGCAAGCCCGTGGTTCTCCAGGGCCATGCTCTCCAGGAAGTTATAATTCAGATTGTTGCCAAAGCCCAGGTTATACAAGGGGAATTTGCCCCCAATGGCGTTTCGCACGTTCTCTTGGATTTTCTCCGGTCTGCTCTCCCCTGCAGGGGAAGGGGGTGCTCACGCTGCAGCCCCGCCCTGGCGGCTCTCTGGACCAGCCCCGTCTGAAGCTAGCTGACCTCTGCATGTGCAGAGCTGCCAGGGTCACGGCCACGGCCCTTGTCAGGTCAGAGTTGGGGGGGCCCAGCAAGAGGAGGCGGGGCCTTGCCCTTGAGGGACTCTGAGACTCGGGGGGCCCCTGGGAAGAGCTACCCAAGGCCTTGCAGGGAGCTGGCCACAGAGCAAAGCAGGGCTGCGGTTCAGAGCCATACCAGCCTGCCTCACCAACGTTGGCGTCCCCGTCCGTCAGCATGATGACGATGGAGGTGCTCCTCTCTGGGACTCTGCGCTCCTCCCGGGCCTTGTTCAGCATGCTGATGCCCCTCAGCAGCCCGTCGTTGATGTTGGTCACTGGCACACAGACAGACAGACAGCACCGTGGGGGTGCTCGGCGTGCCAGACGGGGGAGGCGGGGGCAGCCGGCCAAGTCCGCCTGCACACGGTGGGGCTCAGGCAGCGTCGGCCGGACGAGTCAGCAAGTGACGAACCAACGACTTACTCGTGCAAATGGGGCAAAAGGACTGTCGTGCTGGGGGTCCCAGGAGGGTGGAAGCACATGCGCATGGCGAAAGCGATTTGGACAAGGTCACGCGAACCCCCAGCCCCCTCACTGGGAAGAGAGGGAAGCAGGAGCCCAAAGATAAGGGTTCTCTGGGGCCTTGTTCTCTGGGACCTGGGGAGCACTGGGATCGTGGTTTGGTAACAGAAAGAATGGGTTTCCCTAGACCGCAGAGAAGATACCCCCCTATCAGCCTGGATCCCCAGCTCCCACCTCTGCCCAGTAGGGTCTGCAGGGCCCTGGCCAACAGGGTCCGCACCCCGAGCCGGGGGAACCCGCTGCAGCCCTTTGCTCTCACTTCCTTGGTCTTTGATACTCTTCACAAACGCCCTGGCTTCCTGGATGTTCTCCGGAGTGGCTCGGACTAAGCTGTCCTTCCACGTGGTGACGTGGCCACTGAACAGGATGAAATTCAGGTAGTCCTCCTCGCTCATGTCCTCCAGGATTCTGAGCAGGGCGTCCTTTGTCTGGGAGAGAAAAGGGCAAGGAGCTGGGAGAGGGGTGGTGGGGCGGTGCCATCCGCACAGCGGCGGGTGCTTTGTGCCTTTCTCATTCTCTTGTGCTGGAAATCCCGGCTCTGTCCATTTAAAATGCTGCTCCCTCCCACCCATCACCCCCACTTGCGCCGTGGGGATTACCTGCTCCATTTTCCGACCGTACATGGAGCCGCTGACATCAATCACGAAGACCACATTCTTAGGCACCACTGGAAGGCCTTGGGGTGCAAAGAAGTGCACAAAGTAGCCGTTGACTATCTGGAAAGCGGAGAGAGAGGTTGGAGGCCAGTGTCCCTTTAGCAACCTCACATTGGCTACTCTTGTGAGTGGAAGACATTGACCAGCCTCAGGGGGGCGGTGCCACGCAGAGGCTCTGGACTGCCTGCGGTCCCCACGCCCCGCAGGACACTCGGCCGCACCGGCCTGCTCCATCATGAAGGGGATCGCCTGGCCCGGCGGAGTCGGAGCCCACCAGCAGCTACCTGCACGTTGGCTGGAGACTCCCTGTTCACGTCGTAGGTGATGGTGAAGTCACCGTTGAGGAGGGAGTCTGTACAGGTAGGGCAGGACCGCTGCTGGTCCAAGCTGGGCTTGAAGGACACGTGGCCCTGAGGGAGGGTGGTGGAGGGCCTTACTCAGCCTGGCCGGGCCTGCCCACTGCAGACCTCAGCCCTCCTTAGGGGCAGGGCCTGGTCTGACCCAGCTTTCACCTCTCCCCGCTCCACTGGCCCCCCAGGTCCCTTAGCTCAGCCCACCTTGGAGCTCAGCACGGAGAAGCCACTTAGGGGAGGTTTGCACTAGGAAAGGGAGCTTCACGTTGGATGGTACCGCACAGGGTGGTGCCGGGAAGAGGGAGTGGGGCGAGGCCTCGGGTCAGGGGGCTGCCCTATAGAGGCCAGCAGTCCCGAGTCTGTGCTCCTCAGGCCCCGACGGAAGTCCTGAGTGACTGAGGTTTGCTGTTCATGTGAACATCTGTTCATTCCCTACACGACCAGCAGGCCCTGGAATACCAGAGACCTCAGGGAGAGGGCCAACCACCAGCACCAGGACCACAGTTCCCTCTTGTCCGTACCCCCTCGTGTGGAGTCAGTGCATCTACATGACTCCCTCTGGCCTCAGTGTCCTTTTTGTGAAACAGGTACAGTGACCTGCCTGGCTCACTTCCCAAGGCAGAATAGGACTGAGCTTTATGCATGGTCCCCACCCCGCCAGTGCCTCTGGGACCCCAGCTCTCTGGCAGGCCCTTGTCAGCAAGCAGCCCTCTGCGTCTAGCATCCTCACACCTGGCCAGGGAGAAAGGTGGTCATGGCAGAGGTCCCTCCCCATCACATGCACACGCACATACACCAGCCAAGCCCCAGGCCTCACCCTCGGCCTGCTGGGGCTGCCGTTCCTGTCCCCGCCCCCGGCCCAGAAGTATCGACACCACCTTTTTTCCTGAGAAGGACTTGGTGAGGGCGCTTCCCAGGAGGTCATTGGTGATGAATGAGGCCTCTGCGTCCAGGGAGCTGATGCCCTGGGGTTCGAAGATGTCTGCCTCGATCTGAAACAGTCGAGGTAAGGAGGTGTCACTCAGTGACAACACACAGGCGAACCCCCAGGGTAAGGCCCGGGGGAATGTGGCAGGTCAGGGTGGTGTGGGCACAGCCTCCAGGACAACTGGCACCCAGCCTGGTGTCCCCCACCAAGAACATGGCCACAAGAGAGGGGACTCTGACCCCAAGGCTCTCTCAGCCACCTGCCATGTGGCCCCCCAGATTCTGCCACGAAAGCATTTGCTTTGGTCCAGCTCTGATGGAGATACAATGCCCAGTTATAAGTATTACGGAGACACTATGTGGGGTGCCCCTGAGGGCCCAGCACCCACCCTACATCTGCCAGGTCCAGCCCAGTCTCTTCCCCAGGGCCCTGTTGCTGTGGCCAGAACCTCGAGGCTCCTGAGCCAAGTGCTGGGTGGACATTTCCCTTCCAGAGAAACACCCCAGCAGTTCTTTCTCAGTCCCAAAGAATGACCATAAGGCTTTTGGCCCCAAGGAGTCCCGTGTACCAGTTGTGGGAAACCTCCTTCCCCAGAGGCCCGCCTCTCTGCAGAGCGCCCCATCCCGTGGTGGTGGGAAGAGGGGACAGCCCCTGGGGAAGGCCTCAGAGCCTACCAGCTCCGTGTCTTCCACCAGCCTGGGGGCCCAGCACCTCCCGCCCCCTCAGTCTGTTCCGCACCGCCGGACACCCAGCTGAGGTCTGGGCTCTGCCCGGCCCTTGCTGCACCCCGTGGTCTCCTTGAGGCTGCAGGAGGGTCAATTACCTCAAAGTGCTTGACCAGTTGCTTGGGCTGGACCTTGAGGAACATCTCGTACTTGCCCTTGTGCCTCTTGAGCAGCTCCTCGTAGGTCAGCTCAAAGGTGACCTTGCTGCCCGCAGCCACGTTGACTGACACCGTGAATTTTTCCAGCTTCCTCCCGGAGGCCCTGAATGGGGGAGCAAGACAGTGCCTGCCTCACAGACTGCATGAGCCCACCCTTCCTGGGCCTCAGGTTTCCATCCCCACCCTGAACCTGGGATGCCTCCACTGCCACGTGGAATAATGTTGCAGTAATAAACGTGTATAGCACATTTTGCTATAATAGTAATAATAGCAATACTGATGGCAGCTGCTGCTGCTTCTGTTTGCATCTCTGAGGGTCCCTGCAGCCCCGATGTCCTCCCCACAGCCTGGGGGTCCACGCTTACTTGACCAAGCCAGCTGTCTTGCCCTGGGACACAGCCTTCTCATACTGCTTCTTGGCGACCTCCTTCTCCTTGACGTTCCCAGGGTAGGTGATGCCGTCAATGGTCCTGCAGGGGAAGAGCCAGAGGTTTGTGCTGGCCAGGCTCCGTCCCAAGCCCAGAGCCAGCAGCCATGGGGACACTCACAAGGTGAAGTTGGTGATGAAGGCTGTCTTGGGCAGCTCCACATCAAAAGACACCTCCTTGGAGGTGTCTGCACGATTGACAGCCCTCGTGGTGACAATATTGTGAGCAAAGCGGGAGGTCACCTTGCAACTGATCTTGGTACTGTAGACCTCAATGCCTTTGACCACCTGTGGGAGAAGGGCAGGGGTCACAGTAGTGACCAGCCGGCCTAGGAAACCAGGCCTTCCACCCGGCTGTTGTCCTTCCCAGCATGCTCTGCAGACTCCAGAGCCCCTGCCTGGTGAGCAGCCCTCCATCCTCCCTCACCCATGTTGGAAGCCTGGGTGGCCTCCTCCGAGGCGACTTCGTTCTGGCATGCTCAGGCCTTTCCAAGCCTCTCTCCCCCTTTCAGGGGGCCTGGCCTGATCCGGTCTTCACCTCTCCCCGTTCCCTGGGCCCCCAGGTTCCTTCACTCAGCCCACCTTAGAGCTCGGCACCCAGAAGCCACTTAGGAAGGGGAGCTTTGCACCAGGAAAAGGAGCTTCATATTTCAGCGTGTTGGTGCCCAGAGGAAAGGGAGGCGGGGAGAGCAGGCCGGGGGCCCCGCTCTGCCTCCGTAACCCCATAGCCTGTTTACAGGCAGCTGTAGCCAGTGAGATCTTGTAAAAAGCGCAGATCTGATGCTGCCCCTCCCCCATAACGCCCCCCACCGCATACCCTGTGCCCCCATCACCCTGAAGGCGGCCGTCCCTATGGCTCTGATGCCCTCCACACAGCTACTGCTACCTCTGCTCATCTGGGCTCTGGCCACACCAGGTCTCTGCAGTAGGGGCGTCTGGCCCGGCTCTTTCCGCTCCTTCACAACTTTGCTTGGGCAGAAATCCCATGCTTTGTGCCCCGGCCCAATTCCCTGGGCCTTGGGGAGTGTGTGTGGGGGGCTTCATGTCCCCATTCCCCTTTCCAGTGGGGGTGGTGGACAGAGGGAAGGCCCCAGGAGACAGCCCAGTGAAACCAGAACATTGAGAGGCTTCTGAGGGTGTGACAGGACCCCTCTACGCTGCACCCCAGCGCTGGGCGCAGGGCCTGGTGCCGGCAAGGCTTGGTAAGTGTTTGTGGAAGGAAAGCCTGGCCGGAGTGGTCTGCGGTGCTCTTCCCCGGCCTCTTGAGCCACGTGGGCGTCTGCCAGGGCAGGGGGCTGTGAACTGCTTGCCAGCTCTGAGGGACCTGCTGCTATGGCCCACCCCTTCAGCTGTTGGGCACCCAGCTCCATCCTGCCTGCCCCTCCCTGCCCCGTCCCTGGTGAAAGTTCTCACCCCTTCCGAGAGGCTCCGTTTCTGCAAAAACAAAGACAAACACAGGGGTCAGGCTGAGGCCAAGGCCACCACTGTCGGGGAGCAGGCTCTGGGCTGAGGCCAGGGCTCAGCAGTGACTCCACACACACACCTTGATGGGCTTCAGGCATAGGACCCACCCATAGTCACATGTCAGAGTAGGAGGGACTCGGGATACATAGGGAAACTGAGGCCAGAGGGGCCAGGTCTCCAGGCAGCCAGGGGAGCAGGGCAGGCATCAGCAGCTGGCGCTCTCTCCCTGGCCCCCACCCCCCAATTCACTGCCTTTTCCTGGGCCCCCGGCCCCTGAGCCCCCTCCCAGCACTCCCCACCAGGGTGCCCCAGGGCTTGACCTTCTTAGAGGCTCTGCCCTTGCTCAGACGCGGACCTTCACAGCCTCTCAGTGGGTGCGCAGTTTGTGGTGCGTCCCCCAAACGGCAGGTGGGGAAACCGGGGCCCAGGGAGATCTGAGAGCTTGCCTGGTCCCGGAGCCTGCTTCTCCCAGCACCTGGCCCTTCCGCTGCAGCTCCGGGCCCAGCCCTCTGCCTCCTCCTCACCCCGCGGAGAGGACTGCACACCCTCGGGCCTCTGCCCGTGTGACAGGCCCAGATGGGGAAGAGGGAGCAGACTTACCCCAAGTGACCTGGAGGGGCTTTTTTGGAAGCCAGAAGCCACCAAGCCAGAGGACAGGACCAAAAGGAGGCAGGGCCACTGAGCAGATGCCATCGCGAGCACACAGCCCTGGCCCGCACGCCATATATGAGTGAGCCCGGTGTTTTCCAAGTCCGGTCACTGACCTGCAGTGCGGGGGTGGGTGGAGCAGCTGGCCTTGGGTCTCCCTGAGCCAGGGGCCCCTCTGGGTATTGTCAACAGTGTTGGGACTTCACCCCTGGTGGCTGGGGAACACAGAGGGAAAAGCGGGAGCTGTGTGTCGGCAGATGGACCCCAGGACTCCCCAGGCAGGGGCGATGGTGACTGGCGCGGAGTCATGTTTAAAGCAAACGGCGTCTCAGATTGCGGCCTCTCCCGCACACCACTGGCATGGTCTGGATCACTGCCCCCCTTGTCAAGGAAGTGGGGGCACAGAAGCAGACCCCTCCCCTAAGGCTCAGACAGCCATGGCTCACAGCCCTTCCCTGGCTCCCGTGGCCTCAGGGCAAGGACAGCCCCCAGTCCTGTGGCCCAGCGCTCTGCGGCCTGCCTCCAGCTCTCTTTCCTGAACCCCCCTCCCACTGGCACGCCCTCCCATCTCTGCGCACCACTTCTCATCGCTGCCAGTCCCCGTGTCCATCCCCAGAAGTCTCCCTCTTCGCCCCCTAGCTGATCGCAGTCAGCCCTGCCCTGGCCCGAGCTCCCTGAGGGCTGCTCCGTCACCGTCTGCTGAGGTCTGCATGCCTGGGCCTGAGCAACCCGCCCTAAGCTCCGAGCTCCTGGAGGGCCAGGCCGTCTATCCATCCAGGCCCGTGTGGCCTCAGGGCCTGGCCAGGGACTCTGTTGTCCTGAGTCTCTTGGAAAGTCATTCCCCCAAAAGTCTCCAGTGAGGCTAGGGCTCTGGCCTCCAGGATAATGGGAACTTCAGAGGCAGGGTCTGTTCCCCTCCTAGTGGGGGCCAGGGCTCCCTACCCCAGGGCCCTGCCAGCCCCCAGACCTTCCGGAGTGGCTGCAGTGTGCCTGCCTCTCCCATGCTCTTCTGGGCATGGGGACCCAGTGACCTCTCCATTTGGCCACCCCCGAATGGAGCTGGGAGGATGCCGGGCACGGGCCGCGGGCCTTGCTGAGAGTGCTGCCGCTGACTTGGATGCCCTGGGAGCCGGTGAGAGGGCACGAGGAGGGAGAGGAGCAGGGAGCGGCAGGAGCCACGGAAGGCGCCACAGAAGGCGTGACGCAGAGTCACCACGTCAGCAGAACAATGATGGGCCAGCGAGGCAGCTGCCGGGGGCTCTGCCTGGGCTTGAGGCCTGGTGGGGTGCCTGGCCTGGGGGCCTCCTGCAGACTTACACGGCCCCCTCGGGGCTGAGCAGACTGCCCAGCAGGCGCTGACTGACGCTCTGAGTGGAGCGCAGGCCCCTCTTGAGCTTCCTGGCTCCCAGCCCACCTTGTTTGCGTGGCCATTCTCAGCACCTGTGGGTGCTGACCCCCGGGCAGCTTGCGGCTGTGCCAGAGCCGCTGCCCTGCCGTTGGTGCCCAGTGGCCCCTCATCACCGCCCCACTGCCTGGGGAGCCCCCCCACCCCTTTCCTCTAGGCCTCCACCTAATCCCCAAGGACTTGGAGTATGGGAGGAGCAACTCAAAATAGGGTTTCTGAGGCCGGTGAAGAGGCCCTTGGAGGGCAGCTGGGGGCGTGGACGGACCCAGAGGCATCTGCTGGATTTAGAATTAGATGGAATCTGAGATCTTCAAGTTCACCACATTTTGGCTTTATAGGCAGGAAAGAGAGGCCCCGGCTGGGCAGGGTGGTGTTCAGACTGACCAGCCAGCCGGCAGCCATGGCTCCACCTTGAGAAGCCCAGGACATGCCAGGGGCAGGCTGGTCTCTGAAACTCCGTTGGCTGCCCCCAGCCTGCCCCTGAGGTCCCTGTGTTCCCTGGGTCTGGGGCAGCCTGGAGCTCAGCAATTGTGTTACTGCTCTGGGCCCCAAGTGGGACCTGGACAGAAGCCAGCAGAGAATCGGCGGAATCCCCTGGAAAGGCGTGGTGGAGGCCCCTCAACCTCCACCTAGAGGGCCTGAGGCTCCTGTAGGTTCACTCCTACCCCCTGGGATGTCATCCTTGGGCCCCAAGGCAGGGCCAGGGGAGGAAGACCCCAAAAGGACTCCAGGAGCCAGGCGCCCTGAGACCACAGCTTCTGGGAGGTGGCTCTCTCTGCCTTCGGGAAACACCCTCCCGGCTCTCAGAGGGTGCGGACCTGCAGCTGGGCAGCTGAGCTGAGGGTGGAGGCCAGGGAAGTGCCCCTGGACACCTGACCCCTGACCCAGGTGCGGCCTCAGGTCCTGGGAGGGCTTCTTCAGGACCCCGGGTGGTATATGTGTCATGATGCTTTCACATGTTCATTTTAAGGGATGGTTTGGGAGATCTACAATCAGATCCCAGCAGCCCTTGGCCACCAGCTGCCCAGCCTGATGGGAATACTGACATGGGGTTGATCAAGCGCACAGTTGCTGACATCAGACAGCATGAGTTCAAATCCCAGCTCCACCACTTAGAAGATGAGTGATTTTGTACAATTTCCTAACCCCATTTCCTCAGCTGTCAATGGGCACAATACAAGTACCCCCAGGGCTGCTTGGGGCACACATTTAGTTAATCCAACTAAGGCGCTCAGTACCGGGCCTGGCTACAGGAGCTCTGAGTTGGCTACGGCTGCTGCTGGTCAGAGTGGCCTTTGGCCCCTGGACCTGCCGGTGGGAGGGCTGTGTGCCGGGGACACTCAAGGCACCCAGAGGGCATGGGGCCAGTCAGCTTCAGGGGTTGGGGGCAGAGTTGGTGTGGGCCAGCCTCCAGGTCAGCTGGGAGCCCAGAGCCCTTGGGTTGGGCCCCTGCCGACCTCCCTCCCAAAAAGCAGTCAGCCGGGGCTGGACATGGCCTCTTTAATGGAAGTCCCGGGGCCTGGGCTGCAGGGCTGCATGCTGCCCTCCGTTGCCAGGTGTGCTGGCTAGGGGCTCAGAAGATGTCAGGGACGATATAGTCTGTGTAAACCCCGTCGATCAGCCCGGCCCCATTGTTGTGGACGAACCAGCAGGCCACTTCAGCCCCGTGCCTGGGGTCCTTGCTGTAGTCTTTTTGCAAGCCCCTGGGGAGACAAGTCATCTGGGTCACCTTTTGGATCCCGCAGGGGCCCCCAACCCATGTGACACCTGGGGGAAGGCTGAGGGCAGAGGCGCGGGGAGAGCGGCCTGCCCACCTGGTGACTGTCAGCCGGTGGCTCTTCACCACCATTGTGGCATCTGTCTTTGTGCGGTCAGAGCTGGGATGCAGGTCAGACACTTTGTAATCAAAGGGGTGGAAGAATTGTCCTAGAAAGGTACATCAGAGGCTGCAGTTACTGGCAGGGTCCTGCTCCTGCGTCAGGTTCAGGAGACGCTCACTGGAGATTTAGAGTTGCTTGAAAAATCCCTTGCAAGGGCTTGACTATTTCTGATAGCCTTTGGCATGAAGTTTGGAGGGCAGGTGCCCCTAGACAGCAGGGTCTCCGGAAGGCTATGAGGAGGGCCAGGGTGGCCCATGACCCGCCCCACCCAGGAGATCTCTGGGAGCCCTCTGGGCCTTTCTGTTTGATAACTGGACCTTTGCCCGTTCACTCCCAGGCTCACTTGAGCTTTAGTTTTGCTGTGTTTGATGACAGCCTTTCTGACACCCTCACTGGAACAAGCCCTCTTTGGAGCTCTGAGCCTCGGAGGCCCTGTCAGGACCAGCTTCCGCACCCAGCTCCACAGCTCTGCCCTCCCAGCCAGCCGTACCCAGCAGCCCGTGCGTCCGTGGCGACATCCGGTGACTATCCAGCACGTAGAAGCCGAGGAAGTCCTGCTGAGCGGCATTCCCCTTCCACACCCGGTGCAGGACCACCTCGAAGGTGCCCCCATCCTCCAGGGACACTACCAGGTTCCTCTTCCTATTGATGGTCACCACCACCCTGCAGGGCCGGGGTCGTGAGGGCAGATGTGGCTGCACTGCCCCCTCTCCAGTCAGCTGTCCTTGTCTGCTGGGGCCTAGCTGCTCTGCCTGCCCCCTCACCCCCTGAAGGTCAGGTGTCACCTGCTCCTTCCCATATGCTGCTGTCATGTGAGGGGCCCTTCCAGTGTGCTGGACAGGCCCTGTGCCGAGCCCTCCATGCAGACAGCCTCATTCAGTTCTCACTCATCCTGGGAGGTCTGAGGCTCAGAGAGGCTGAGTAACTTGCTCCAGGGCACACGGCTGGTAAGTGGTGGAGCCGGGACTTGGACTCTAGCCTGTCTAATGTCAGAGCCCATGTTCTTTGACTCCCACTTATCATCTGTGTCCTCCATACTGGACTTTGCCCACCTCTTCCTATAGCTCTGCTGCTTGGCATCAGGCTCCGGTGCTTGGGAGAGTTTGTTGAATGAATGAATGAGGGAATGAAGGAACAAAGAGGAGACAAGCCATATTAAGACTGGTGCCATACTACGAAGCCCAGAGAACTATGGAGTTCAGCAGAGTAAGGGAGGAGGAAGGCTTCAAGGAGGAGGTGGCCTTTGTGCTGGGAGGATGAGTTAGCTTTGTTGGTGGAGATGGGGGTGGACTGCAGGGCGAGGATGCCCTGGAAGTGCAGGCCTCTAGGCAGCCAGGCCCGGAGCAGGTGGTGGGAACTGGGGCAAATGGGTGGGGTGGTCCATGGGGTCTGACACGTCTGCAGTCCCCACAGAGGCCGCACAGACATTACTCACACGACTCTGGGGGCGAGGGCCAGCAGGCTCCGGCGGCAGAGCTGGCTCTGGGGTTCTGCGCCTTGGCCTCACCGCACCCATCCCCGCCTCCCCCCAGGCCCTGGCACCAGCCCGGTTACTCGTCCTGCCGCAGCGAAGCCTGGTCCCTCCAGGAGAACACGGGCCCGCCCGAGCCGGGGTTCAGTGTAATGTTCTGAGGAGTCACTTCCAGCTGGAAGCCTGTTGTGGGGTTTGCGATCCCCAGACGCCCGAAGTAAGTGCCCTCCTGCTGCCCAGGCCTCCTGGCCTTGCTGCCGATGAGCTGCCCATTTATTGAAAAGCCTGATGTGGGGCAAAGGGCCATGGGATCAGGGAGGAGCCACCACCCCCCACCCCTTACAGCCTGCCCTTGCCCAGGCCCTGCCCCCGTCCTGGGAGATCCCCCACACCTACCCAGGCTGGGCTGTCTCTGAGGGTCTCACCTCCCACGGGGAGCCTCAGACTCGTGCAGGCCGCACAGGGCACTGCCTCCCTCTCTCCCCGACCCTGCTCACTGTCCGCTGCCCAACCCTGTTCTGGGCCCTGAAGGAGGCCTTGCCTCCCTGAGGACAGGACGTGGCCTGTGCCTTCTCTGTGGCCTGGTCCTGATGCGGGGGCAGGTCACCGTAGGTGCTGTGGACACGTTTGTGAGGCCTCCTCTGACCAGCACAGCCACAAAGCCCCTCACATGTCACCATCCCAGCACAGCACGTCTCGTGCTCTGAAATTGTCATCCGAGGGTCTGTCCTCCCCAAATCCCAGGGAAGGAGGGGCTTTGTCTGGGTTGCACTGCACCCCAGCCCCTAGCAGGTGCTCAGCAAATACACGCAGATGGCCTGACAGGACAGGGAGGGTGGGAGGAGCAGCCATCACCCACACTCCTGGGGTGATGGGCTCAGGCGCATGCAGCCATGCTGCGGGGAGGCGGGACTGCTGCATGATTCACAGGACTTGGCGCAGAATGAAAACAGAGGAGGTCACCACCATCCTGTCCATGGCTGACTGCCGAGGGCAGAGGAGCCCAGGCCTTCTGTGTGGCAGAAGGCGTGACATCACCCATACCTGTGTCAGGGTCCTGCACCAGGCTGAGGACCACACCAGGCTCCCCGTTGATATTGAAGCACAGGGTGTCCTCTTTCCGGGGCACGTGGATGATGAAGTGGGGGTCAGTGTCCACTGGGGGCATAACATGGAGTCCATTAGATGGGGCATGGGGTGGATCGGATGGGGCTGGCCGGGGCCAAGGGTCCCCCTGAGGACTCACCCCCGGTCACTTGGTTGGGCAACTGCTGGACGCTGGAGCTGGGCTGAGTTGGAGAGGGCTGCAAGGCTGAGAGCACAAAAGCTGGCCGGCGAGAAGGATTGGCATTTAGAGGGAAGGCGGCTGGGCCCCTCTTCCGAGACCCCTGCCATCCAGGCGGGCTGGCCCGAGGCCCAGGAGCAGGAGGGGACCCAGAGCCCTCAATGCCCATGGGGTGTGGGAGCAGCAGTTGGCCCAGTGCGTGGGCTGGCTCCCTGTCTATCTCCTTCCTCGGGGACCTGGTGGGGCTGGTGGCCTGGGGTGGGGGAGCCTGGCCCACGTCAGGGCGGCTATTCTGAGGATTCCCAGGGGCAGGAGGAGGAAGGAAGCCTTGGGCAGTCATTTCCTCATCAGGCAAGTGGATGATAAGCTAGGGGCTTCGCTCAGGCCCCAGTGTGCAGCCTGAGGGATGGCAGCGTGCAGGGCAGAGCAGCAGAGTGGGCGTCGTCACAGGGCCACCACTTACTCCTTCTATTTCCCAGCATCTCTGTAGAGGACAACAGAGGACACTGTCACCTTTGCCACCAGCATAAAAAGCATGGCCTCATTCCCCAGAGGCCCACCAGGCCCAGAGGTCCTGGGGGTCCCGGCCCACCCCCGGGGCTGGCCTCTTCACAGTCACACGCTCCCACGGAGGGCTGGATGGAGCTGTGGCCTGCGCAGGGCTGTGGCGAAGTGTGGAGAGGCATCTCAGGGAAGGAAGGACCAGGAGAGGCTGGACGTGGAGGTTGGGGGTGGTGGCGGAGGGTCTGGGTCTGGGGGCTGCAGTGTGTGTGGCCTGACCAGCCGCTGGAAGCCCCCCCACCACAAAAAACAATGATTCAAAAACTCACCTGAAGGCAGAGAATCTGGAAGGGAGAGAAATGGAAGAGAATTGAAGCCCAGGAGGTTTTTGGCCCTCAGAAGCCCCCTCTGCAGAGCACATACCTTCTGGGGGCTTGTCAATGAGGGGCTCCAGGCCGTCCTGGTCTGCCATGCCCCTGATGGTCATGGAGGTCAGTGGGGTCACGAACTGGTACGCCAGTGACATCTGCAGGGCCCTGGCTGACAGGTCGGCCTTTTCGTCCCCCATGGACTTCATCCTGTGACACAGAGCAGCTCCAAGACCCCAGCGAACAGGGCGCAAAGGACCTCATGATGTAGAGACTTCCCACAGAGAAAACCCGGTGATTTTAGACTTGGGGCAAGTGGTCTGACCTCTCTGAGCCTCAGTTTGCTGTTAAATGGGGATAACGAGGAGGCTCCCCTGCACGTTGGGAGGATGCACCGGGCGTCTGGACGCAGCGGCCCCACAGTGAGGGCAAATAGTGGGCTGCCCTGTGCCAGCACTGGGCCCTGCCAGCTCTGTTGATGGGCTGGTTGATATTAACTCTGCGAGCAAAGCTGAAAGACAGGGAGTTTGACCTGCTCGCAACCTTGAAGGCCCAGAGCCGCCCCTTTCCGTTCCCCTCATCAGTCTAGAGGCCTGGGCAGGGGTGCCCTGGAGTGGACAGTGTCTGCGTGGGGCAGTGTCGGGCTCCTACCGCTTGGCCAGCAGCTCCTGGATGGTGAGGTAGGCCCAGAGGCGCTCCACGTGGTTCTCCAGCATGTGGCCCCGCTCCTGAAGCAGCTTCTTCATCTCTTCCTCATCCACCAGGCAGCTGGTCTTGAACTCTTGGCCTTCCTGAGGGTTGCAGTGGGGACAGGGGCTGTGTTCCATGAGGAGCACAGAGGCTGGCTGGAACTAGAGGCTCCGAGGGCCACTGTATCTTGTCTCTGGGCGTCACACTCGGCCTCCCCGCTTCCTGGCACTGCACCTCTCATCCCCAGGCATCCACGAAAGCTTGCTGAGCACTCTCCGTGAGCCCCACTGGCCTAGGCCTAGGGATGCCATGGGTGGAAGGACCAGGCCCTGCCCTCTCTGGGAGCTGCTTTCACCAGGCAGGGGCTTTGTCCGTCCACCCGCCGCAGCACATGGGCATGCTTCTCTCGGCAGCTGTAATCATGGGGCATCGCTTCCCCAGGGCATCCTGCCCCAGGCACTGCATGTGCGCATGCACCACAGGGGCGCTCCATGTACCCCATAGGACTTCCCATCCATCTCCCTCCTGTGGTTCAGAGGAGAGAGACCTCAAGAGCTGGACCCATTTGCTCAAGGTCACCCCTCTGGTCAGTGTGGATGCAGCCCCAACCTCAGCCTTTCTCAAAGCCCGAGTTCTGAACCCTCAAACACACTCAGGGCCCAGGGCAGGGTCCAGGTCTCAGGCACACACACCCCGCACCAAGGCACCAGGCTGGATGCACGGCAGGTGCCAAGTGTGGAGGCAGAGGCTGGACTTTTGCTCTCAGGCCTTGGGGGGATGATGTGAGGAGCAGCAGGTGGTCCATTCGGACCAAGTGGCTGCAACTAATCAGGGCCACACAGCCCCATTCCAGCCTGTCCCTGGGATGCCTGCTTGGAGGGATGTTTGGGCCTGGGGTGTGTGTGGCATGCTGCAGGGGAGGGGGCACCACTCCGGGTTCAGACAGGCCCCGGGCAAGGGTGGGGAACAGTGTGGTCCAGTCAGGAGCCTCTGGGTGCTGCCCAGCCTTGCCACCCTCCGCAGCCCACCACTTACTCCACGGGCCTGCACGTCAGCCTTGAAACTGCTCAGTTTATGGTCAGCGATGCGCCCAGCCACCATGATCTCCGAGCCTTCGTAGTACTGTTTATGGCGGTTCTGGGTCACGGCTGAGACGCTGTCCCGGGGGTAGTGCAACTCCACATCCACCAGCAGCGGGTTGGCTACCTGGTTATAGAAACCCTGCGGGCGTGGGAGGCACAGCCTCAGAACTGATGGGTTCCCCTGGACACCCAGTGAGGAAACCTATTCACAGCGTGGCGTGTCAAGATCCCCACATTACAGAAGGAATCACAGGCTCATGCAGCCAATTCATACTCCATGCCAGAGCTTTCTCTGCTCCTCTAGGCTGATGGGCAAATGGCTACCAAGGCTGGGCTCCCCATGGCATGCTGTTGGTGATGCGGTGTGGGGGACCTGCAGCTGCTGGGTGGCGTCATGGTCCTCGTAGATCCTCTGGGCCCGTCCGTTGTTCTCCATGGACATGACCTCCAGGAAGTTGAAGTCCAGGTTGTGGCCAAAGCCCAAGTTGTAGAGCGGGAACCTGCCCCGGATGGTGTCGCGGGCATTCTTGAGGATTTGGGGACGGTCCGTCACCCCTGCAGCCACACACCAGGGCAGTGACAGGATACCGGCTCTCAGCAGCGGGGCCTGCCTCCTATCTCAGAACATCTCCAGTCCCCACCAGCATCCTGGGGCCATGCCTTCTCCTGGCTTACCCGGGCAACTGTAACAGCAGCTCGGGGCTCCTGGCAGGCCCCGCCCATCTATATGGCTCCAGCACAAGCAGCTCTGAACCCTCCCTTGGAGCCTTGCCGTGGCCTGAGAGGCCCCCATGCTCTTTCCACCCTGGCTTCACCTATTCTGCATATGCCTGTAGTGCCCAGGCACCCCTTCCAGACTGAGCTCAGGGTCACCTCCTCCAGGAGGCCTCTGGGACCCTGCCTGGGCCAGTCCCTTGTCTCCTGGCACCCTGTTCTTTCTGGACCCTCAACAGAGCATCTGCTCCTGGGCCCGCCTCCCCCGGTGGGCCTGGGCTCCTTAAGGGCAGACGTGCCTTGTTTTCTGTATCGCTTCTTGGCCCATAGGTAGTGCTGAATACATGGTTCGTTAAACTCAACCCCGGGATCCTGCCTATTCTCCCAGGCCCCGTGCAGCCTGTGTCATGCAGAAACCTCACCGGTTTCCCGACTCAGGACAGAAATATACCTTGGGGCTCCTCAGACTTACGGTGTTTACTCTGCTTTGACCCCAGTGCTTAACTTTGCCCTAAGCCTCTGCGGCGCCCCACCCCCACCCTGGGCCCCAGCCCCAGGGGTTGGGTCTCCAAGGCCAACCTGCCTGTCTTCCCCTTCACTCACCCTCTGTGGGCTCGCCGTCTGTCAGCATGATGAGCACTGAGGCGTGGTCCTTGAGTTCCGGGAGGCTCCCCTGAGCTTGGTTCAAGATCTCAATTCCCCGGAGCAAACCTCCGTTCAGGTTTGTGGCTGCACAGGAAAGAAAGCAGACCCGTGCATGCCCTCATTCCATGGGGACAGAAGCGACATCAGGTGGCCTGAGAGCCCTGCCCTTACCCCCAGCCAGATCGAAGCGCCGCACAAAGTCCTGGGCTGCTTGCACATTGGCGGCAGAGGCCGGCACCAGCGAGTCCCGCCATGATTGCACGTCAGACCCAAAGAGGACCAGGTTGAAGTAGTCGCCTGGCCGCATGTCCCCCAGGATTTTAAGGAGCGCCTCCTTGGTCTGTAAGAATAGGACAGCCACTGGAGGGACAGGCCCCCAGGACAGTGCCTCCCATCAGCTCCAGATACCCATTTCAGAGATCCACAGGTACGTGGTGGACAGGCAGGAGGGGAGGGACAGGGCAGCCACGTGGTGCCAGGCGAGGAGCATCCTGCAGGGTCCTGGAGGTGAGCGAGGGGACGGAGAAGGCAGAGGCGCCCAGCCTGGGAGAAGAAATGACCAGGAGCTGGAGTGGGCAGCATTTGGGCAGGAGACCACAGTGGGCTGAGTTCCTAAACCTCTGCTTGTCCGGCTGTGGCTGCACCGCACCCTGGACAGGCGCCCAGTGCTTGCTGGGCAGTGCCTGCTTCAAGTCACCTCCCCTCGACGGCCACAGTTACCCCTGGCACCTGCAGTGTGCAGGCTCTGTCACCCAAGCACTCCCCCAGGGAAAAGCCACCACCCTGTGGGCGCTGGTATCGTTCCTGCTTTGCCATTGAAGAGAAGTGAATGCCTTTGCCCACTGGTGCCCAGTGAGGAAGAGGCTGATTCCAGAGCCCTAACCACTGGATACCCTGCTGAGTCACCCTGCCTCTGACCGGGAGCAGAAATCCCACACCCAGACTCTGACAACAAAACCAGGGTGGGGCGGGGTGGGTGATGGGCCGAGGCAGCTTCTGCTGGTGACCTGTTTAAAGCCACAGTTTACCTGCTTCAGTTTCTGGCCTTCCATGGAGGTGCTGATATCAATCACAAAAACCACGTTCTTGTCCAGGTTTGTCAGGTTTTGGGGGGCAAAGAAGTGAGCAAAGTGGTTGCTGGCGACCTGAAACAGAGAGGAAGGGGTGAGGCGTTGCTCACCAGCACCCTGCCTGCCCTCAGAGTCTTGGGCCAGAAACTTCAGGCTCACCAGGAGGTCACAGGGCTTGTCTCGATTGACATCATAGGTCACCTTGAAGTCCCCATTCAGCAAGGATGTGGAGCACGTGGGGCAGGATTGCTGCTGGCCCACAGTGGGGCGGAAAAGCACATGACCCTGGAACCAGCCGGGGTGTGAGACATTTACTGGTTTGCAGCCGCAATCCGGATGTTTGCAAAGACAACATAAGGTAGGTGTGTGTGTGTGTGTGTGTGTGTGTGTGTTTGCAAAGACAACATAAGGTAGGGGTGTGTGTGTGTGTGTGTGTGTGTGTGTGTGTGTTTGCAAAGACAACATAAGGTAGGGGTGTGTGTGTGTGTGTGTGTGTGTTGCATGGGCATGGACATGAGTGTGGTGGGCCCCTCACCGAGCTGCTGAGAGTATACACCTATTAGTGACAGGAGAGAAGACCTGTTTCTTTGCTTATATGCTTCTGAAGCACTGGGATTTTCTACAACAAGCCTCACACTTTGGGTACAAAACAAAAAAATAATAGCAGTGTGAGAGCACGAGAGACATCAGCCAACTCAAAACTGGCCCATAAAAAAAGCAAACGGTGTGCTGGAAAATAGAACCTGCCTGGACGGACACAGGGCAGAGGCTGGAAGGAAGGATCCAGCGTGGGAGCTGAGGTCTGCTGTGACTTGGTGCTGGTGCTGGGGGATGCTAGGGATGGTTTGCGCCTGACACTTCCTAAACCTCTGTACATCCCACATTTTCTTGAAAGACTTATTTTTACTTTTTGTTTGTTATAAAAGCAAGATATGCTCATAAAAAAAACTTGAAAATAATTGTTAGGAAGACAAAGACCCACCCCCTTGGCCCCATCTGAAAGCAAGCATATTTGCTAACACTCCAGGTATCATGTTTTGTTTAAAAACAGAACCGAACCCCTCCTGAGTTCTAAGAGACATTTCTTTTCGGTGAATTGTTATGGAGTCCCAACCAAAGGGAGACGGAAGTAAACGGTTTGCTCCTGGCTCCAGCTGAGGGCAAGTTAGAAGTAGGGTCATAGCTGAGTGTCACCCACCCACAGGCCACACTCCTCCAAGATCTGGGGAAGGGGCTCTTGCAAACAGGTGGCAAGCGGCCGCATGAGCCAAAGGCCTTTCCAAACCTAATTATGTTTCCAAGAACAGTGGAGCTTGGAATTCCAACCACAAGAGCATCTGGGGTTTGCCTGCGTGCCTTCTATTTCCCTGAATGCCTCCCCGTGGATGTGAGACAGGCAGAGAAGAAACTGAGGCTCAAGAAAGCCAGCAGCTGGCCCAGACCAGCTGTGCGGGCACCTCCCCAGCCTCAGCTTGGATGCTTTTCTAAGTTGCTCTGAGAATCAGGAGTGCTGAGTTCCCCTGGGATGCCCACCACAAAACCTCTCACCCCTGTGCCAGGCAGCCTGCAGCCCATGCCTGCTTCCTGGGCCAAGCCTGGACACTCCACAAGGGCTCAGGCCAGGCTGAGACGTCCGGAGTGCCACCCCCACCTATCCACGCACCTTCTTCCCCGAGAAGGACTTCTTGATGAGTTGAGTCTCCAGTTCCTTAGGGAGGAAGGAGGCCTGGGCATCCAGCTTGCTGATCCCCTGGGGCTCAAAGATGTCCACGTCGATCTGCATCAGTGAAGCAGTGCCTGCACTGAGGCTCCCATGGGGGCCCTCGTCAAGGCTCAGCCAAGAGTCAGCATGTGTCCTGGCCACCTACTGTGTCAACCCGCAACCAGCCCTCTGCACAGGGCCTGGCCTGTCTGGCATAGGCACTCAAACATATTGGCCAGATGAAAGTGCATGCCTGCACGCCTCAGCTCAGCTGCCACTGCGGGGCCAGCGACCAGCACGGCCCCTCAGGCTGCCCAGGACTTGCTGATTTACGAACTACTGGACGTTCAGTGGCACTCACGATCCTTACGGCTGTCCGTGATCTGCAGGAACCCCCAGCCCACAGATGAATGAGCTGAAGCTCGGAGAGGAGGAGGCTGGCTGGTTCCGGGAGCTCCTCATCAGAGGCAGTCCCCTCCCTGTGTGCGCAGGCCCAGGAGGGCCCACGGTGGGAGCTGGGCTGGCGCTCAGAGCCACAGCGAGGGGCAGGAGCCCTGTCCCGAGATTGCTCCCCGGCGTGGGGTCCCCTGCAAGCTACCTCAAAGTGATGCACGAGCTGCTTGGGCTTGACCTTGATGTCGATGGTGTACTGGGCAAGTTTGCGCTTCAGCACCTCCTCATAGGTCAGCCGGAAGGTGGCCTTGCTGCGGGGCCCCACGGTGATATGGATGGTGAACTGCTCCATCGTTCTCCCTGACGCCCTGGACATGCCACCAGGGGCAAAATCAAGAAAATGGCAAGTGACCTGTGGGTCCCTGTCACCTAAAGCATGGACCTCAGAATCAATGTCTCATATTTTAGTGCTACCAGGTTTCCTTGACCACCCCCCTGAGCCTTAGTTGGCTGGTGAGGGTCAGGGCCCACTTCTCCTGGAGGCTGGTTTGGGGACAGGTAGGTCAACACCACCCCTGTCCAGCACACCAGTGCCAGCATGTGGGTGTGGGCAGTTTGCTCACTTCCCATCAGCCTGAGGCTGCTCTCCACATGGCCACCTGGCAGCCCTCAGAGCTGTCCGTACTCGGGAGCACCAGAGACCGGGCCCCAGGGCCCAGAGCTCACCTGACAAGGCCGGCATTCTCTCCCGAGATGGCTGCTTTCCGGTACTGCTTCCACGCAGTGGCTTTGTCCTTTATGTCTCCGATGAAGGCGCTTCCGTCTGCTGTGCTGCAGGGAGGAGAAAGCCTCGGGGAGGCGCCCCTGCTCGGGCACCCGGGACCTTCCCTGGAGGTGCGCCCAGCCCAGACCCCGAGGAGGCCCTGTCCAGGTGGCTCATTGCAAGCCATTCCTGCCTGCCCCCCACCACCTGCAGAGTTGCTCAGGGGCCCTGTGGCAGTGAGGTGGGCAGCCATGCCACAGAGCCCAGTGAGAAGCCTTGGGTGCCAGCCTTTGCTCCTTGGGCCCCAGGCTGGAAACATACTATCAGAGTCCCCGGCTACTCTCCCAGATAGGAGCCCAGGACGGACTACAAGGCTTGCTCATCCCCTCAGTGCTGGAGCAGGCTCGTGGCCCTTTGGGCAGTGAGCTGGTCCCCACTGCCTGGCCACTCCGGGCCGTGGTTTCAGGCTGGGCCTGGCAAGCAGGCAGCTCTGCGTGTGGGAGTCAGGCAGGCACGCACATGGCGAAGTCGCTGATGAAGGCCGTCTTGGGGATTTCCACATCAAAGGCCACTTCCTTGGCTTCATCGGCACTGTTGACCACTTGGCTGGTGATGACATAGTGGGCGAAGCGAGAGGTGACTTTGCAGTTGACTTTCAAACTCCGGATGACCACGCCATCGACAGTCTAAAGTGAGATGTGAAGGAATTGAGTCTGGGATGGGGGAGTCTGACAGCGAGGTGCTGGGGCTCCGCACCCAGCTCGGGAGCCGGGTGCTCAGAGAGCGTAGCAGAGCTCCTGGGAGGGTCCACCCCGCTCTCTCTGCCTGAGACCGTGCATCGGGGCCTGACATGCATGGGAGAGCAGCCCACTTCTGGGGGACGGGGGTGCCTCTGCCCAGGGCACTGATGGTGGGCACACCCCTGAAGCCAGGGGGAAGCAGGCTGCAGTGATGGCCCCCCCCCAGGCCCCTTTGCTGAGAGTCTCACTCACTGTGTCCACAGTCTGTCGCCTCTGTAAAACAAAAGCAGGGCCAGTGAGCATGGGAACGCTCAGGGGACCACAGCCTATTGTCAAGGGATGGGCGTGGGATGGAGCCTGTGTCCTTCACCTTGGCCTCACCTCCCGGTGATGCTGGAGGTTACCTCTCCAATCAGACATGGTTGAGGGGGTGAGGGGAGGCCCCGGCCCGGGCCCCTGGACTGAGGGTCTGTGTCCCTCAGGGCGCCCCCCTGCTGCCTGTTCCAGGTCTGAGGGTTTACCCACATACCTTGTTGCTTTTGGGTCTGTCTGTGGCTGAACCCTGGGCAGGCATGGCCTGCAGGGCCAGGAGAGACACCAGGTGCACGAACAGCAGCACTCGCAGCTCCATGGCGCCGTCCGTGGGCTCAAGGCTCCTGCTGCCTTGTCACCCTGTTCAGATCATTAATCAGTAAAGTGCTGGATAAACATGGATTAAACATTAGACAAGGGGAAGGCAAATATTACAGTTTGGAGGATCAAAAATTGGCCGTGAAAACTTCCTCTTTGGGGGGATGCCCGGCTGTGTAAACTCCTCACGAGACGCTGGTTGTGCCCCACTGCACAGACCTGCACCGGCCAGCGTGAATTGTGCAGACCCTGACAGCTCACCCATCCTGGGCCAGGCACAGGGCAACACCCTGATATGGTGACGTGTGCCAAGAAGCCACACTTAAAATGGATTTCTAAACCTCATTAGGTTCTAGTTTCAGAATTCTTCAGATATAAACACATGTTTCTGGCAGTGACCCTTCAGCCAGGGAGGCTGACACTGCGTACTGGAAAGACAGCCACGTCTCTGACGGAGCAGTGCTGGAGGGGTTGTACCGGTGTGGTCTGCACGGCCCGGGGACGCACGATGGGTGACCCCCGTAGCCTGGTCTCTTGGGACCGTCTCAGCCAAATTTGAAAAGAGGATCAGAAGCCGGCCTCCAGCTCCTCCACCTGGGCAGCAACGCCTGGCAGGTGAAGGGGAGACAAAGACGGACACCACGTCTTCATAATGGAGAGCTGGCTGTGTCGCACATTGCTCTAAGCCCTGTATGGTCTCATTTTATCCTCATGGTGTCCCTGGGACACGGGTCCCATGGCAAGTGACAGAACAGGTATTCAAACCCAGATCTTGTAGACCCCAAAGCCCAGGCCTATTATGTCATGGCTGAGTGTGCCCTACATTACTAGGAACACGGGAGAAGTGGAGTCAAAGACCCCAGAGATCCCTCTTGTACAAGCATTTTCTTAATTGTTATGCCCAAGACCTCTCTGTCCCCCACAGCCACAGCACATGGGCTGACAGAGCCCGGGTCAGCCCACTCCGTGACCCTGACAGGGGAGAGGGGCGCACAGGCTTCTTTTGATCTCTGTTTGCTGGTCCTGGACTTTGTCTCACAGAGCAGCTTCCAGGAAAGAGTTGATTGTCCCTAGGCCTGAGTGACCTTCTGGCCTTTGTGGCAGATGAGATGCATCAGCAGGAACCTGTACATGAGGTTCTGTGATTTCCTGCCCCAGTATCAGCCCAGCCTGGTGGTGGGTTGGGTACAGTGCCGGGCATGGGGACACCACAGTGCTGAACCTTGAGTGTCTCTTTGCCTTTAGTGAGCCGATGCCTTGGGAAGAGGCGTCAGACACGTCCCAGGGAGCCCCAGGAGTGGTCAGAAGCTAGAGAGGAGCATGGAGTTGCTGACTGACCTGGAAGGTGGGGCTCATCTCCACAGGATGCAGGAGCCGTCTCCTGGACCGGTGCCCGGGAGCTGGAGCAGGGCTTGTGAAGGGAGGTGGGCAGGGGAGGAGAGGAAACCAGAGAAGTCGGTGTGCGGTGGGCGAGGGAGGTGTCTGTCTGGTGGCAGCAGAACATGATGAGGAGGGTGGGGAAGGAGACTGGCAAGTTGTGTGGGACTGGCTGGCACAGCGCTGTGAAAGTGGCCAGGCTTTTGGGTGGGAAACCCTGAAGATACTTTGAGCAGGCTTGTGGCAAGATCAAGCCTGGGCTGTGGGGAGATGGCTAGCCCTGAGCCTGGTCCATACAAGACGCTAGAAACGCATGGGAGGCCTCAGAGGAGGAGGGAGCGTACGGGGAGAGCTGCCAGTGACTCATGCCTGCCCTGCTTCTCCGTGCCTTATGTGTCCTCATCCTTGTATGGCTCATGGGTACCCCCAAGAGACGGATACTGTCACTGTCCCCGTGTTGCAGAGGACTCACCTGAGGAGGTGGGCGGTGGGGGGCGGGTGCACAGAAAGCAGCTGAGGCCACTGAGGATTGAGCCTGGAGGCCTGAGAGGCTGTTTGTGCTGCTGGGGGGTGGGGGGCAGCACACAGGTCCAGACCTCTCTGAGCTGTGCCCACACAGCCAACTGCCTGCTTCATTTGCTTGGAGCCCCTCCACCTGTTATGTCCAAACGGCACTCATGGCCTTTCTCTCCCACTCCCATGCCCGCTACCAGGCCTCGTTTCCTCCTAGTTGTTCCCCCCAGTGAAGGCCCCCAGCATCCACCTAGGCATCCAAGCCAGAAAGCTGGGCGGCATCCTGGACCCCCTCCCCAGCCACCCTATGCCCAGCTATCTTCTTTTCCAAATTCCTATCACTATCATGTCCACGACACCCTCATCTCCCACCCAATGGCTGCTCCTCCTGCTCCGTTATGCTCCTACAGTCCACTCTTTGGCAGCAGCCGAAGTCATCACTTAAAAAGGTTGATTTGCTCTAGGCCTTTCCCTGTCTGACCCACTTCCAGGTCCTGAGTGGTCTGGCCCCAGACACCCATTTCACCAAGCCCACGGCTCCTCAGGTTCTCCCAGCATCCACCATAAGAGACTTTTTCCCAATTGTGTAGGTGGGTGCTTTCTCACCCATTCAGTCGTCGGACCCCAGTTCATCCATTCACACCTGCTGAGTGCCAGCCCGGTGCCAAGTGCTGGGTTTGGGTGCCAAAGCAGGCAGGCCTGGCAGTCCTTAGGGAGTTCACACTGGGCTGTGAAGGGGGCAGGACAAAACAATTCCACTGGGTCTTAGCACACGGTGGGTGCTCCCTCTGCCTGAAAAAGTTTTCTTTCAGACTTCCACTCAAGCAATGCTTGCTCGGGGCAACACCCTGGGGGGCCAGGCTGGGCCTGAATACCTTTCTGCACAACACTGAGCCCAATTGGCAAGGATAACTTGTTAGTACACTTCATTGGCAAACGGCCATCTCCCTCTTCAAGTGGACGCCTACAGGGGCAAGACTTTGTCTGACTTGTTCACTTTGTGCCTGCACCATGCAGGCCCACCGTAGGTCTATAGGGTGAATTGTAGAGTTGGTGAAGAGCAATCTGGAGATGGCGAAAAGCAGAGGGCAGAACCCAGAACCCTGGGAAACCTCAAACCCGAGGGAAGCAGGGAAGTCAAGAGAACAGGAGTAGACAAGGGGGCAGGAAACTTCTAGAGACCAAGAAATGAGGGGATTCACTAGACGGGCAAAGGTGGCTGAGGGAAAGAGGGGTGGATGAAGACTAAGAAAAGCACCAGGGGGAATGAGTCGTTTTTGGAAAAGCTGTCTTGGGGTCCGGTAGGAGCCAAGGGACTGGCTGGAACAAATGGTAAATTCTTTTGGCAGCTTGTGCTTTCATAGGCAGGCCTTTTAAGGGGTGCGGGGCTTCTCCCAGGGACACTGCCAGCTGTCAGCTATGCCAGAATGTGGTCACTCAGTGCAGGGGTTTGGTGGAGTTCTGATGAGGCTTTTTGGCAGTTCTCAGTAGGCAAGCTCAAGCATTCACGGTTCACCAGAGTGTACTGATAGCTTCAATTTATTTTGAAAAGCATCTTAAGCATCATAAATAAGATGGATCGCTGGATGCATGGGGTAATCATCGCGTTATAAAGCAAATACGACAAATGTTACTTGTAGAATCTAGTCTGTCACCCCTATTAAGTGTGAACTTCAGGAGGGTAGGGACTTTGTCAGCCTGGCACATGGTAGGTGGCCAATCAATATTAGTTGGATGAGTGAATAACATTTGCATGGGACTTAAAACAAGTAAATAAACGCCGAAAGAGGGAAAGCTTGCACCATTTTGCCGCGGCCGGCAACCCGGAAGTCCCGCGAGCCGAGACGGCGCGCGCGCAGGGCCCGGGGCAGTCTCTCTGGCCGCCTGGCTCGGTGGCCGGTCCTCCCGCGCATGCGCGGGGCTGCTCGGGCCCGGATTGCTATGGCAGCGGCGTCGCCGTGGGTCAGGCCCCCTCGCTCGCGCCGGGGCCCGGCTGTCGCCGCAGTGGTTGGCGCTGCAGCCTCTCGGGCATGAGCGGGGCCTCCCGCCGCTGCCGCCGCATCCCGACTGCGGGCCCCTCGCCGGGAACATGCCCCTGGCCGCCTACTGCTACCTGCGGGTCGTGGGCAGGGGCAGCTACGGGGAGGTGACGCTCGTGAGGCACCGGCGGGACGGCAGGCAGGTCGGCGGGGTTGGGGCGCGGCAGGGGCGGGGGCAGGCCCGGGGGGTCCGAAGGGACCCGCTGGAGGGCACTTAATCAGGGAAGCCGTCGCAGACCCCCGCGTAGGCCAGGCCTTGCTGCCATTGGCCCCAACTGCCGGTAGGCCTAGTGGCGCCGCTTGCTTGCTCGGTCTACCCTCCGCCCGACGCTTCCGCGAGAGCGGGCTTGCCCCGTACCTACCAGCGCCGGGCACGCGTCGCCCCTTGATGAAGGGCCCCATACGTCTGGCCTGGACTCACTTGAAATGCATCACCTTCCCGCCAAAGCGTCCCTCACAGTCCGCATTTCAGTGACCAGCGCTACCGACCAACCAGCCGCCCAAGCTGGACACCCCTGGGGGTCATTCCTGACCCCTGCCACGCGCCTATTCATCTGTCCGCTGGCCAGCAGGCTTCTGCCCCATCTCTCTGGTGCCACCCGACCCGGGACACCTTTCCCGGGCGACGGCCCAGGCCTCCCTGCCACCTGACCTGCTCTTCTCCAATCGGTCTGCCGTGGTTTGAAGCATACTTAATGTTATCAAAACTTTGTTAAAGCACTTTATCCCATTACCCTCAGGTTATGAGACAGCTCTTTAATAGGGTTTGTAAGCAGGGTAACCATATAGTGTACCAAATGGGATAATTTTGAAACTGAAAGGCGGCGCTGCTAATAGTTACACCAGGACAATGGGACTGCCCCAGACATCCCCCTAAGTATAAGGCCCGCTTACCTACCCTTTTCCACCTTGTGTCAAGTGCTGATGGCTCTGCCTGGAACACAAGGTCAAGCATCAGAGATTTATTCAGTAGGCAGTGGTTGGGGTGTCATTGGATATTTTGAGCGGAGAATAGGGGAACTGGCAATAATAATAGCACCTCACATTTGAGCAGCAGTTGACATTTTACAAAGTACGTTTATGTATGTGTTTGTTGAATTATAAATTGTATGGTCTTTCAGTTGATTGAGGACAATGCATCAGGTGTTAGAGGATATTGATTTTTTTTTAAGTGGGAATAATTTTGTATGTTCAGGATCAGTGATTTTTAACCTTATCCCTCTGAGCATTCTAATGTAAGCCATGGACCCATGGCTGCAGATGTATATTCAAGCCGTATTTAATGTACCTTTTTAGGGGCAACTTCTAGGTTAAGGAATTTCTACCAGATTTTATGATTGATCCAGTGATATATTAACATGGACTCATTTTTTAGCCATTAATGAAATTATAAAATGCAAACGGAAGGTACAGGTTTTTGTGTGTGTGTGACCTCCCCATACCACGCCCCACAGTAAGTCTAACCTGTGTAATTCATGGTAGCAAATCTTTTTCCCAATTTTGTGCTTTGTGAATAACAAAATGTTTTATCTGAGAAGCTCCAGGGGGCTGGTTTAGAGGACATTCAGGAGAACCCTCAAATACATTCTGAACCTATAAAACTGTGTACTTATTTGCACTTGGTAAAAATGTATGTTTCCTTTGTAGTATGTCATCAAAAAGCTGAACCTCCGAAACGCCTCCAGCCGAGAGCGGCGGGCCGCTGAACAGGAAGCTCAGCTCTTGTCTCAGCTGAAGCACCCTAATATTGTCACCTACAAGGAGTCCTGGGAGGGAGGGGACGGTCTGCTGTACATCGTCATGGGCTTCTGCGAAGGAGGCGATCTGTACCGAAAGCTCAAAGAGCAACAGGGGCGGCTTCTGCCTGAGAGTCGGGTGGTGGAGTGGTTTGTTCAGATCGCCATGGCTCTGCAGGTACTGCCGAGACTTGCGGCATCCCACGCGCTTCAAGGTGACGGGATGGCAGGTGGAGTGTAGGAAAATGCTTTCTCAGATGCTTACATCGACAAAATGTATTTTTTTTTAAATCCACCTAGGAAGTGGACCCGGGCCTTCTTGTTGAGTGTCGCTTTGGGGTGCTTCTGAATGACGGATGTCTCTATTGAAGTAGACATGGACTTCATGTCTCATGGCAGGGATGACAATTCTCTTATTCATTTAATGTTTAAGCAGGCAATTTTAAGGACCCTGAGTCCACTAAGGGCAAAGAATGACCATGTTTGTTATCAGCTGGTCAGCTGTGTTGTACTGAAAGGTGGTTGGGCTAATTAACACGCCTGAACTGTGGGGCTTTGCGCTTTAACCTGCCGTGGCAGTGAGTGGAAAGGCAAAACATGTTTGTGTTTTAATATACATGTATTCAAAAGTGAGACTGTACGAAATACCGTTCTGGAACTGGGCAGATTTATCCAGAATTAATTGACTATGTTTAAATTCTAAGGTACCCTCTCTAAGTAAAAGTGATCTTGTTATAGTTGAAAATATCATTAAGCTGAAGGTTTCATGAGTCTGAGGGGGATGTGCATCTGACCTTGTATAAGTTGTCCTTGTACCATCAGTGGGAGTTTGTAAGCATGTTTCTAACTGGATCTGCATAACACTAAATGGTATAATTGTCAGGGCACCAGGGAACAATTGGGAAGGATCTTGGGCAAATTAATGCATGGAACTTAATTTCCTACTTCAGAAAGTTATAAATTAGACTTTTTATTTAGAGGTTATAAAACAGTAGTGTCTTGATATGTGGATAAGTAAGGCTGTTTAACTCATGCAATCATGGATGGTGAATAAGTAGTCAGGAATAAGTAGACAAGCCTGTTTACATCTAATGAAGTTTTATTTCTATCCTCAGTATTTACATGAAAAGCACATCCTTCACCGAGATCTGAAAACTCAAAATGTTTTCCTAACAAGAACAAATATCATCAAAGTGGGTGACCTGGGGATCGCCCGAGTGCTGGAGAGCCACTGCGACATGGCCAGCACCCTCATCGGCACGCCCTACTACATGAGCCCCGAACTGTTCTCGAACAAGCCCTACAACTATAAGGTAGGACTGGTCTGTGCATACCAGCTCACCTGCTGTCTGCATCGTTCTCGTAATTTCAGAATCCATCAGAATAGTAAGTCAGAAGAATTCTCTATGAACTGGCTTAAGAGAATGTCTTTTTTTTTTTTTTAAGAGGAAAATGTCAGGCATGCCAACATTAACCATTGGCTGTTTTCTTTTCTAGTCTGATGTTTGGGCCCTGGGATGCTGTGTTTACGAAATGGCCACCCTGAAGCATGCTTTCAATGCAAAAGACATGAATTCTTTAGTTTATCGGATAATTGAAGGAAAGGTAAAGGATATTCTGGAACTAGCTGTTTTTAATGATTGGAGCAAGGTGAATTTATTGCAGCTTTCTAAATATCTCCTGGCAAAAGTGAGTAATCATTGATGTTGGGTGGATAGTTGATGGTTGGGTCCCTTCTGTGAGGAAGGTTGAACTGGAGAAGGGACTTTTTATTTCTCAGTATTGACTTGTAAAGGTGGCTTAACGGCTCCGAAGCATTGGCTCTTTGAGAACCACTACCTTGTAGCCACAGCCCTGCGAGGCTATTGGGAGTCTCTCCTAAGGGGCTTAGGGTGCAGTGAACCCCGCTGGAATGAGCCCACTCTGTTTGAATGTGTTGCTCCTTTGACAGTCCTCACAATCACTCATGACCGGTTGAGAACTGCTGAGTGCGTGTGATAGAGGCTCCAGAGTGGCCGCCTGCACATGTCAGTTCCCTGAGGCTCACTGCTCTTGGCCTTGTAGGCATCGGGCACCATTAAGTTTTAAGGCTGTCAATCACCTACTGATTTTAATATCATACCAACACTCATTTAATTTTTTAATTTGAAAATATTGAAAGACACAAGAAAAGGTAAAATTTGTCCATAATTCTACTACTTAAAGGGTCAAACAAGAAGGGAGTGAAATCCCCCCTCTTTCTATCCATTTCCATCCCCTGGAGATTACCATTGCTAACAATTTAGTCACAGACTTCCCAGTTTCTTCTTGTCTTTACACAGACATAACTCTGGGTGTCTGTATGCACATATATACACAGATACTTTAAAAAATAACTGAAGTGAAATCAGGCTGTGCACATTGGTACACGGATCCTTTTTTGACTTAATCAATGAGGGTCATCTTTTCCAGTTTGGTACCTGTAAGTCTTTTATTTTTTAGAAGGCTGCCTGGCATTTCATTAAAAGGATATACCATAATCTATTGCCCAAATCCGGTATGGATGGGAAGTTGTTTCCAGTTGCGAAACCTGTACTTCAGAAACAATACTGTAGTGAGTAACCTGGTACACACATCTTCAGGAAGTCAGGCTTTAGTTCCAAAGGCGAGAGGCCTCGAACGGGACTGCCAGTTTGAAGGATCTGCTTTTAAATCTTACAACTTGCTGTGAGAACCAGGACACCAGTCAGCTTCCTGTGGACTGTATGCAGATAACCTTATGTGGATAATGACTTGAAATAAATATTGGGAAACCTCTACCCTCTTCTACTTCACAAGGCCACTAGTTATAATTGTTGTGTTTTTCGCTGTAGCTCCCACCAATGCCGAAAGATTATAGCCCGGAGCTGGCAGAACTGATGAGAACCATGCTGAGCAAGAGGCCCGAAGAGCGGCCATCTGTGAGGAGCATCCTGAGGCAGCCGTACATTAAGAGCCAAATCGCCTTGTTTCTGGAGGCCACAAAGGCGTAAGAAACTTCCCTTGCATATAGGCAGGCTCGATAGGTGGCATCGGAGAGTAGCTTCTGTAATTTTCATATGCAAGAATTTATGGTGAGGTTTTAAAAAATACCAAGTAAAATTGCATGATTAGAGCACATATTGAGATTTGCACACTTGCTGAAATCAGAAATCTAGAGAACCATTTCGAGGATCCCTTTACATTCCTCAGAGGATTCCAAGAGGTACTGAGCACAATCTGTGTTTTAGAAACCATAGTAAGATGAGGGGTTATCTGAGAAACCTTTCACCTATGATAAACTATGTAAGGTAATAGACATTTAAAAAATAGTGTTCAAATTTCTGAGAGCCTTCATAAGGTTCCCTCTTCAGATAACTTCTCCAGGGAAACAGAATTCCTTTCTTTGACTTATAGGTCTTGTCTTCATTAAATAGCTGTTCTAGGATCTAAAACAGGATTGGACAAGACCTTCATGATTAATGCATTGTGACATGGTAAATTTGGGAAGGAGTGTCAGGCCCCAGAGGACAGAGAGGGGCCATCTCTTTGTTTACATCGCCTATAATGTCCCACGAAAAAGACCTTTGGCATCCATGTTGCTGGTCTTTGTGCTCCCTTTGAATTCTCCAGCGAGGAAGCCCAGTTGTAGAAATGTCATAGTCTAACAGTTGGGGACTATTCCTATATATACCAGTCATTTTTGTCTCAAAGCAGTTGTGGTAGTATTACAAACAAGTGAAAGTTCAAGGTGAAAGTTATCCTGGTTGTTCTGTATGTGAAGTAATTTCTCATAGATTTTAAATTTTAGAATAATTTTAAATTTTCAGAAAAACTGCAGAGAGAGTACAGAGGTTTCTGTGTCCACCTCATAGTTTCTATCATTAAAATCTTACCTTCCTGTGGTGCCTTTGCCAGAAGCTTGCTATTGACCAAACCCCAGGCTCCATTTGGCTCTCAGCATTTACCCACCAATGTGATTTTCCTGTTGCCGGACCCCATGTTACATTTAGTCCTCAGGTCCCTTAGTCGGCTTGGGTCTCTGGCAGCTTCTCATTTTGTTTGTTTTTCCCGACCTTGACTTTTTGAAGAGTGCTGGTCAAGTGTTTTATAGAAGTCCCCCTGGATGTTAGAAGACTGCTCTCTGTAAATGGAGGAGTTCCAGTAGGGAGCATAATGTATACACACATTTCCTGATAGACATAAAAACCTTTGATCTTCACTCTACTGGTAATAACTTTTTCTTCTTTTCTTCCTCATAAAGAAAAACCTCCAAAAATAATATTAAAAATGGTGACTCTAAATCCAAATGTGTCGCTACAGTGGTTTCTGGAAAGGCTGAATCAAATCATAAAGTAGTCTCTCCGCAGCCACACTCTTCTCAGGGCTCCAAGACGTATGTGATGGTATGTTTCTTTTTAAAGGCCATGTGTTTTAGAAAGTGTATTAAAATGATAAGTTATCCAAGCAATTACTTTATGTGAGACGATTAGGCTTTACTAGAGATTCTGTTGGGTACTTAATTCTGCATTGTAAAGAAGGAATACTGGTGAATGTGACTCGTTTAGCCACCTTTATCCACAGTGGCCTGCCAAACTGTTCATGGGGTCAATGCCGTAATAACTTTAATAATCTATTTTTTGAGGTGAGATTTGCATATCCTAGGGGTAACCATTTAAAAATGAACAGTTAATTGCATTCATTACATTCACAATGTTCTGCACCCATCACTTCTATCCAGTTCCAAAACATTTTCATAGCAGCCCAGAAGGAAATCCCATGCCCAGTAAGTAGTCCTCACTCTGTCCTCCATCCGAACCACCAGTGGGTTTTCTGTCTCAGAATTTGCCTATTCTGGATATTTCATATAAATGGAGTCATATAATATGTCACCTTTTGTGTCTGGCTTCTCTTACTCACCACAGTTTGTTTATCCATTCATTCACTGGTGGATATTGGGTTGTTTTTCCCTTTTGATTGTTGCTATGAACCTCTGTGTACAAGTATTTCAGTATCTGTTTTCAGTTCTTTTGGGTATATATCTAGTAGTAGAATTTCTGAGTCATATGGTAATTCTATATTTAACTTTTTGAGGAACTATCATGCTGTTTTCCATAGTGGTTGCACCCATGTTACTTTCCTACGAGCCATCTGTGAGAGTTCCAGTATCTCCACAACCTTGTCAACTTGTTATTTTCTTTTTTTCTGATTTTAGCCATCTTAGTGGATGTGAAGTGGCACCTCATTGTAGTTTTGATTTGCATTTCCCTAGTGAGTAATGATACAGAGCATTTTTTCACAAACTTGTTAGCTATTTGTTTAGCTTCTTTGGAGAAACGCTTTAAGTCCTTTGCCCATTTTTTTTTTTATTAAGGTGTTATTGATATACACTCTTATGAAGGTTCCACATGAAAAAACAATGTGGTTACTACATTTACCCATATTATCAAGTCCCCACCCATACCCCACTGCAGTCACTGTCCATCAGTGTAGTAAGATGCCACAGATCCATTATTTGCCTTCTCTGTGCTACACTGTCTTCCCCATGACCCCTCACACCATGTGTACTAAACATAGTACCCCTCAATCTCCTTCTCCCTCCCTCACCCCTCCCCTTTGGTAACCGCTAGTCCCTTCTTGGAGTCTGTGAGTCTGCTGCTGTTTTGTTATTTCAGTTTTGCTTCGTTGTTATACTCCACAAATGAGGGAAATCATTTGGCACTTGTCTTTCTCCACTTGGCTTATTTCACTGAGTATAATATCCTCCAGCTCCATCCATGTTGTTGCAAATGGTAGGATTTATTTATTTATTATGACTGAATAGTATGTCATTGTGTATATGTGCCACATCATCTTTATCCATTCATCTACTGATGGACACTTAGGTTGCTTCCATATCTTGGCTATTGTAAATAGTGCTGCAATAAACATAGGGGTGTATATGTCTTTTTGAATCTGAGAACTTGTATTCTTTGGGTAAATTCTAAGGAGTGGGATTCCCAGGTCAAATGGTATTTCTATGTTTAGTTTTTTGAGGAACCTCCATACTGTTTTCCATAATGGTTGAAATAGTTTACATGCCCACCAGCAGTGTAGGAGGGTTCCCCTTTCTCTGCAACCTCGCCAGCATTTGTTCTTCCTAGTCTTTTCGACGCTGGCCATCCTAACTGATGTGAGGTGATATCTCATTGTGGTTTTAATTTGCATTTCCCTGATGATTAGTGATGTGGAGCATCTTTTCATGTGCCTGTTGGCCATCTGAATTTCTTCTTTGAAGAAGTGTCTGTTCATATCCTCCGCCCATTTTTTTAATGGGGTTATTTGCTTTTTGGGTGTTGAGGCTGTGAATTCTTTATATATTTTGGATGTTAACCCCTTGTTGGATATGTCATTTACAAATATATTCTCCCATACTGTAGGATGCCTTTTTGTTCTGTTGATGGTGTCCTTTGCTGTACAGAAGCTTTTCAGTTTGATGTAGTCCCATGTGTTCATTTTTGCTTTTGTTTCCCTTGCTCGAGGAGATGCATTCAGGAAGAAGTTGTTCATGTTCAGGAGATGTTTGCCTATGTTTTCTTCTTGGAGTTTCATGGTTTCATGACTTACATTCAGGTCTTTGATCCATTTCGAGTTTACTTTTGTGTATGGGGTTAAACAATAATCCAGTTTCATTCTCTTACATGCAGCTGTCCAGTTTTGCCAACACCAGTCGTTGAAGAGGCTGTCATTTCCCCATTGTATGTCCCTGGCTCCTTTATCATATATTAATTGGCCATATATGGTTGGGTTTATATCTGGGCTCTCTAGTCTGTTCCATTGGTCTATTGTTCTGTTCTTGTGCCAGTACCAAATTGTCTTGATTACTGTGGCTTTGTAGTAGAGCTTGAAGTTGGGGAGCCTAATCCCCCCAGCTTGACTCTTCCTTCTCAGGATTGCTTTGGCTATTCAGGGTCTTTGGGGCTCCATATGAATTTTAGAATGATTTGCTCTAGTTCATTGAAGAATGCTGTTGGTATTTTGATAGGGATTGCACTGAATCTGTAGATTGCTTTAGGCAGGATGACCATTTTAACAATATTAATTCTTCCTATCCATGAACTCGGGATGTGTTGCCATTTATTGGTATCTCCTTTAATTTCTCTCATGAGTGTCTTCTAGTTTTCAAAGTATAGGTCTTTCACTTCCTTGGTTAGGTTTATTCCTAGGTATTTTTTTTTTTTGGTATCATTAATCTACAATTACATGAGGAACAGTATGTTTACTAGACTCCCCCCATCACCAAGTCCCCCCCACATACCCCAATACAGTCTCTGTCCATCAGCGTAGTAAGATGCTATAGAGTCACTACTTGTCTTCTTATTGCTACATATTTTTTCTTTATGATGCAATTGTGAATGGAATTGTTTTCCTGATTTCTCTTTCTGCTACTTCATCATTAGTGTATAGGAATGAAACAGATTTCTGTGTATTAATTTTGTATCCTGCAACTTTGCTGAATTCAGATATTCTAGTAGTTTTGGAGTGGATTCTTTAGGGTTTTTAATGTACAATATCATGTCATCTGCAAGCAGTGACAGTTTGACTTCCTTACCAATCTGGATGCCCTTTATTTCTTTGTGTTGTCTAATTGCTCTGGCAAGAACCTCCAGAACTATGTTGAAGAACAGTGGGGAGAGTGGGCATCCTTGTCTTGTTCCCCACCTTAAAGGAAAGGCTTTCAACTTCTCGCTGTTCAGTATGATGTTGGCTGTGGGCTTGTCATCTATGGCCTTTATTATGTTGAGGTACTTGCCCTCTATGCCCATTTTATTGAGAGTTTTTATCATGAATGGATGTTGAATTTTGCCAAATACTTTTTCGGCATTTATGGAGATGATCCTGTGACTTTTGTCTTTGCCCATTTTATTTTTATTTTTATTTTTTTAGTTGAAGTCTCAGAGTTCCTTATATATTCTGGACACTAGATCCTTATCAGATACATGATTTATAAGTATTCCCACCCATTCTGTAGGTTGTCTTTCCACTTTCTTTATAATGTCCTTTTATGCACAAATGTTTATAATTTTGGTGAAGCCCCATTTAGCTGTTTCTTCTTTTGCTGGTTGTGCTTTTGGTGGCATAGCTAAGAATCTCTTGCCAAATCCAAGGTCATGAAGTTGTATGCTTATGTTTTTTTCTAGGAGTTTTATCATTTTAGCTCTTCTACTTAGGTCATTAACCCATTACAAAAATTTTTTATTGTGTTAAATATATATAACATAAAATTTGCCATTTTGAACCATTTTTAAGTGTACAATTTAGTGACCTTAATTACACTCACGGTGTTGTGCAACCATCACCACTATGTTCTAAAACTCTTTCATCATTCCAAACAGAAACTTTGTGCTCATTGAGCAATGACTCTCGTCCCTCTCACCCCTTGGCAACCTCTAATCTACTTTCCACCTGTATGAGTCTGCTTAACATCATGTGAGTGGAATCATACAATATCTGCCTTTTTGTGTCTGGCTTATTTCACTTAGCATGTTTTCAGGGTTTATCCATGTTGTAGCAGGTATCAGAACTTCCATTCTATGGCTTTATAATACTCCTTGTATGTATATACCATGTTTTGTTTATCCATTTGTCTGCTAATGGACATTTGGGCTGTTTCCATCTTTTGGCCATTGTGAATAATGCTGCTGTAAACATTGGTGAACAGTTTGAGTTCCTACTAAGTTCTTTGGGGTTTGAACCTAGGAGTAGGATAGCTGGGTCAATGTAATTCTGTGTTTAACTTTCTAAGGAACCTGTTGTTCCATTTTGAGTTAATTTTTTAATATTGTGAAGGGTGCTGTGATATTTAGAAGCTTGTTTTCACTCAGGATGAAGACATATGTTTGTCCCAGGAGGAACCCGTAGTCCTTGGCCCCTTGAAGACACCTACAAGTCTGGAAGGCCACACCCGCAGACCAGACACAAGCAATCCCGCAGAATCACTGGCCACAGTTAGTAGAGTGAATATCGACATCTTACCTGCAGAAGGGAGGGACTCCATCCATGGTGGCCTAGTTCGGGAGAGTCAGCCAAGACACTTAGTTGCCTCTACTGAGCTAGAAGGTACATGCACTATTTCTCAAGAGAAGGAGAACCTGCAGGATAAGTCTAAGTCCAGCACTCAGCCTGGGAACCTAATTCCCACGTGGTCCTCTGATGATATCACCAGAGAAAGGACTGACGCAGTGAAACCTCTGCAGCCCCTAAACAAAGACCAGAAGCCGAAGGCACGGGTGAGTAAGATGCCTGAGGTGCTGTTTCAGAGAGCAGGCTGGAGGGTGCGGTTTCACAGGCATGGCTGTGCTGTTCGGTCTATCACTTTAGGAAAATTAGTTATTCTGTGTACCCATTTGAACATTACAGGCACCAAAGGATAGGACTGAGGGATTGTAGATGTCCCTGCGCTCTGGCACAGGGTGCTTGGTGGAAGCATGCTTTTTTTTTCTGCGTATGTTTTTCCCTTTTCTGCATCCCTCCCTTACCCCTCCAAGTGGATGAGTAGTTCCAACAATTAGATAATATCACATTCCTTCTTGCTTTTGAAAAGTTAGTGATTGATCTGATTTCTTAAGGAATAAAAAAACATCTTATGTGTTGGGACTAAATGGGAAGGAAGAAAAGGAAAAGAACAAAAGGATTTTGATACTGAGACTATTTTGAGTAAATTTAAAGTTTATGATCTCCTTGAACTTGGAAAGAAACCTAAGTTAGGTGAACCACAGTAATAGCTGAGGATTAGGGAGAAAGCCAGAACATTTGATTAACTTTATGTTTTCATATGTAAGATTCTTAAAAAATATATTTAATGTATGTGTTGGCTATATTTTTATAATTCATGCTAAATATATTTAAATTTGATATATTTTTATATCTGACATCTTTTATACATATTTATATATAAAACTTTTACACATTTTAAATGTTTTTAATAAAGTTTTGTTTTTATGGAAAAGTATAAGTATAATGCCCTTGTCATTTAAGGTCATTGGCTTAAAACCCAAATACAGTCGGCCCTTGAACAACATGGGTTTGAGCCATATGAGTCCACTTATATTGATTTTTTTTCAATAAATATATTGGAAAATTTTTTGGAGATTTTGGACAATTTGAAAAAACATTTCTCTAGGTTACTTTATTGTAAACAGTGTACAATATACATATAACATACACCATATGTGTTCATGAACTATGTTATCAATAAGGCTTCTGGCCAGCAGTAGGCCATTAGTAGGTGAATTTTTGGGAACTCAAAAGTGGGGGTAGTTGGCGCCCTTAGCCCCCGCATTGTTCAAGGTTTGGCTGTATAGTCTTAAGCTTTCTATGGACACTGGATACTTAGGACTTTATAGATAAAATTGTATGTGTCCTACTTGGCTGTCAAATTACATTTAAGTTCACTTTTTTTTTCTATTTATTTTTCTAATTTTTAAAGTACCAATTCAGTGGTTTTTAGTATATTCACAAAGTTGTGCAGTCATCACTACTATTTAATTTCAGAACATTCTCATTACCTCAGAGAAACCCTTGACTCAGTAATAGTCGCTCTCTATTCTGCCTTGCCCCTGGCACCTGCTGTTTTCATGGGGTTGCCTATTCTGAGCACTAATATAAATAGAATTGTACAATATAAGGCCTTTTGTGTCTGACTTCTTCTACTTAGCATAGTGTCTTCAAAGTTTATCCACGTTGTAGCACATATCAGTATTTCATTCCTTTTTACTGACAAATTCCACCTGTGTGTATATACCGTGTTTTCTTTTTCCATTCATCAGTTGATGAATCATCTGTCTGGATTGTTTCCACTTTTTGTCTACTATGGATGATAGGAACACTCTTGTGTAAGTTTTTGTATGGACACATACTTTCAGTTCTCTTGTTGTATATACCTAGGAATGGAATTGCTGAGTCATATGGTAACTCTGTGTTTAACTTTTTGGGGGAACTGTAAAACTTTTCCAAAGCAACTACATCATTTTACTTACCACCAGCAATATCTGAGAGTCTCAGTTTCTCTACATCCTCACCAACACTTGCTATTTCCTATTTTTTTGGTTCTAGCTATTGTAGTGGGTATTAACTGGTAAGTCATAGTGACTTTAATTGGCATTTCCCTAGTGTCAGCTAGTGCTCAGCATCTTCCCACGTGCTTATTGTCCTTTTGTTTATCTTCTTCGGAGAAATACCTATTGAGATCCTTTGCCCATTTTTTAATTGGTTTATTTATTTACTGCTGAGCTGTAAGAATTCTTCAGTCTATGTCAGTCCCTTATCCGAGGTAAAAATCTGACAATATGGTCACTCATTCTGTGGGCTGTCTTTTCATTTTCACAATGGTGTCCTTTGAAGCACGAAAGGTTTTAATTTTTATGAAATCCAGTTTTGTCAATTTTTTTCTTTTGTCACTTGTGTTTTGGTGTCATGAAGATGTACTCATGTTTTCTTCTAAGAGTTTATACTTTAGCTCTTATATTTAGGCCTCTGATTTGTTCTGAGTTAAATTTTGTGTACAGTGTAAAGAAGGGGTCCAACTTCATTCCTTTGTATGTGAATATCCAGTTGTCTCAGCACCATTCATTAAGAGATTTTTCTTTCCCTATTGAATTTTCTTGGTACTTTCATTGAAAATCAACAGACCATAAATGTAATAGTTTATTTCTAAACTCTCAATTCTGTTACACTGATCTGTCAGTAACATACTGTCTTAATTACTGGAGCTTTGTAGTGTTTTTGAAATTGGGAATTTTGAGTTTCCCAAACCTTATTCTTATTTTTCAATATTGTTTTGGCCATTTGGGGGTCCCTTGCATTTTCATACGATGTAAGACCAGCTTGTCAAATTGTTCAGAAAGGGCTGAGATTATGATAGAGATTGCATGGCCTCTGCAGGTCATTTGTGGATCATGGCTATCTCAATACATGTCTTCTGACCCATGAACATAGGGAAGTCTTTCTCTATTAGGTCTGTAATTTCTTACAATGATATTTTGTTGTTCTTAGTGTCCGAGTTTTGCACTTCTTTTGTTAAATTTATTTCTAAGTATTTTATTCCTTTTGCTACTTTTTATTTTTTTATTTTCTTTTATTTTGGTATCATTAATATACAATCACATGAGCAAAATTGTGGTTACTAGGTTCCCCCCATTATCAAGTCCCCACCACATACCCCATTACAGTAATTGTCCACCAGCGTAGTAAGATGCTATAGAGTCACTACTTTTCTTCTCTGTGTTGTACATTATGTGTGCTAATCATAATGCTCCATATCCCTCCCTTCCCACCCATCCTCCCCAGTCCCTTTCCCTTTGGTAACTGTTAGTCCATTCTTGGGTTCTGTGAGTCTGCTGCTGTTTTGTTCCTTCAGTTTTTTCTTTGTTCTTATACTCCACAGATGAGTGAAATCATTTGGTACTTGTCTTTCTCTGCCTGGCTTATTTCACTGAGCATGATACCCTCTAGCTCCACCCATGTTGTTGCAAATGGTAGGATTTGTTTTCTTCCTGTGGCTGAATAATATTCCATTGTGTATATGTACCACATCTTCTTTACCCATTCATCTACTGACGGCCACTTAGGTTGCTTCCATTTCAGGACCAATTGGATTTTATGGAGAAACTACTTAAGTCATTTGCTCTGTCACTCTGTACATGTATAATTTTATTTTGAACAGCTTAAACTTATCAGCAGAGAAACATTTATCTCACTCTTCAGAATTGTTATCAATCATTGTTTATTATTCTGGTCTCCTTGTAATAATATTGTAAAATTTAATCATTTACTATATTTCATTTATAATGTTAGGTATACTCTTGAAGAATAAATTTACAAATTATTTTACCTGTAGGAGTCATTTTGTGTTTGCTAGAGGATTTAAATGATAGATGATAATGTTTTAATGATAATGACTCTTAGAAAGCAGTTTCACCTTTTATTCATATCACATTGTTTTTCTAAAATGTACCACATAGTAGACTCTTGATAAGAAGTCTTGATTGATTGATGTTCAATTAACAATGTCCATCTACTTGAAAACCTAGATATTCTGATATTTAAAAGTTGTTTAAAAAAATAAAGGTGAACATCTGTTTTATTTTAATGTTTGGTACGCATTAATTTCTAAAATCAGGTATCCAAATAAAATACTAAGTCCTTGGTGATCTTTCTAACTTAAAAGGTAATTTATCGTTACTACTGTAGTAATAGCTCCTGTTTTTGAGCATCTAACGTGCTAGGCGTGGTCCTGAGTACTTCGCCCACCCCCACCCCCAACCCCCCGCTCCGGTCCTGCAGCACCCCGCAGTGTGTGTGAGGCATTATGCCCATTTATAGATGAGGAAACTGAAGGTCAAGGACCTGAAGTTTCTCGAATATGACTCCGTGTGACCCCAGACTCGGTGCTCTCTCCAGGCTGCATCCAAATAACCAACGTTTGCCAGGGAGTGTGTGTTACAGTGGAGTTTACTTACAACATTTGTTAATTTCCTGAATAGAAAACCTATTGAAAGTTATGAAAAGATGTTTTTAAAAAAGCTAATTTGAACAAGAATAATTTCAGGTTAATAATCAGCTGAGTAGTTTAATCAAAATAATAATTTTTATTTGATTAAAGAGGAAAAAAAGCCAGAAGATGTGAATAACTGATGGTAGCAGTTTCTCCCAGCCTGTCAACACAGCAAATCAGCATTCATTTTGAGAGAGCAACTCTTCCTTCTCATTTTCATTTGTGATTTTAAAAGGAGGTGTGGAGGGTTTGGCCACTTAGAAGTTCAAAAGACTATTTCATTATTCTGTTTTATTTTCCGTTTCATTCCATTATTTTGTAGGATGAAGTTGCTGGTGAATGTGTTACAGACAGACAGGACGGAATCCACCCAGGTTTCCAGCCACACAGCTCTGGGTCTGAACCCTCCCTGTCCCGGCAGCGGCGACACAAGAAAAGAGAACAGACTGAGTGCAGCGGGGAGCAGAGACAGGTCAGCGGGCTGCGGGGTGCTGGAGGAAGTCGGGAAGCCGACTTCGGGAATTCTGTTTAGAGTGGTGAACAGGCGCCAGAGGGGCCCGTGAGAAGCGCAGGGCGCCTCTGGAGAAGGCTGGCAATGGCGCATTGCTGAGATTCGTTTTCAGACGTTAGTGGGTGGGAAGCAGGGTAAGGCGCTTGCTTTCCCCGGAGGGGCAGGGCGTTTGGAGAGTCAAAGGACAGGCCGACGAGGGCCCCCTGGCCCTGCTGTCTCACACCGTGGACGCTGTCTCCCTTGTCTTCCGCACAGTCACGGCGATGCTTATTTCCGGACGTGACTTGCATCTTGCCCGTGCACCCACTCTGTAGGATTCTTAGATGGTCCTTCACTCTTGATAGAGTTTCTTTGCCCCCAAATGCCATGTCTTGAAGTTTTTGAGAAGCGAATCACTGATAATACACAGGAGACTTACCAGAGGTGGGCAGCCTCAGAGGTGGCTGCATGTGCAGCTGATAATGTTCCCTCTTTTGTATTATTTAAGTTCCAAGAGGCCTCTCCTTGCCTTCTGCCTTCTCTTCCCACTGTTGGAAGAATGGTTGTCACATCAACACAAAAGGATGCTGAAAACCAAAGCAGAGTAGCCACTGGGTCCGTGAGCAGTTCAAGGAGCAGTGAGATGTCATCATCAAAGGTTTGTGGGAGTATGAGTTGGATTTTTAAAAATCTTCTTATAAAGCTTTTTGGTTGTAAAATCCTGCAGATATTGTGAAGTTTTGTATTAAAACATCTTAGCCCTGCTTTTTGCCAAACAATGGAAAAGATAAATTTGTGAGTTTTCATTAGAAGCTTTGATTGAACTGAACAGATTCCATAGTTCCAGGGATGGTCGCTAACAGTTAATTAAGGAGACCAAGTAGATCCTGAATGTAGGAAATGCAAAATTCCCCATTTGTCCTTCCAAAAAGGAGTCCTTCGGAAACGAGGGCTGTTTTCATTCCTGGCTAGTGCCTTTGAGGCCCCGACAGGGCCGGGTTCAAACAGACACTCCCCTAAAGCCCTTAGGGGTGCAAGTCCTTTGCCTGTGGTGCTGGATAAAACGCTATGTGTTGGTGTTAGAGGAATGGTGAGTGGAATGAAGTAACTCGGACTCTCTTTAAAAGGATCGACCTTTATCGGCAAGAGAGAGGAGGCGACTGAAGCAGTCGCAGGGAGAGACGCGCCCCTCAGGTACAGCTGTCCACTTGCCTTCATCTGGTGGGGGTGTCATGTGGCTCATGCGCATAGAGTTGGTTTTGATTGTGAGGTGCTAAGAATTTTCAGCATTAGCAGTCCATTTGGGAAACTGATTGGAAGAATTTTTAGTTTCTTCATCAACTTTCTAAAACTTGAGCACGGCCGTCGGGTCTGGAACTTGTGTTGTCAGGGGAGAGGGTATTCGGAGGAGCAGGAGGAGTCTGAGCGGCAGTATTCCTGGGAGAGTGTGCGCAGGGCGGTTTGTTTCCGTGGTCAGAGTCTGTGGGTCCAAGAAGTGCTCTCTTCTCAGGAAAAGAGAGGAGGCCCGGTGAATGGTGCTGCCCTGAGCTGGGAGCTCCAATCATCCCTATTACTAGTATCTAGAGGTCAGACTAGCGCTTTCCATTTACTGAATGCTGACTATGTCTCAGAGCATTATGGTAAGCACTTTAAGGGAATTATTTAGTTCCATATTTACAGGAACTGTCACAGGTAGGGTGCATTATCCCTATTTTGCAGCTGAGGAAACTTGAGGTTCAGAGGGGTTAAGTAACCTATGCAAGGCCACAGAGCTGGTAGATGCAGAGCTGAGGCTGAGCTGAGGTGTCACATACCAGAGTGAGGATGAGTGTGCCGACTTACCTCTGGGCCGGCATGTGCTGGGGGACCTTCCGTACCTGGCGCAGAGCCCTCTTCCATTGAGGCGGGTCCACCACACACAGCCACTGGAGCTGGTCACTTTTTCAGGCCCTTCAGCGAGGAGAGCTTCTCTGAGTGCAGGAGCGCCAGGAAAACCCCAAGAGGAAGGCCAGCCCGCCCCTGCCCGAAGGTTGTCTTCGGACTGCCATGCTGCTCAGGTACATCACATAGTCCTGGGGAAAAGGTGGGCACGGCTACCTCTGGCAAGCCCAGTAAGGAAAACCTCATAAATCCAGCTCCACTTTTTTCTGGGACAGCACTGGCTTCAACCACCCCTTTTTGGTCTTGGTACGGAAGAGAACCGGTCAATAATAATTAACAGGATTGTTTGCTTCATTAACGGAATGAATTTTTCAGGCATTCTTCGTAAGCAATGGTAGCCTAGTTAATATCTTTCTTAAGTTTTCTTTAAAACTAGACTTCAAAGGGCTTCCACTGGACAACACTCTGCTAATTCTGCTGGATAACCAATATATATACCCACCTTCCTGCTAGATGTTAGTCTCACTTGCTAATCTTTCCTGTTACTGTGTTTGTGTGAAGAAAAAAATAACTTCCTTCTCACCCAGGGAAGATACAGCGGCAGCATCTAGTGGCCACATGGGTAATTGCAAGGTTTCCAACACGTTTACTTTCCTATGTAATAATATCCATTTTCTATATTCCAGTTCTTGACATCATTTCTAGAAGCATATTATTTAAAAACATAGAAATATCTTGCCCTTGAAAGTAGTGAGGAATTCTTTCTTTGACTTTCTTTCTGTGATTTAGTTGGCTTTACTAATTAAGATGATTCTCTCCATTTTCCAAAGTTTTAAAGTTTGTGTGTGTAAAGCATTTTAACGAAGACTCTCACATATGAACAAACTGAGGTCGTTTTTATAGGTGACATTCTATCTAGTTTAAAGTGCCAATATCCCTCAGGGCACCAGGTCCCTGCTTAGTAGTTGGAACATTAGAACTGTTCATTCCTCTGGAAAGGAAATTTCTTCCTAGCTGAGACTTCCTAGGGCCTTGTAAACTCCACTTTGATGTCCCTCAGCCTCACTTGTGAACTTAATCGGTGAACTGGGATGTCACTGGGGTGAAGTGACTTCAGCTTTTACATCTGTCTCTCCTATTAAATCGGCCCTCAGTGCGCACCGCGACTAGACACCGCATCTAAGGCTCGCGCATAGTGCATTCTGGTTTTGTTTTCCAAACATTAATAGGAAAGGAAGCTCACCCATTGTCTCTCTGAAGATGAGTTAACTTCTTCTACAAGTTCAACCGATAAATCAGATGGGGATTCCAGGGAAGGGTAAGTTCTTACTTTTCTGTCTTCCTTCATGAACTATTTCTATTTGAATTACTCCTAAATGTACATTTATAGTCGTATTCAGACTTCTAGTGCTGTCATTGATAACATTGTAAGTGGTATTTTGGTCTCTGCTAGAGCTAAAAATATGCTCTATTGAACACATCTGATTTTCATTCATAATAGTTCTAGAATGTCCTCTTAGTTCTGTGGGTTTATAGTTTTCATCAGATTTGGAAAAATTTTGGCTATTATTCCTTCAAATATTTTTTAGACCCCTTCTTGCCCTCTTGAAGATTCTACTTACATACATATTAGGTTGTTTAAAGCCGTTTCACAGCTCACTGTTGGTGTTTTCTTTTTAGGCTTTTGTTCTCTGTTTCATTTTTCATAGATTCTGTTGCTATATCTTTAAGTTCCCTGGTCTTTTCTCCTTTAGTATGTAATCTGTTAATCTCATCCCAGGCATTTAATATACTGTATTTTCATTTATAGGAATTCAATTTGGGTCTTTTTACATCTTCCATGCCTCTCCTTATTATGTTAATTCCTTTACCTAGGGCATGTGGAATGTATTTGTAATAACCACTTTAATGTCTTTACCTATTAATTTTATCACGTGTCACTTCTGAGTCTGTTGCTATTAACTGATTTTTTTCTTGTCACAACTGTGTGATGTTTTCCTGCTTCTTTGCATGTCTGGTATTCTTGAGTGAATGCCAGGCATTGTCAATTTCATCTAATTAGGGCTGGTATTTTTATATTTCTGTAAATACTCTTAAGGTTTGTGTTTGGACGTCGTTAAACCACTTAAAAATTGCTGGGCAGAATTTATACACAGAATCAGGGGCTTCCTCTCTCTCTGGCTTTCTCATTTCTTTAGGTTCCCCTCTCAGTTTCTGGTGGCAGTGGTTGTCTTGAACTCTGTCCTCTAGTTCTGCAGGCCAGAAAGACTGGGCGTTTCCTGTTGTCCTTTAGCTCCCTGTGACCTGTCCTAGGGTAAAAGTTGTTGACTGTCCTCCGGAATCTGCCTGCAGATTTTGTACATTCTCCATTGCCTTCACAGAGTTGATTTTAGTATTTTGTTCAGAGTTCATGCTTGTCACTTATGGAAGGGTCTGCCTGTAGGAATTTGCTTGGCTATTTAGAAGCAGAACTTCCTAAAGGTTGTTCGGTATCTACTGTTTTAACAAAAAATTTCCATGAATCCAACTAAGTAACAAGGAGAATTTTTTTTTTCCCAGGAAAGGTCATTCAAGTGAAATGAGTGACTTGGTGCAATTGATGACTCAGACCCTAAAACTGGACTCTAGAGAGAGCTGTGACGATCTCCCAGTACCAGGTCCGATGTCAGAATTTAAACTCCATCGGAAGTACCGGGACACGCTGATACTTCATGGGAAAGTCGCAGAGGAGGCAGGGGAACTCCATTTGAGAGAACTACCTTCAGGTGATCAGTTTATTCTTCTACAGAAAACTGGAGAGCATGTGTTTATGGGAGAAATGTGTCAAACCAAGGAGTGCTTGGAATTTTTTTTTTCTCTGCTTCTTTGCTACTTCATTTGGGTATCTCCATGAAAGGTATATCTTCTCTTATGCAACAGTTGTGTTCCTGAAAAGTTACATGAAAATCTGTTTTGAACAATACATGTAAATAAATACACGTTTGGATTTTCACGTGGATTTTCTTTGGATTGGATAGTTGTGGTGTTTAGGTTTAGGAGATGACAATGAGATGTGAAGTTTATATATATATTGTTAGTCATTAAAAATATGTGAAGTCATTAAACCAAACTCTTGTCAAAGTGAAAAGAATCTTAACCTGACAAGATTTTTTAAAAAACATTGCATTCTTCTTGTTTGGTGAAAGTATTTTTCTCCCCATGCCTGTGTTACTGCTTTTTAGCTATCGTGCCAGGTTCTGAGAAGATCAGAAGAATAGTTGAAGTCTTGAGAGCGGATGTAATCCAAGGCCTGGGGATCCAACTTTTAGAGCAGGTGTATGATCTTTTGGAAGAGGAGGATGAGTTGGAGAGAGAGGTGGGTGTCCCATTAGCTGTGTCAGCCGCTTATGTCATGGAATCTTTGTAAACAACTTTTCGAAATGTAACTAACATACTGTACATTTTGTCAACTTAAAGTGAACAACTCAGCAGTTTTTAGTATGTTCACAGAGTTGTACAACCATCACCGCAATTGATGTTAGGACATTTAATTACCGCTAACAGAAACCTGTACCCGTCGGCAGTTATTCCTCATTGTCCCCCATACGCCCCCACCCCTAAGCAACCACTGATGTTTCTGTCTGTAGATTCTTCTGTTCTGGACATTTCATGTAAATGGGGTCAGATGAAATCTGTGGTCTTTTGTGACTGGCTTCTTTCACTTAATGTAATGTTTTCAAGATTCATCCATGTTGTAGCACATACCATATACTTCATTCCTTTATGTGGCCAAATAATATATATTGTATGCCTATACCATGTTTTGTTTATGTTTTCATCAACTATGGTCATTTAGGTTGTTTCTACTTTTTGGCTATTATGAATAATGCTGCTGTGAACATTCATGCACAGGTTTTAGTGTGGACATGTTTTCATTTTTCTTGGGTATATTCCTAGGAGTGGAAAGTGCTAAATCATACGGAAGTCCATGTTTAACATCGTGAAGCCCTGGGAAAGTATTTGGGAAATACTCTTTCCCAAAGGGGCTGCACCATTTTACATCCCCACCAGTAATGTACGGAGGTTCTAATTTCTCATCTTTGCTAGCACTTGTCCATGCCATCCTTTTGATGACAGCCATCCTGGTGGGTGGGAAGTACTAGCTCACGGCTCTGACTTTCTTTTCCCTAATGGGTAAGGATGGTGAACATCTCTTGTGTGTCTACTGACCATTCATACATCTTTTTTGGAGACATGTCTATTACTGTTCTTTTACACATCTTAAAATTGTTTATCTTTTTACTGTTGCATTATAAGAAGAGTTGCTGTATATTCTGGAATATACAAGTCCTTCATCAGATACATGCTGTGCCAAAGTTTTTCCATTCCTATGGTTGTTAGTTCATTTTCTTGATGGCATTGTTTTCAGCACAAAAGGTTTTCATTCTGTTGAAAATGCATCATTTTGTTTTTTGTCACCTGTGCTTTTGATGTCACACCTAAGAAAGCTTTGCCTAATCTCAGGTCCTGAAGATTAATTCCTCTGTTCTCTTCTAAGAGTTTGATCATATCACCTCTTACAATTCGGTCTCTAATCCATTTTGAGTTCGTTTTTTGTGTTGTGTAAGGAAGGACTCCCACTTCATTCTTTTGCGTGTGCCTATCCAGTTGTCTTAGCACCATTTGTTAACAAGACTGTTCTTTTCCTACTGAATTGTCTTGGCGCCCTTGTTGAAAATCAGTTGACCACAACATATGGGTTTCTTTTAGACTCAGTTATGTGCCATTCATTTATGTCTCTGCTTATGTCTTGATTACTATAGTCTTAGAGAAGTTTTGAAATCAAGCAGTGTGCATCCTCCAACTTTGTTCTTCTTTTTCTAGACTATTTTGGCTTTTATTTGCATTTCCATGTGAATTTTTGGGTCAGCTTGTTAATTTCTGTATGATACCAGCTGAGATTTTGATTAGGATTCTATAGAATTTTGCTTTAAATACATTTTAGTTTTACTCACCTGACTTTTCTGCTTAAAGTCACTGTTATTATACTTATATCTCTTTCTTGAGAAATTTATTATACTGTTCACAGATTTGAAAGTAAAAAATAGGCATACTTATATTCTATAACAAATAATTCTATACGAATTTTTAAAAGCTATGTTGTCTTTCCTTGGCTGAATACAAAGGTAGTAAATACATGGTTGCCAGAGAACATTTAGAACTATATAAATTCTTAAAAAATCAGTGTAATCTTAGCATTCCGTGATTGCACATTTTGTTGTCTGCCATTCTGTAAACAATCATAGCAGTAGCAGTAGTTAAAAAGTACCACACAGTGTTCTAAGCATTTTACATGTACTAACTCATTAAAATCTGCAGCAATCCAGTGAAGTTGGTACTAGTATCCCCATTTTACAGACAAGGACTCTGAAGCACAGAGAGATAGAGTTGTACAAGGTCACACCGCTAACACTTGCCTGCCCAATTGGCCTTCAGTATAGTCTGATTTCAGAATCTATGCTTCTAACCACTGTTCTATACTGCTTTTCATTCTCCTGCATGTATGTCTATAGTTTACTGTATATGTACACACATCCATCACATTCATATATATATCACAGCCTTTATTATTTTTTTAGCAAAAATAGATTATACTACATACAGTTTTGTATTTTTCACTTAACAGTACAACTGAGCCTAAAAAGCAGACAGCCCCTCGTACTAACAAGCACCCCTGATCGGAGCGCTCCTGTGCGGCGAGGCCGTCTTCTCGGAGGGCTCAGTCCTGGTTATGATGACCATCACAGTTCAGGGCCTGCACATTACTCCCCAGTGAGTCAACTGCATTATATCACACCTGCCTTATGAAAATTTTTAGAGAAGAAGTGGCTGAACAAACATTTCTGGAGTAGTTGCTCTTTTTGTATATTTGTGGTTCGAGTGCTTTGGTAGGAATAATAATAAAACCAAAAATAAAGCCTTAAATTCCTAAAAACATAGTTGATTCTCTACCAATTTAATGATTTCTAAATGCTGTTTTGATTTTTAATTTTGAAATACTTTCAGACTAACAAAGTTGTACAAGTAATACAAAGAGTCCCTGAATATTCCTCACCTATATTCCCTAATGTTTCCCGTTCTGCCACTTTTGCTTTATCATTCTCTTTCTCCATATGTACAATTTTTTGAAATCTATTTATGAGAAAGTTGCAGACACATGAAGTCCGTTCATTGAGGGCATTTGCTGTTATTTTATGTCTTGCTTCTCCCCCCAGGCAAAATTTCTGGGCCCGGCTCTGGAGCTGGGAATGAGGACAATAGCTTGCTGGTCTCTGAGGGACCCCCGCCCTCCCGCTGTAGCAGCTCAGTGAGGGGCAGGGGCGGTAGCCTCTGGTCTTCTCAGCGTGTTCTGCTCAGGATGGAAGCTTCATTTATTGTCTGGGCACAGGTGACTGGGGCTCCGGGATTTTCAGTGGCCCCGCGCCCAATGTAACGCCTCCGTCCTGAGGCCAAGCTGAGTCCGAGGAAGGAGGCCTCTGCCTCTTGGCTGCAGTCTCCCAGAACGTCTCCTTGACACCAGGTTGGGGGCAGGATGAGGTAACGGATACCTTTGGACTAGGAACTGGGCAACGAGGGGCCCCTGCTGTTGGTTTCACCGGCCTGGTGTAGTTTTTGTCTCACTGAACTGGGCATGAGGAGGGAGGCAGCTGGTCTTAGTTCACATACCACTGACTGACAGACACTCTTCTGAGTTTTAGTAGATTTTCTTGAAAAAAAAAAAGTGTCTTTATTTGCTCCGTGCCATTAGGACCATTTCCAGAGACTTGAAATGGTTGGTTTTTAGGGTGGTTTTCACTAGTTTCACTGAGGAGGGGCCTGCGGAGCTCCTCAGTTAGGGTTACATTCCATATTTGTTCTGTCTCCCTTCATCTGGAACCGCTGCTCGGCCTGTGTTTCATGGCCTTGACACTTGAAGTGTCATAGGCCATCTGTTTTTAGAGCGCCCCTTGGTTTGGATGTGCCTGGTATTTCCTCATGAATAGATTCAGATCATGCATTTTGGCAGATTATGTGTGTGTCCTTCTCACTGCATTGTACCAGGAGGTGCATGACACCTGTTAACACTTTATTAGGTGTTATTTTTAATTTCAAACATTTCTTTCAACAGACATACATTGAGTGTCACATAATACATTTGTTTGATTCCTAGTCAGATTTAATTTTCCATATAATTGGTCACTTATTTTTTGTAAATGCCTTTCCTGAATTATCTATGGGCTTGATTTGATCAACTCTAATATTCTAATGTTTTATTGATTCTAAGAACTCCTTGTGATATGTATTCTTAGGCATGTATGATGCAAATATTTTCCCTATTGTTTGCTCTTTCTTATAACTTTATTTTTTGGTGTTAAAGTTTTTCATTTTATGTAAATAGAATGATTCATATTTTCCATATGGTTTCCACCTCTAGGACCTTGCTTAGAAAAGCCCTTCTTTTAAGATTATGAAAGTATTGTTTCTACTACATACAGATATTCTTTTTGTTTCCCAAATAGGTACGTTTGCGTGAGCATATGGGTGAAAAGTATACGACTTACAGTGTGAAAGCTCGCCAGTTGAAATTTTTTGAAGAAAATGTGAATTTTTGAGAATTTATTCTGCCAGAACTAAAGAACTACTTTCAAAGATTTTTGGCTTAAACAGAAACAAACCCATAATGGGTGGAGGCTATTTGCCATCCTTGTATCTCTTTGGAGTGTTTTTTACTGGAAAAAAATGGGACAAAACAGAATAGCATGAAGCAAGCTCACAGAAGAAAAAAACCTTTTTCTGTTTATGAGGAAGACTTGTTATAAGACATTTGGTTGCTGTTTACGATCCTTAAACCACATTCTTATCTAGAACTCTATATTTCTAATGTACTAATTAGCTTGAATACAGGGCCATAAAATACTGGAAGTTTTATATTGTACTATAGTGATAAAAGCAATAGGAGAAATAAAGACATACTGGGTCCAGTAATACTACTTTTTACTGTTGAGAACCTTAGGTAGTAGTTGATAAATTATTTTTTTAAAAAGTCAATTCACGATTCTGGGAATAGATTTAAAGAATATGAAGTTGTTATCTAGTACTTGAGCAGCTGAATCCCTTTTTTATGTACTGTGATGTTTATTTTATTTTGATTAATATGAACCTCATTTAGTAGATATAAAAATTGAAACTAAGAAATATTTTTGCTTCGTAAATCACGTTTTTATCCACCGGTTTTCTCAGATTTATTTTTTCATCAGTGAAAACATTCTTAAACACCAATTCCTTTTCCAATTCAGTGATTGATTATAAGTGAAGTCCAGCTCCTTTTAGTTACGTTGAACATTTCAGTTTGTGTATGTATGTCCTCTTGTACATGAAATTTTGGTTGTCTTCATATGTTTTAAATGCATGATTATGTTATTACATATTTTATTAGTTGTTTAATAAGGGATAATTCCCATTTTGGAAATAGTTTTATAAAATAAAAGCCTTAAGTAAATTTCACTTCTGTATTCTGTAAACATGAATATTCCACCAAAAATAATTACATGTATGCTTATATAATTAAAATACCTTACCTTCTTTGAAAATTAGACACACAAAATAATGAAACGTTCCCTTCCCTGTCACTGAACAGACCCAGCTTCTACCACGGCCAGGTGCTGTGTCAGGAGCGCGGCACGGTGGCGAATAAACACCCGCGGCCGGGCCCCGCGGTTTCCCAGGCCGCTGGTCGCTTCACAGGGATTGTGGGAGCTTGCTGTAACTGTAAGCCATCTAGTCCCAGCGCCCACCTGGGGACAAATCTTTGGCAAACCATTTGTCTTTATGAGCTATTCACCATTTCTTGCATGTTTTAGAAATCGTTCTGGAAAGTCATGTTTTACTTTTCTAATTTATGGTACAAAGTACGTATTTTCTTAGAATTAAAAAAATCTATTACTCCCATTTTATATATTTTTGTCTAAGCATTCTTCTCATGAATTTCCTTCTCAATATACCTTTGACCACATTTCAGATACTTTATAGATATATTCTTTTTGATATTAGTTTCTAAACAGTCAATGATTCTGGTTTTGATTTTTCTCTTTTAGAAGTGCTGCATTTCCACACACAGGTTTCGCTCACTATTTGAAAATAATGTTCCTACGGGAGCTTTGGTAAAACCCGGAACGGCATAAAGCGGAGAGCATCAAGTGTTAGTAAATCCCTGTTCTGGCCGACCAAACGCAGCATGAAGAGGATTTCACTTTTACGATAAAAGCCTTTATGGTACTAATTTGGCCTTTCACAAAAGCAAAGTGACATAACCTTTGGGAAGCAGGGGACAGTTGTATTTAGAGTCAAGGATATTCTATCTTTTAGCTCCAGCTCCGGTGAGGTACTAGTGAACGTGACCTGCCCACCCTCTGCCGTGGGAGTGGTTTCCCTGTGCCTCAGGCTGTGACCCATTGTATAATAAAGGGGGCTCTGTGAAGCTCAGACATAATCACTTGTCTACTAAGTATTAGTCAAACCTGTGTAAGACGTAAGAGCAACCGATTTTGTGATGGTGAATATTATCTGCACAATATGGTAGCCACTAGTCAAATACAGCTCTTGAAATATGGCTACTCTGAGGAACTCAATTTTTCATTGGTTTATTTAATAGACACATGCGACTATTGGCACCATATTGGACAGTACAGCTCTGTATCATTGAGTAAATACTTACTGAGCACCTGTAACGTTTCACGTACTCTTGTTTCACGTATGGGCAACCAGCAAAGAACAGAACAAGGTCGCTATTCCCATGAAGCCAATGTTCTGGGGAGGACAATTAACAGATACATACTAGGAGGTACATTAAATGCCATGAAACATGAGCAGGCTAAGTGGATACAGAATGATGGGGCATACTACTTTGACTTGGTAAAGTAGCAGAAGGCTTCTTTATAGTGACATCTGGGTAGAAAGCACAATGAAAGGCGAGAACAAGTCATGTATATCTTGAGGGAAGATGTCCAAGTACAGGGAACAAGGGCAGTCTTCCTATCAAATCACCTGTTCACTTGATCTGTCAGAATCTGAAAGGTAGAATGTTTGGCTCCTACCAAGGGTGTAGCTTTACTAAACTCTTGTACATTCTTTGCTTTATAGAGTTCATGTCTTACTCAATGCATAATGATTCAGAACAGTGGTATCTTGGCAGCTATGAAATACCCCTCTTTGCTCCATTTAATGCTTTCTGATAGTAAGTCTCTACCTTTTTCACTATTAGCTCTCCTTTCTGCTTGCATCTGCCTAATGTACCCTCGTTCCTGTTTTCAACCTTTGGGTGTCATTTTGAGAAAATAAGACAACTTAATTTTTAACCTTATTTGGTGCCTCCTAAATTTTTAGTTACATTTATTAGGTTATTGTTATGCCTAGTCATTTCTGCCTTCTTAATTTTTCTTTGAACCTTTCCTTACTTTTGCTGTATTAAGGCCTTTGCTTCCTTTCTTTAAACTCAGTTTGGAAATCCTATGTTCTGCTAAATGACATCCTTATTTTAGTGGTATTAAAATACTACTTTACACTTTCAGAACCATGAACTTCCTCCTTTGGCTTTTACTGGTAGTCTTGTTTGCAGAATAATGAACAAAAGACCCCAGACATAGACTTGCACTATGAGTTTTAATTGAAAACATTAAAACAGTTTACTCATGATGAATTATAAAAGTTTGGGAGTTAAACTGTACTATCATCTATGAGGCATTCATTATTTTTGTAGACCTGAAAGAAACTTTGTGTACTTGTGTTTTCTGTTTTCATTTCAGAGGAAGATCCTGAAGAGAAGGACTAAAATATTTATAAGTCAAAACCCCCCAACTGAGTTAGAAGTAAAATACAAAGAGAACAAAATCTCTACACAGCTATACTGTGAGGGCAGAGGTCATTTTTAGCTCATGTTTTGGGCATGTAAAACAACTGAGCTCATCTCACACGAAAAAAAACAGGTGCAAGAGTAAAGCTAATTCATGAAAAACACAATCAGTTACTTTTAGCATGCCTCTTAATTTTTCTTTCCCCTGGTTTCTTGTCTTCTGTGCCTGAATCTTGAACAGGTAACCATTTGAGGGGGTGCCGGCGGTAAATGGGCCATGGAGGAAGTGTCAGCTGGGCCAGAACAAAGAAAATGCATTAATTTATAACCCCTGAAAGTTAAAAACACCCTTATGTATGATGCCTCCTAGTGACTCCCAAGTGACTCCTATGCTAAACGCAAAAAAAAAAAACAACACAACTGACATTCTTAGGAAAATTCTATGCACTGCCCAGACAAGACACTGTGAGTGATGAAGACAAAGCTCGGTTTTACACATGAGGCTTTAAGAAAAGGTGAGGAGGGAGCAATGTGAAGGCCACAACACAAATTCCTGCTAGCTTTGACCTTAAGATATTATTGGAGCAGCTGCCAAAAGAAACAAGCTATATCCTTTTATGCAGCTTATCTCATCGGACGCGATCTGGCATTCTACTTTTCCAATAGCAGGTAGGCCACACACTGATGGGAGAGGGTGAGATAAAAAGTCGGTGCCGGTTCTCATGCTAGGTCCGACCAAACCAACCCAATTCACAAAACTTAAGTTGCCACTAACATCCAAACAACCACAAATTTCTTACCAAACACGAAAAAGCAAATCCGGCCATAACGATATAGACAGTCCACCCAAACTGTTCAGCCACGTACCCGTAGATAAATCCAACTATCTAGAGACAAACAAAGTATATTAAATACAGTCAAACTGGGGGTGCGGGGATGGGGAGAGATTACGCAAAACAAATACTTACTGCAGAAAAAAGAATAATCCCCTGAAACATCTGTTCAGCCAGCTTCTGGCCCTTGTAATCCTAGAGGTGAGGAAGAGCAAAGCAGCAATTGGTTCCACCACCACTGAAGTACCTTTACCGACCCGGCTTTACAGCTGGGGCACAGGGCACCCCAACACCAGGGGCCTCCCTAAGGGCCTGGCAAGGCATCAAAGTGTGGACTTCCCGGGGGCGCTGGAGCGTCCTAACGGAGCATGGGCAGGGGCATCCCCCAGGGGGCACGGTTCGGGGAAGAGCCTGCACGGGATCCATCGGGGGCCGCGCCGCGCGGGGTCTACGCTCTGAGCGCTGCGAGGCTGCTGGGCCCGAGCGGGCCGCGCCCTCACCATCTGGGTGGGCAGCGAGCTCAGGTGCCCCAACATGGCTGGCTGAGGAAGCGGGAAGCAGTCGCAACTCGGGGACCCTCGGCGCTGGGGCCCGAACCCCCGTACAGCCGTACGGACAGGAAGAGCCGAGCGGTGCGATGGCCGCGGCCCCGGATGCGGAAGTCTCCCCCAGGCCCGGCCGGCCTGGAGCCCCGCCCTGCATCGTCGCTAGGCGACCTGCGTTTTCGTGGTTGGCGGGGGCCCGGCGCGCCGCGCGCGAGGGCTGAGTTGGCGACAGCCGCGGACGAGTCGAAGCATCGCGCGCCCGTGAAGGGTTCGCCGTCGGTGCTGTTGGGTGCTGGGAGCCGCAACCCCGCGCCCCGAAACCAGCCTCGACGGCGCCTCCAAGGTCTAACGGCTGGCGGCGCGCGCGCCGTCTCCATGGCGACGGGCTTTGCTTGGCGAGGACCCCGGCGGACAGGCTGCCCGGCGGCGCCTGCTCAGCGCCGCGCTCTCGCATACAAGGCGGCAGGCGGGCGTGGGGTGGCGGGACTGCGCCGCGGCCACGGGGCTAGCGGGCGGGCGGGCTTGGTCGGGGGTGAGGGGCCGCGGGCGGCCCGGCGCCGGGCTGAGCCTCGGGGCCTGCGGCGCGGGCGCTGAGCTGGCGGGGCGGGCCGGGCCGCGGGCGGCGGCTCCTCCTCCAGGTAAGGACGGCTGCGGGGAGCGTCCGAGATAACGGCTCTCGGTGCTTAGCCCGGCGTCTCTCCGGGCCGGGGGGTAACCCCCGGAGCTTCACAGCCCCATCGCCCCTGAGCGTAAGGAAGCCCTGTTGACCCCTAGAACTTGGAGGGGTAACCCCAGACCCATCCTCGAGAGAAAGGGACTCCTCGCGGAGAAAGGACCCGGACCTCGGCCGCCCCGTGCAGGGGTACGGAGAGCGCTCCCCCGCGGGAGTCTCTCACCGGCCCTCGCCATGGAGACCAGCTCGGGTTTGCCTGCCTCCCCAGGCTAGTATGTGCCTCAAAAGTTCAGGCCCTCCCCCAGCGCTCCAGGCGAGATGCGGTGCCACGATCGGAGAGAGCCCGGCCGGCCTTTGTGCTGTGTTGCACGTCAGGGTCACAGACTGTGGGATTCCAGGCACTCCCGGGCACTGTGGTGCGTGGCCGCCGCCCTCATTCTTGCAGTCAGCAGCCACGGCCCCTTTTTTGTACGAGGCAGTGAGCCTGGGATACGGCCGGGACCAGTACCAGACCCTTGCCTTTCTAGAGCCCCGAGTGTGTCAAGAGAGGCAAGCTGCATATCCAGAAATATGTGATAGTTGGATTTAGTCTGGGATAGGGATGCCTGTTAGATGGCGGCGGCTCAGGGCAGGCGCAGCCAAAGTGAGGTTTGGGAGAGGCTCCCTTGACCCCAGAGAGCCAAGTAGGAGCTCCGAGATGAAGAGGTCGGAGAGAGTGGATGCATTTCCTTAGTGCCCTTCCACCTTTGAGCGTGGCAGAGGCCAAACAGACTTTCTGTTGTATGTAGAAATAGCCATGCCCCTCAGTGTTACCCTCTTCAAACGCACTTCTCAGGGTGGCATTGACTGAAGAGACTTCATGGTGTTTGAGCTATAAAGATATGATGGGGAAAGGAAATTGCCTCTCAGGTTCCGTTTGAGAGTGTTCTCCATTAGAATCCATGTCTTTCCTTATGTTGGGATTTGTTTTCATGATTATTATCAAAGATTGTCTTCCCTTTCTGAGCTGAGAATCAGCTCTGCCCCTCGATGAACAAGGTCATTCAACAAATATTACCTGGTCACTACCATTTGCCTCATGCACTTTTAGATGGCAAGGATACATAGTAAATGCTTTCGTTGGGGTCCCTGTGCTCATATATTACATTCTGGTCAGAGAAGACACACATGTAAATGAGAATTTCATAATTGAGTGATGAACATTCCTGATGGCCTCTAAAAGGATGTTTAAGAGGACAAAGATAACCTTGGTCATTGGTGACCTTGTCAAGACCAGTTTGAATGGAGCAGCAGGGACTGAACTCTGGTCGGAGGAGGCTAAAGAACACGAGGAGAGGAAATGGAGTTGAGACTTTAAATCTTTTCAAGCTTTCTGAGTGAGGGGGAGCAGAGAATGGGTCTTTGGCCAACTGGGGTGGGGGAAGTGGTGTTTTTTTTTTTTTTTAGAAGGTACCAGAGCATGATAATGTGCGACGGGTATGATCCAGCAGAAAGGGAAGGAGTTTGCTGACGCTACGTGGAGGAGACGGTTACAGACTAGGTTGCAGAGCCTCGGTGGGATGGCCTTTGATGGGGGTACATAGTGACTGGAGGGAGAGCGGATGAGGGGGCAGAGCACAGTGGGCAGGTGCAGGTAGCTAGCGTGGCAGAACAGTGACAGCTCTTTCCCCAGGCTTTACCTGTATTCTGGGTATGCCTGCCCTGGGTGTGAGGTGGGGGGTATGTTTGGGGAATGATTTGGGAATGTGAAGGCTTTATAATTTCTAAGCAAGATATTTTCATAGCGAACAGTTGGATACTGCTGATCAAACTTTACACAGCTGTGTACTTTTACAAAAATACAGCCACTATTACAGATTCCAGGGTCCACATGCAGTTTCGCTTTGAGAATTTCTTCCAACAGATCAGTGAATTCTGTCACCAGGAATAGCACCAGGAAAGAAAATATGGATCTGACATAGTCCATAATAATTGCCATTTTGCATATAGATAACTGCAAGGGCCAGAGCAAGTGGTTTCTGGTTTCCACCTTGCTCATCCACTTCAGCACGTCAGGTACCTGCTAGGCATTGTCTTGGGTCTGGCTAACTGCAAGACCACGAACGTGTGTGCTTCTCAATCCACATACTACCTGTAGCCTTTACGGGACAGTGTTGAGCTAAAACACTGCCTTTTGTTCCATTAACTAAATGAGATTATTTGAGTGAGGTAGTTTTCTTGGCTTGGTGAAAATTGGCTGCAAGCAGGCAGATGTTAGAGCTTTGAGCAGCTCCAGTCTGGCAGCTTCTATTGGTAGGGCTCGGACAACTGTAAAAGAGGCACATGGCTCAGGGTATGTAATATATTAGACTCTTTAGAGAGGAAGTTTATTGGTATAGTCTGCTGTATATATGCTGCTCTAGAAAAAATGCGAGTGTGTTTGTATTTTAGATTATTCTTTGAGAGTCTGGATTATTTTCTCCCAAATTTGTGATCTGGCTTGTGATCCCCTGTTTTAAAACTTTCCTTCTGTATATTAGTCCTCTTTTCAAAAGTCTTGGAAAATTAAGTGCCTGATATGCACACTTTATTTAACATGAAACTAGTTCAAACTTACTTTGATTTTAGAAATAGGCTGTATTTGAAATAGCCTTATGGAAATGTAGGTTCTCCCACTGGGGAAGATGGAAAGTAGAAAAGGGAAAAGGTCCCAAACATAGGCTCACAGTATCCTGGTTGCACAAAATCTGTTTTTAAGGAAACATTACCCAAGAGGTTTTTGTAGAAATCTAATCATTTAATTTAGTTCCACCTACAGTCTTGTTTCCATTGAATTACTTGTTTTGAAAAGTTAAGGCCTCTCAGACTAGCTGGGGAGTACAAACCACGGGCAGTTGACAGTATTAGATGCGATGCAGCTTCTTAAGAGACTGGTAGTTATCCAACAGAGATGAGGCCCCAGAAGAAGCTTGTTTTTTCTTTTCAGTAGATTTTTAATTTTTGAGAAGAGTATATTGAACTTTTGACAGCAAGGTTGGGTTTTGTGAACTTTTGTAATTATGTTTCTCTGCTATAGTTTGAAATGAATTTGGAAAAAGTTCTTTTATCATCTTTACCCCAGTTGGAGGTGAATGGGGTGTACCTTTGAACTGGGAGGTTTTGTACCCATGAGGCTGACCTCAGTTATAGACAGCTGTGTCTGTGTGTAATTGAGCTAAGAATTTTCAGTAGAAATTCATTCAGAGAAGTTTCCATAATTGTTAGTGGTTACACCACACATATTCTTGGTATAATTTCTTTTGCTTTTTGTCTAGTGGCATATAATGTACAAGGCTATCTGTTTCTCCCAGGTTATTGAAAAGTATTTTATTTTCATGACTACCATACAAATTTCAGGTCCCAAATTGGGGTCTTGGAAATTGTTAATTCACAGTGAGTTTCTGGAAGAAAATACCATGTGTACTTGTTTCCACCTGAATAAAAGTGTGTAGGCATTTTGATGGCCATTCTCATGTACCTACTGACTTTGGGGACTTGCTTTTGTTTCGTAGGATTAACAACTAATATTTATATAAGACCGAAGAGAAAGATGTCATTCCGTAAAGGTATGCTCTTTCTTCACGTTAACATTTTTTTTTTTCACTTCTAGTCAAAAGGTAAGGTGAGTAATGGAGGCCTTTCCCCTGTTTGTTTCAGTAAACGTCATCATCCTGGTCCTGGCTGTTGCCCTCTTCTTACTGATTTTGCACCATAACTTCCTCGGCCTGAGTAGTTTGCTAAGGAACGAGGTTTCAGGTATGGGAACCCTTACTCATGCCTTGGTATCTGCTGAGGATCTGGAGTTCCTTGTGTCCCACATCCTACGTTAAAGGAACAGAAAGCTTTCTTCTTGGCCTTATGGAAGCTATTAAGAGAGTCCGGGAAAGGGCATGGTGGTACTCATGTCTTCTTGGAGCAGCCCCCAACCCCGCCAAGGCTTTGATATGATCAAAGCTCCCTTGTCATCAAATCACAGGGCTGCTTTCTGCTCACACGTCTGCAGGGCAGGGCTCCCGAAGGTGGGCACAGGGGTGACGCGGGTGTTTTCTGCCTGCTCTGTTCACTGGTGTCAACCCGCTTCTTTGCTTTACCCATGGAGCCGTATCAGCGGGACTCTAGTAGTAAAAACGGAACCGTGAAGCCTTGTCAACTGATCCAAAAAATCACTTTCTTGTGTAATTCCATTGCCAGTTACTTTAAATTAATTGTTCATACTGCTATGCCTCGGTGCTGAGGGATGTTTGAGGCTTCAAGTTATTTGTCAGAAATCATTTGTGGGTTGCCATCCACCACAGTTGGCCAGAGCAAGCAAAGACAGACAGCGTTTCCCTGACTCTTACCAACAACTCCGACAGTGTTTTATAATAGGGTGCAGCACATGTGTGTGCTCACGTGTGTACATGCGGTAATGTGTGCTCCTGGTGGGAACATTTTTAAAAAGGAAATAGCATTCAAGGTCCACAAGAGCGGTCAGTTCTCTGCTTTATCTCTGTGACCTGTGGATGACGGCTGGTACGTAGGAGGGTTCAGTCACTGAATAAATGATTCTATTGACTAGAGATAACTATTATTAAGATTTTGGCTTAGTACCTTACAGTTTTTTTCTCTACGTATATATATTTTCTATTATGAAACTATAATGTATATAAATGGCATATACGACATGTTTCTCCACGTGATTATATCCTAAACATGTCACGGTGACAGTAGAAACTCTCTCTCTGGAGTTTTCATGTCATAGTTCTCTTGCTTGCACAGGAGAGACAGTCCTTTGGTACAGTGACCTTGACTGCTTTGGACGGCAGCCCCACAGTAAGGAATGTGTCCCGCACAGCACGCACACACAGGTCTTGGTTTACTGTCTGCCCTTCACGAGCGTGGAGATTGGTCTTAGTCGTGGCTGTGACTCCAGTGCCCGTGTCTTGCTTGGCACTCACTATTCAGTGAGTGATGAGTGAATAAGCGAATGAGTATATTATAAAAGGCAGAAAGGAAGGTTTACCAAACAATACTTGGAGTTGCACTGTGTGATGCACTCTGATATTTTCTAAATCCGTGTTCTCTGCCAGTTTGGAAACAGCTTTTCTATCAAATTCTGATTGTGACCCACTGAATTGATTTTTTGCCTGTTCATGGGACAGGATTTGTGGTTTGAAAAGCAACTGTTTCGTTTCTAGGTTTTCAAAATGACGAAATTGTGACTTGATTACCTCATATTTTGTTAAGAGAAGGAAGGGAAATTATGGGGCCAAAGGCCACTGTGCAAGGCTCTTGATACAAATTGCCAAAATACATTCTAGAAGAATTCTGTTACACCTACTAGTAGTATATCAGAATTGGGTCAACCAATTTTTTTTTTAATGCTGCTTCTGCCTTTCCAAAAGCCTGATTCCATATGGGAAACACAGTTTCTGGGCCGTGTGCTTCGCCCTGTAATGGGGAGAATGAGGTAAAAGCCTGATAATCCTCACCTTGGCTCTTCTCCTGGCTTGGGCTCTGCAGCAGAAGCTCATGAGATCGTGTTTGTATCACAGCACCTTCTTTGAAATGTGTGTTTTTTGCAGATTCAGGAATTGTGGGGCTTCAACCGATAGACTTTGTCCTAAATGCTCCCCAACATGGGGCAGATGAGCGACAAGAGGAGATTCCTGTGGTCATTGCTGCATCCGAAGATAGGCTCGGTGGGGCCGTTGCAGCCATAAACAGCATTCAGCACAACACACACTCCGACGTGATTTTCTACATTGTTACGCTCAACAGTACAGCAGACCATCTCCGGTGAGCTTTGCTTGCCTGGTGACTCTGCTGTCAGATAAAGCTCTAGGGCAGGCTAGCAGCCAGTTTGGGAACATTTTCTTCTCTGTGTATGTTGCTTCTATACATATAAGTTGGGATAACGCCACATATAAGCTGCCCATATGACGTTTTTCCACGTGATTATATCGCAGGCATATCCCCAGATAGCGGAAACGATAGAAGGAACTTGCGCCAAGATGTCAGTCAGCTGTCACTGTGCACGCTCAAGGCAATACTGTTTTGGTAATGTGACTTTCTTGATGAAGGGAGCAGCATGTTGATTTACATCCTGTTACAAGGTTCTCTCTCGGATGTCCTCTGAGTAGTTCTGATCTAGTGTGGGAAGGGACAGGAGCAATGGCAAGATAGAGTGTCAAGCAAGCGTAGACCCTGATCTAAATCCTGGTCCAGTGACTGGGGAACTTACCCAACCCCTTGAAGCCCTCCTCATCTGTGAGTATGGGGTGAAAATATCCAACTTAAGAATATTGTTAGGTCAAGTAAATGGAAAAATATATTAAAAATACCAAGCACATAATGGCTCAGTAAATGGTCCTTATTATAATTGTTATGATCAATAATATCAACCCAATCTGGACAATCCCACCTATTTTGAAAATGCTTTGAATTCTTACTAAGTGTATTCCAAGAAACATCATGTCTAACAGGTTAATAGCCGTCAAGTTCTAAAATATTCCTACTCTTGTGTTTTCTCTGGTTCATGTTTATGAGTTATTATGTTTTTCTGTATTTTAAAAGCTCAGAAACCATCTAAATTAACAAAGAATCAAATAGTGCATTACAATAGACTACAGGAAGGCCCAGGAAGAGGTGCCACGCTTCCTAGAGAACACTGCCTTTCCTCAGAGGCAGTGCCTTAGACTCAGGTGGGGGTCACTTAGTGCGGGGAGTTCATGAGTCTGTGGTAACAGACTGCTTACCAGCATGGCTGATCATTAGCGCTCACTACCATCATCGTTTGACTCATTTCCTTGACCCGAGTGTTTGGGGACACGGCTGAATGGGCCATGTGTTAAGTCTACAGTGAATTCTTGTACAGCAGTTTGAGTGTCAGAGGGTGATCATCCAGGTGAGCCCTATGGAGCACCAGCCACTACCAGTCTTGGTTCAGGAGGGACTTTGGGTAGCAGTGTTCACTCCAGATGAGGAAGCCGAGGCTCAGAGGGGTGAGAGGGCTTGAAGATATTCCCAGGGCTTCTCTTACATCACAGCCTCATTGGAAGGTAAGGTTGCAATTTGGAGGCATGATTAAAACTGAAATTTGGTAATAAATTCCACCAGGTCCTGGCTCAGCAGCAGTACCCTGAAAAGCATCAGGTACAAAATTGTGAATTTTGACGCTAAAGTTTTGGAAGGGAAAGTAAAGGACGATCCTGACCAGGGGGAATCCATGAAACCAGTGAGTCCTGTGCATCGTTTGTACTGGGGAGTATTCGAAGTGACTGGAGTACCTGGGTGACTGGGCGCAGTGCATGTGCAGTCCCATGGACCGTCAGCCGTCTTCTCCCGCGGGGGCACTGAGCATTGGCGGGGTGCCTAGTGAGGGCAGAGCCGCTGATGAATGCTACGCCAATGCCTCTTGTTTTCCTTCCTCAGTTAACCTTTGCAAGGTTCTACTTGCCAAGTCTGGTTCCCAGGGCAAAGAAGGTCATATATGTGGATGATGATGTGATCGTGCAAGGTACCAAGGAACGCCACCATCAGTGCTGTTCTGTCCAGTGTGGGCTGTTGTGGCGTACAGGGCACCCTCTAAAGGTCATCCTGAGTGAGTGGAATAGAGCATCTGGGTAAGTCGGAGTGTCGGTCTCACCCCTTCCTATTTCAGGGGATATCCTTGCCCTCTACAATACGCCACTAAAGCCAGGACATGCAGCTGCGTTTTCAGAAGACTGTGATTCGGCTTCCACTAAAGTCATCATCCGTGGGGCGGGGAACCAGGTGAGTTATTTATTAGATCCCTATGCAGACATTCCGTGCCCTCCTCTATAGTGCAGGTTAGTGCGACAGGCAGCAAAGGGGGAATTCATTTTCTGCTGCATTTTACATACTCATTTCATCCCCAAACTCAAGCCTGCTTTCCTATAGATTGTGTTGTGGACTTGACACTGAATTCTCCTTGAACATCTGGCTTAATGTATTGTTTACTCTGGGTTCCTTTTCTAACTTGGAATCCCAAGTGTTGCTTTTATTTGCTTTATGTGGTACCCTTTGCTATCTGAGAAGCAGTTAAATAAGCAGGTTTATTGCTTTACTGGCTATCAAATTACTGTTTGAGTCAATATCCCATTTGTATTTTAGTACAATTACATTGGATACCTTGACTATAAAAAGGAAAGAATTCGTAAGCTCTCTATGAAAGCCAGCACCTGTTCATTCAATCCTGGAGTTTTTGTTGCAAACCTGACAGAATGGAAAAGACAGAATATAACCAACCAGCTGGAAAAATGGATGAAACTCAATGTAGAGTAAGTATGGAACGGGCCCACCCATGCAGGCCTGTATCTCAGCTCTGGGGGCCCAGACCAGCGGGAACCAGGATCCTCACTAACAGCTTGTCTGTCACCTGCCCCACCCAGAGAGGGCCTGTACAGCAGAACGCTGGCAGCCAGCAGCACCACCCCACCTCTGCTGATCGTGTTTTACCAGCAGCACTCCACCATTGATCCGATGTGGAACGTCCGCCACCTGGGTGAGTAGGAGCAGTGGGCCCGAAGCCCGGCTGACAAGAGGACTGCTCTCGGATGGGGATATATCCGGGTTCCCGAAGTTTTCTGACTTTGATGGGGCACTGGCTTGTGTCTGACTAAGTCATTTGGCCCTTTCTCTCAATGTAAGGTTCCAGTGCTGGAAAACGCTATTCACCCCAGTTTGTGAAGGCTGCCAAGCTACTCCACTGGAACGGGCACTTTAAGCCATGGGGAAGGGCTGCCTCATATACTGAGGTCTGGGAAAAATGGTATGTTCCGGATCCAACAGGCAAGTTCAGCCTAATCCGAAGACACATGGAGATCTCAAATGTAAAGTAAAATATACTTTATGCTACTGACATCTCAGGAAATCCTGGCACGTGTGGGAAGTAACAGTTGCTAGGCCTCAGTGTGCATTTACCACAAGCCACGGGAAAAGGAGCCTTTCAACTGGGTAGAGGACCACCTACCTGCCTGGCAGTCAGCTTCCCAGAGAGACCACCTGTCTCCACCTGCCCTCCCACGTGTGTGCTTACTCTGGTGCCAAACGATGGGCTGTTCGGCGGGCACAGCTAGTTCATGCTGCTCCTTGGTTTTAATGTTGTAACCTTAACCTGTGGCCCGATTTATAAATAAAGTGAAACCTACATTTTTCAGTAGGTATTTGGTGTTTTGCTTGTAAATAACTATCCTACTCACTCACTGTATGAGATGAACTATCTTTTTATGGAGTTCAGAAATTGCCTGATTTTTAGAAATGAATATATCATGGTACACATTCACAGAATTTACACAGCTTACGTCATAACGTAACAAACTGGTACATCACACACATAACAGTCTGCTCAAAATGTCAAAACAAACCCAAAAACCCTTGTAAGATGACAAGGTTCTTTCATATATAGTCTGCACTGAAGTCGTAGGCATCATCTTCCTCTTCAGCCATTGCATCCAAAACATGAGATTGTGCATGCTGTTCAACTATATTGGAGGAAAGAAAAGTGTGATTAAAAAAAAAAACCAAGTAAAAGCAATTGTTTCACGCGGCTTTGTTAGAAGAAACCTCCGCCCGACTTACCTGCTTGAGACTCCCCAGGCAGTGCCTCCCAGGCCTCTTCTGCCAGGGACTCATCTGAGCTCTTTTCCTGAGGAACAAAGACAAAGTCCTAGATTAGTATCCCTCGCCTGCTCATTCAAGAAACTGGGTTATCTGGAAAGTCTCTGAACATACATGTAACGGGAGGCGTGAATTAAGAATGGCTGCAAGCCTTAAATGCCTCGGTGGTATGGGGCTTTCCTGTGGTTTCTTACCCAGCCCCTTCCCATCCGCTGCACACGGGAAGGCTAGAGCTTCGGCTTAACCCCCGCGCAGCACACTCACAGCAGCTCCTTCAGCACTGCTCTCCCCGCCGCGGCCAGTGTCCTTGCAGTCCTGCTGCTCACGCTTCCTCTCTTCTGGCAGCTCCTCGGCTATGTCTGTTTCCTCTATTATTCCATTTGTCAGACCTGAAGACTGGAAAAGGATGCTACTGGCCAAACGGGGTCCCCTGATGGCTGGAGAAGGAATAGAGCCCGTGAAAACGGGTGAGACCTTGTACTGGCCTGTCGGCCACTGAAGATAGCAGTCAGATGCGAGCTCTGCTCACCCTGTATGCTGCGTGTATTGTTCTTCTCCAGCTCCTCCAGATTAAAGCCCCGGTTCATGTCCGTTATGATGCCCTCAGTGAAATGTGGAGGAGGAGCCCAGGATGTAGGCGGATGGCAATAGTAACCCAAGGAGGCACTGTATTAAAACAAGATTGTCAAAGATCAGTTCCTTTACTCGACGTGGCTATCAAAATGCCAAGAGAAAGCAGCCTTACCCTGTCCACTCAGACCACAGCAGCTTGGCAGCACCTTCTACATTTGGGCCTCCACCTTTTCGCTGCAGTCCTCTTCTCTGAGCAAGTGAAGTAAAAAACTCCAGAGAATTCTTAAAGTCTGGAATAGTAAATCTCAGTACTACCTTAAAAAAGGAAAAGCAAAACAATCATTCATAACGACATAAAAAAAAAAGATAAACTTGAAAATTGTCTACGTTTAAGTGCTTACAATGAAAGAGGACACGGAGCTCCGGGGAAGGGGTTCTTTTACCTGTCGAGTGTCAGCCTGGGACAGGATGGCACTCGCAGCCTCCACTGCTTTTACTGCTTCAATACTAGCTGGACTTCTCAGAGCCAGTGCAGTGGCGGAGTTAGCCGGAGACACGATGAAACTTGGGCTATCTAGGACTGTGATTTGTTTGTCCAGGGGGACAACCTGCATACTCCTAGATGAGAGAGGGGTTTTGGTTGGGGACCCTGGTGTACCCGAAGGACAAGACAGAACGTGAAGCTCAGGGTTGGATTGAACAGACTCAGCACAGTCTGTCAGACCCAGTTTATCATCATCTGCTTCATGTTTGTCTGAAACTGTAACAGTGCACACTCCCCTTCTAAAGAGAAACGCTATGTGTTATAGTTTATACATTGATGTGAACACGCGGTTCCCAGCCAAAACTATTTTCCCTCTTCTGTCAGACTTCTATTTATTTTAAGGTCAGGCTCAAGCATCACCTCCTGAGGCAGCTTTCCCCTCTCTGCCTGTCTGCTTGTCTTTCAGATTGGACTGTGGGCAGCTATCCCATTCCAATTAATCCTTCCCCAGCCCTAGCACTGGCTTATCCCACTTCTTTTCACTGACATCTCTAATAGATATATAGAAAACTGTCTTCAGATACCCAAAGCAAAGTCTCATTTACTCATCGAAAGGAAATCCTGTAATTACAGAACAACTCAGTTTACCTTGTAAGTCCCATGGACACACCAACGTTACATATCTGTTCCTGTTTTAAGCTGTTGATGATGCTGCTTTTCCCCACATTTGGGAAACCTACAAATGGGAAATCCAGAGATACAAAAGGCATTATGAGCTGGTAATTATATTTCTGGTGCTTTTTGTTTTATGCTTGCCTGATATTCAGACCACAATCAGAGTTGGATTCAACACTAAGACCAATCTTTGCATCTTCATTTCTTACACAAGTAATGGAAAGGCAGAAGAAAATGATTAATTCAAATAAACCAGGAGCTTTCAGAAGCCAATTTCCTACACTGGACAGTTGGCAACACAATGAATTAGACAGCAATTACTTAAAATTTGTTTTTTTTTTCACACTCGGTGTGTTTGGTGAGGTGGGGAAGAAGTTAAATGTTTGAACAAGCCTTTTATTTAGTGATAACCCCATACATTAACATGGAAAAATTGTTGGCACTTAAGAGATAGACATGTTGAATGAAACTTACCAATTACTCCAACCTGAATGGCTTTACTGTAAGTCTCTTGAAAACTTCCAAGAAGCTTCCAAAGGCCTTCTTTCCCAACACAGACTTCACTTTTGAATGGAGCACGTTTCTTCCTTACCTTCACATGTTAAAATCCCAAATTAGTTAAACCATTTCTGCCAACCCACCAGATAAAGCCCAAGCAGTGTGGACCCAGGGCCCAGCTAGTAAAATCACCACAGTCTATCGCCTTTCAGATTATCTCTGGGTGAAATCAGAGTTGGATCTTACAAGTTTTCATCTTTTAATCAAGATTTTGTACACTCATCATATTTCAGCCATCCAAATCTGAAAGACCCACCCTTCCCAGCACTAACAGTGAAGGGTACCTTGGTCATCTTCCCTTTGTCCTTCAGTTTTGTGGAGGCTTTGAACACTACTGTTGGCAATTCCTTCTTCAAATAATTAAGCCAGTTTTCTAAATTCTCCTTCGGCACCAAATCTGATAGGGATTAAGAGTAAGACACATGTTGCGATTTGGTCATTTTGAGATCAATCTGCAAAATTTGGTGAGCTTTGGATTTCACCCTGGTTTGCCTTTTCTCAAAAAGATTTAACTGGACAATGAGGAAAGGGTACGTTCCCTACCGTGCTGCCTTACCCTAAGAGTTTACTATATACACCCTCTGTGTTTCTTCAGTGCCTTCTGCATTCACCCTTTCAGGATTAAGACAACCTCTAGGTTATCACCCTCCTAACCCTGGTGGTGGTCCAGGGGTTATCTGAGGCAGCAGCCATGTCTACTGAGCGCAATGGTAATCTCAGATCCCCCTCTTCTGCTTCACCCATCTCTGCTCTGGGTTTTCCTGACCCTCATGCTCAAACCCAGATACACAACTATGCATTTCATCTAAACGTCATCACATGCTGACATTATGCAGGTGTGGGGAGTAGGGCTCAGGGCCACCACTCTCTGTGTGAAGACAAACTGCCCAGTAAGATTACAGAAGCTTACACTCTTCAAGACAGCATAAGTATTGAACGGCCAAAGGACAGAAAAAACCAGTAAAGTCACTTGTGGGAACACCTTCATCCCACTGCCCAGCTCTGTCTTTGGCAACAAGAGCACATATGCACTGGCTTTTTTGAGGTCAGAGTTGGATCTTACAGTCTTCAGTGATGATCAGACTGTTCAGATGTCTTCCTCATACCTCACCAATGCACAGGGAACATAAAGGGAATCCCTTATACTCACCTGATTTATTTAATACAAGCACCAGTTTCTTTTGTCCACCCTGGACAATGGCCTCTTCTACTTGGGGGCACCTACAACCAAGAGGATCTCTGGCATCCAACACCTCCAGCAAGACATCCGAAGCTTCAATCACCTGGCCAAGGTAGAAACTATCAGAAGAGCAACACTCTCTGCTGAAGTATTCTGGCACTGTCCACTTTGCAACAGGGTGAGCTCAGAGTTGGATCTCACATCTTCACTTTGGTGTAGAGAAAGGTCACAAGCTCATCATTTCTCACAGGAAAGTGAAACACAGGTTTGTTCAGTGGCCTCTGGCTTTCTCATCAAAGTAATTCCAAAAGTGGAACTTCATCCACTGTCTGAATATATAATCCTGCCACAGCGAGTCAGGTGGTTTGATAGGTGTTCACAGCCCTGCCAAGAGCTGCTGAGCACAGCTGGTTCTGTTCACAGTGGGGGTGAGCTTGGGAAAACAGATGCTGGGGATGGGAGCTGGGGAGCAACTACACCAGGACACCCCCTTGACCTCCTTCGCAGCACTGTAGGGATTGGTTTTCGCANGGAAGCTATTAAGAGAGTCCGGGAAAGGGCATGGTGGTACTCATGTCTTCTTGGAGCAGCCCCCAACCCCGCCAAGGCTTTGATATGATCAAAGCTCCCTTGTCATCAAATCACAGGGCTGCTTTCTGCTCACACGTCTGCAGGGCAGGGCTCCCGAAGGTGGGCACAGGGGTGACGCGGGTGTTTTCTGCCTGCTCTGTTCACTGGTGTCAACCCGCTTCTTTGCTTTACCCATGGAGCCGTATCAGCGGGACTCTAGTAGTAAAAACGGAACCGTGAAGCCTTGTCAACTGATCCAAAAAATCACTTTCTTGTGTAATTCCATTGCCAGTTACTTTAAATTAATTGTTCATACTGCTATGCCTCGGTGCTGAGGGATGTTTGAGGCTTCAAGTTATTTGTCAGAAATCATTTGTGGGTTGCCATCCACCACAGTTGGCCAGAGCAAGCAAAGACAGACAGCGTTTCCCTGACTCTTACCAACAACTCCGACAGTGTTTTATAATAGGGTGCAGCACATGTGTGTGCTCACGTGTGTACATGCGGTAATGTGTGCTCCTGGTGGGAACATTTTTAAAAAGGAAATAGCATTCAAGGTCCACAAGAGCGGTCAGTTCTCTGCTTTATCTCTGTGACCTGTGGATGACGGCTGGTACGTAGGAGGGTTCAGTCACTGAATAAATGATTCTATTGACTAGAGATAACTATTATTAAGATTTTGGCTTAGTACCTTACAGTTTTTTTCTCTACGTATATATATTTTCTATTATGAAACTATAATGTATATAAATGGCATATACGACATGTTTCTCCACGTGATTATATCCTAAACATGTCACGGTGACAGTAGAAACTCTCTCTCTGGAGTTTTCATGTCATAGTTCTCTTGCTTGCACAGGAGAGACAGTCCTTTGGTACAGTGACCTTGACTGCTTTGGACGGCAGCCCCACAGTAAGGAATGTGTCCCGCACAGCACGCACACACAGGTCTTGGTTTACTGTCTGCCCTTCACGAGCGTGGAGATTGGTCTTAGTCGTGGCTGTGACTCCAGTGCCCGTGTCTTGCTTGGCACTCACTATTCAGTGAGTGATGAGTGAATAAGCGAATGAGTATATTATAAAAGGCAGAAAGGAAGGTTTACCAAACAATACTTGGAGTTGCACTGTGTGATGCACTCTGATATTTTCTAAATCCGTGTTCTCTGCCAGTTTGGAAACAGCTTTTCTATCAAATTCTGATTGTGACCCACTGAATTGATTTTTTGCCTGTTCATGGGACAGGATTTGTGGTTTGAAAAGCAACTGTTTCGTTTCTAGGTTTTCAAAATGACGAAATTGTGACTTGATTACCTCATATTTTGTTAAGAGAAGGAAGGGAAATTATGGGGCCAAAGGCCACTGTGCAAGGCTCTTGATACAAATTGCCAAAATACATTCTAGAAGAATTCTGTTACACCTACTAGTAGTATATCAGAATTGGGTCAACCAATTTTTTTTTTAATGCTGCTTCTGCCTTTCCAAAAGCCTGATTCCATATGGGAAACACAGTTTCTGGGCCGTGTGCTTCGCCCTGTAATGGGGAGAATGAGGTAAAAGCCTGATAATCCTCACCTTGGCTCTTCTCCTGGCTTGGGCTCTGCAGCAGAAGCTCATGAGATCGTGTTTGTATCACAGCACCTTCTTTGAAATGTGTGTTTTTTGCAGATTCAGGAATTGTGGGGCTTCAACCGATAGACTTTGTCCTAAATGCTCCCCAACATGGGGCAGATGAGCGACAAGAGGAGATTCCTGTGGTCATTGCTGCATCCGAAGATAGGCTCGGTGGGGCCGTTGCAGCCATAAACAGCATTCAGCACAACACACACTCCGACGTGATTTTCTACATTGTTACGCTCAACAGTACAGCAGACCATCTCCGGTGAGCTTTGCTTGCCTGGTGACTCTGCTGTCAGATAAAGCTCTAGGGCAGGCTAGCAGCCAGTTTGGGAACATTTTCTTCTCTGTGTATGTTGCTTCTATACATATAAGTTGGGATAACGCCACATATAAGCTGCCCATATGACGTTTTTCCACGTGATTATATCGCAGGCATATCCCCAGATAGCGGAAACGATAGAAGGAACTTGCGCCAAGATGTCAGTCAGCTGTCACTGTGCACGCTCAAGGCAATACTGTTTTGGTAATGTGACTTTCTTGATGAAGGGAGCAGCATGTTGATTTACATCCTGTTACAAGGTTCTCTCTCGGATGTCCTCTGAGTAGTTCTGATCTAGTGTGGGAAGGGACAGGAGCAATGGCAAGATAGAGTGTCAAGCAAGCGTAGACCCTGATCTAAATCCTGGTCCAGTGACTGGGGAACTTACCCAACCCCTTGAAGCCCTCCTCATCTGTGAGTATGGGGTGAAAATATCCAACTTAAGAATATTGTTAGGTCAAGTAAATGGAAAAATATATTAAAAATACCAAGCACATAATGGCTCAGTAAATGGTCCTTATTATAATTGTTATGATCAATAATATCAACCCAATCTGGACAATCCCACCTATTTTGAAAATGCTTTGAATTCTTACTAAGTGTATTCCAAGAAACATCATGTCTAACAGGTTAATAGCCGTCAAGTTCTAAAATATTCCTACTCTTGTGTTTTCTCTGGTTCATGTTTATGAGTTATTATGTTTTTCTGTATTTTAAAAGCTCAGAAACCATCTAAATTAACAAAGAATCAAATAGTGCATTACAATAGACTACAGGAAGGCCCAGGAAGAGGTGCCACGCTTCCTAGAGAACACTGCCTTTCCTCAGAGGCAGTGCCTTAGACTCAGGTGGGGGTCACTTAGTGCGGGGAGTTCATGAGTCTGTGGTAACAGACTGCTTACCAGCATGGCTGATCATTAGCGCTCACTACCATCATCGTTTGACTCATTTCCTTGACCCGAGTGTTTGGGGACACGGCTGAATGGGCCATGTGTTAAGTCTACAGTGAATTCTTGTACAGCAGTTTGAGTGTCAGAGGGTGATCATCCAGGTGAGCCCTATGGAGCACCAGCCACTACCAGTCTTGGTTCAGGAGGGACTTTGGGTAGCAGTGTTCACTCCAGATGAGGAAGCCGAGGCTCAGAGGGGTGAGAGGGCTTGAAGATATTCCCAGGGCTTCTCTTACATCACAGCCTCATTGGAAGGTAAGGTTGCAATTTGGAGGCATGATTAAAACTGAAATTTGGTAATAAATTCCACCAGGTCCTGGCTCAGCAGCAGTACCCTGAAAAGCATCAGGTACAAAATTGTGAATTTTGACGCTAAAGTTTTGGAAGGGAAAGTAAAGGACGATCCTGACCAGGGGGAATCCATGAAACCAGTGAGTCCTGTGCATCGTTTGTACTGGGGAGTATTCGAAGTGACTGGAGTACCTGGGTGACTGGGCGCAGTGCATGTGCAGTCCCATGGACCGTCAGCCGTCTTCTCCCGCGGGGGCACTGAGCATTGGCGGGGTGCCTAGTGAGGGCAGAGCCGCTGATGAATGCTACGCCAATGCCTCTTGTTTTCCTTCCTCAGTTAACCTTTGCAAGGTTCTACTTGCCAAGTCTGGTTCCCAGGGCAAAGAAGGTCATATATGTGGATGATGATGTGATCGTGCAAGGTACCAAGGAACGCCACCATCAGTGCTGTTCTGTCCAGTGTGGGCTGTTGTGGCGTACAGGGCACCCTCTAAAGGTCATCCTGAGTGAGTGGAATAGAGCATCTGGGTAAGTCGGAGTGTCGGTCTCACCCCTTCCTATTTCAGGGGATATCCTTGCCCTCTACAATACGCCACTAAAGCCAGGACATGCAGCTGCGTTTTCAGAAGACTGTGATTCGGCTTCCACTAAAGTCATCATCCGTGGGGCGGGGAACCAGGTGAGTTATTTATTAGATCCCTATGCAGACATTCCGTGCCCTCCTCTATAGTGCAGGTTAGTGCGACAGGCAGCAAAGGGGGAATTCATTTTCTGCTGCATTTTACATACTCATTTCATCCCCAAACTCAAGCCTGCTTTCCTATAGATTGTGTTGTGGACTTGACACTGAATTCTCCTTGAACATCTGGCTTAATGTATTGTTTACTCTGGGTTCCTTTTCTAACTTGGAATCCCAAGTGTTGCTTTTATTTGCTTTATGTGGTACCCTTTGCTATCTGAGAAGCAGTTAAATAAGCAGGTTTATTGCTTTACTGGCTATCAAATTACTGTTTGAGTCAATATCCCATTTGTATTTTAGTACAATTACATTGGATACCTTGACTATAAAAAGGAAAGAATTCGTAAGCTCTCTATGAAAGCCAGCACCTGTTCATTCAATCCTGGAGTTTTTGTTGCAAACCTGACAGAATGGAAAAGACAGAATATAACCAACCAGCTGGAAAAATGGATGAAACTCAATGTAGAGTAAGTATGGAACGGGCCCACCCATGCAGGCCTGTATCTCAGCTCTGGGGGCCCAGACCAGCGGGAACCAGGATCCTCACTAACAGCTTGTCTGTCACCTGCCCCACCCAGAGAGGGCCTGTACAGCAGAACGCTGGCAGCCAGCAGCACCACCCCACCTCTGCTGATCGTGTTTTACCAGCAGCACTCCACCATTGATCCGATGTGGAACGTCCGCCACCTGGGTGAGTAGGAGCAGTGGGCCCGAAGCCCGGCTGACAAGAGGACTGCTCTCGGATGGGGATATATCCGGGTTCCCGAAGTTTTCTGACTTTGATGGGGCACTGGCTTGTGTCTGACTAAGTCATTTGGCCCTTTCTCTCAATGTAAGGTTCCAGTGCTGGAAAACGCTATTCACCCCAGTTTGTGAAGGCTGCCAAGCTACTCCACTGGAACGGGCACTTTAAGCCATGGGGAAGGGCTGCCTCATATACTGAGGTCTGGGAAAAATGGTATGTTCCGGATCCAACAGGCAAGTTCAGCCTAATCCGAAGACACATGGAGATCTCAAATGTAAAGTAAAATATACTTTATGCTACTGACATCTCAGGAAATCCTGGCACGTGTGGGAAGTAACAGTTGCTAGGCCTCAGTGTGCATTTACCACAAGCCACGGGAAAAGGAGCCTTTCAACTGGGTAGAGGACCACCTACCTGCCTGGCAGTCAGCTTCCCAGAGAGACCACCTGTCTCCACCTGCCCTCCCACGTGTGTGCTTACTCTGGTGCCAAACGATGGGCTGTTCGGCGGGCACAGCTAGTTCATGCTGCTCCTTGGTTTTAATGTTGTAACCTTAACCTGTGGCCCGATTTATAAATAAAGTGAAACCTACATTTTTCAGTAGGTATTTGGTGTTTTGCTTGTAAATAACTATCCTACTCACTCACTGTATGAGATGAACTATCTTTTTATGGAGTTCAGAAATTGCCTGATTTTTAGAAATGAATATATCATGGTACACATTCACAGAATTTACACAGCTTACGTCATAACGTAACAAACTGGTACATCACACACATAACAGTCTGCTCAAAATGTCAAAACAAACCCAAAAACCCTTGTAAGATGACAAGGTTCTTTCATATATAGTCTGCACTGAAGTCGTAGGCATCATCTTCCTCTTCAGCCATTGCATCCAAAACATGAGATTGTGCATGCTGTTCAACTATATTGGAGGAAAGAAAAGTGTGATTAAAAAAAAAAACCAAGTAAAAGCAATTGTTTCACGCGGCTTTGTTAGAAGAAACCTCCGCCCGACTTACCTGCTTGAGACTCCCCAGGCAGTGCCTCCCAGGCCTCTTCTGCCAGGGACTCATCTGAGCTCTTTTCCTGAGGAACAAAGACAAAGTCCTAGATTAGTATCCCTCGCCTGCTCATTCAAGAAACTGGGTTATCTGGAAAGTCTCTGAACATACATGTAACGGGAGGCGTGAATTAAGAATGGCTGCAAGCCTTAAATGCCTCGGTGGTATGGGGCTTTCCTGTGGTTTCTTACCCAGCCCCTTCCCATCCGCTGCACACGGGAAGGCTAGAGCTTCGGCTTAACCCCCGCGCAGCACACTCACAGCAGCTCCTTCAGCACTGCTCTCCCCGCCGCGGCCAGTGTCCTTGCAGTCCTGCTGCTCACGCTTCCTCTCTTCTGGCAGCTCCTCGGCTATGTCTGTTTCCTCTATTATTCCATTTGTCAGACCTGAAGACTGGAAAAGGATGCTACTGGCCAAACGGGGTCCCCTGATGGCTGGAGAAGGAATAGAGCCCGTGAAAACGGGTGAGACCTTGTACTGGCCTGTCGGCCACTGAAGATAGCAGTCAGATGCGAGCTCTGCTCACCCTGTATGCTGCGTGTATTGTTCTTCTCCAGCTCCTCCAGATTAAAGCCCCGGTTCATGTCCGTTATGATGCCCTCAGTGAAATGTGGAGGAGGAGCCCAGGATGTAGGCGGATGGCAATAGTAACCCAAGGAGGCACTGTATTAAAACAAGATTGTCAAAGATCAGTTCCTTTACTCGACGTGGCTATCAAAATGCCAAGAGAAAGCAGCCTTACCCTGTCCACTCAGACCACAGCAGCTTGGCAGCACCTTCTACATTTGGGCCTCCACCTTTTCGCTGCAGTCCTCTTCTCTGAGCAAGTGAAGTAAAAAACTCCAGAGAATTCTTAAAGTCTGGAATAGTAAATCTCAGTACTACCTTAAAAAAGGAAAAGCAAAACAATCATTCATAACGACATAAAAAAAAAAGATAAACTTGAAAATTGTCTACGTTTAAGTGCTTACAATGAAAGAGGACACGGAGCTCCGGGGAAGGGGTTCTTTTACCTGTCGAGTGTCAGCCTGGGACAGGATGGCACTCGCAGCCTCCACTGCTTTTACTGCTTCAATACTAGCTGGACTTCTCAGAGCCAGTGCAGTGGCGGAGTTAGCCGGAGACACGATGAAACTTGGGCTATCTAGGACTGTGATTTGTTTGTCCAGGGGGACAACCTGCATACTCCTAGATGAGAGAGGGGTTTTGGTTGGGGACCCTGGTGTACCCGAAGGACAAGACAGAACGTGAAGCTCAGGGTTGGATTGAACAGACTCAGCACAGTCTGTCAGACCCAGTTTATCATCATCTGCTTCATGTTTGTCTGAAACTGTAACAGTGCACACTCCCCTTCTAAAGAGAAACGCTATGTGTTATAGTTTATACATTGATGTGAACACGCGGTTCCCAGCCAAAACTATTTTCCCTCTTCTGTCAGACTTCTATTTATTTTAAGGTCAGGCTCAAGCATCACCTCCTGAGGCAGCTTTCCCCTCTCTGCCTGTCTGCTTGTCTTTCAGATTGGACTGTGGGCAGCTATCCCATTCCAATTAATCCTTCCCCAGCCCTAGCACTGGCTTATCCCACTTCTTTTCACTGACATCTCTAATAGATATATAGAAAACTGTCTTCAGATACCCAAAGCAAAGTCTCATTTACTCATCGAAAGGAAATCCTGTAATTACAGAACAACTCAGTTTACCTTGTAAGTCCCATGGACACACCAACGTTACATATCTGTTCCTGTTTTAAGCTGTTGATGATGCTGCTTTTCCCCACATTTGGGAAACCTACAAATGGGAAATCCAGAGATACAAAAGGCATTATGAGCTGGTAATTATATTTCTGGTGCTTTTTGTTTTATGCTTGCCTGATATTCAGACCACAATCAGAGTTGGATTCAACACTAAGACCAATCTTTGCATCTTCATTTCTTACACAAGTAATGGAAAGGCAGAAGAAAATGATTAATTCAAATAAACCAGGAGCTTTCAGAAGCCAATTTCCTACACTGGACAGTTGGCAACACAATGAATTAGACAGCAATTACTTAAAATTTGTTTTTTTTTTCACACTCGGTGTGTTTGGTGAGGTGGGGAAGAAGTTAAATGTTTGAACAAGCCTTTTATTTAGTGATAACCCCATACATTAACATGGAAAAATTGTTGGCACTTAAGAGATAGACATGTTGAATGAAACTTACCAATTACTCCAACCTGAATGGCTTTACTGTAAGTCTCTTGAAAACTTCCAAGAAGCTTCCAAAGGCCTTCTTTCCCAACACAGACTTCACTTTTGAATGGAGCACGTTTCTTCCTTACCTTCACATGTTAAAATCCCAAATTAGTTAAACCATTTCTGCCAACCCACCAGATAAAGCCCAAGCAGTGTGGACCCAGGGCCCAGCTAGTAAAATCACCACAGTCTATCGCCTTTCAGATTATCTCTGGGTGAAATCAGAGTTGGATCTTACAAGTTTTCATCTTTTAATCAAGATTTTGTACACTCATCATATTTCAGCCATCCAAATCTGAAAGACCCACCCTTCCCAGCACTAACAGTGAAGGGTACCTTGGTCATCTTCCCTTTGTCCTTCAGTTTTGTGGAGGCTTTGAACACTACTGTTGGCAATTCCTTCTTCAAATAATTAAGCCAGTTTTCTAAATTCTCCTTCGGCACCAAATCTGATAGGGATTAAGAGTAAGACACATGTTGCGATTTGGTCATTTTGAGATCAATCTGCAAAATTTGGTGAGCTTTGGATTTCACCCTGGTTTGCCTTTTCTCAAAAAGATTTAACTGGACAATGAGGAAAGGGTACGTTCCCTACCGTGCTGCCTTACCCTAAGAGTTTACTATATACACCCTCTGTGTTTCTTCAGTGCCTTCTGCATTCACCCTTTCAGGATTAAGACAACCTCTAGGTTATCACCCTCCTAACCCTGGTGGTGGTCCAGGGGTTATCTGAGGCAGCAGCCATGTCTACTGAGCGCAATGGTAATCTCAGATCCCCCTCTTCTGCTTCACCCATCTCTGCTCTGGGTTTTCCTGACCCTCATGCTCAAACCCAGATACACAACTATGCATTTCATCTAAACGTCATCACATGCTGACATTATGCAGGTGTGGGGAGTAGGGCTCAGGGCCACCACTCTCTGTGTGAAGACAAACTGCCCAGTAAGATTACAGAAGCTTACACTCTTCAAGACAGCATAAGTATTGAACGGCCAAAGGACAGAAAAAACCAGTAAAGTCACTTGTGGGAACACCTTCATCCCACTGCCCAGCTCTGTCTTTGGCAACAAGAGCACATATGCACTGGCTTTTTTGAGGTCAGAGTTGGATCTTACAGTCTTCAGTGATGATCAGACTGTTCAGATGTCTTCCTCATACCTCACCAATGCACAGGGAACATAAAGGGAATCCCTTATACTCACCTGATTTATTTAATACAAGCACCAGTTTCTTTTGTCCACCCTGGACAATGGCCTCTTCTACTTGGGGGCACCTACAACCAAGAGGATCTCTGGCATCCAACACCTCCAGCAAGACATCCGAAGCTTCAATCACCTGGCCAAGGTAGAAACTATCAGAAGAGCAACACTCTCTGCTGAAGTATTCTGGCACTGTCCACTTTGCAACAGGGTGAGCTCAGAGTTGGATCTCACATCTTCACTTTGGTGTAGAGAAAGGTCACAAGCTCATCATTTCTCACAGGAAAGTGAAACACAGGTTTGTTCAGTGGCCTCTGGCTTTCTCATCAAAGTAATTCCAAAAGTGGAACTACATCCACTGTCTGAATATATAATCCTGCCACAGCGAGTCAGGTGGTTTGATAGGTGTTCACAGCCCTGCCAAGAGCTGCTGAGCACAGCTGGTTCTGTTCACAGTGGGGGTGAGCTTGGGAAAACAGATGCTGGGGATGGGAGCTGGGGAGCAACTACACCAGGACACCCCCTTGACCTCCTTCGCAGCACTGTAGGGATTGGTTTTCGCACTGCCTACTCTACCCTACTTCCCTCTACTTTAAAAACCACCATGTCAATGTGTCTTTTTAATACAAAAACTACTTTTGTAATCATACTTATGGGGACTGTTCCTGTGCAAAAGTTTAAAACCACAAGAATATTTCCTTAGCCAAACATAACAGTAGGACCCTACATTGGATATGCCGATTTGTTGAAGGATTTTTCCAGTTCAAGTGAATTCTACTTCCACCTTCACAAGGTGGCAGTCAGGAGAAAGGAAAGGAATGACTCTAGTCTTTCAAACCTCATTACCATTTTTAGACACTGACCTAAATTAAGATACCTTTTTAAGTTCCTGACAATACAACTTCTTCGGACTCTGTTTGATGGACTTAGTTTTCTTAGCTTTACACCGTCCAAATTCCTAGAGCATAAAGAGAGGAAAGACACAAAATTAGTTCAGCAGTTATAACCCATTTCTCCATTTTCCATGACTAACTAGGGGCACATAGCTGATATTTAAACAGGTATGACAGAGTCTGAATTCAGTCTTTTTCTTCCTAAGAGGCATAGCAGGCCCTGCCCTGAAATGTGCTTTTACCTCTGCATCCGAGAGACCCAATCATACCTCCTTCACAGGTTCCAAGTTAGATGGTGTAACACCAGGGTTAGCTTCAAGTTTTCTTTTCTTTTCCTGTTCCTTCTGCCTGTCAAGTTTCTGCTGCTGTTTTAATTCTTCAAGCTGCATCAGAGCCATAAGAGAAATGGGTGAGCCAAAGTGACTTGGTATGGCTTTAAAAAAATACACAAATCCACACATTCCCTACGCAAACTTCAGCTAACCTATCTTACCCGCTGTTTTCTTAGCTCAGCTTCCCGAAGAAGAGCCTCCTTAAAGGGAGCACTGTTTGGAACTCCTGGGTCTTTCCTAGGCTTCTTGCGACCCCGTTTCTTAGCTTCCTTCCTCAATTTCCTATGGTGTTCTCGAACCTATTATAATAGAAAACTTTTAAATCACTTTACCAAAGGATTAAACAATTCATATGAGAAACCAGTTGTACATATTACTGAGAAAAATGGAATTTTTACAGTTGTCACCAGGAGATTCTATTTGCAAAGACTGTTAACATGATCAAAGTGCACAGACTTCCAATCACCAAATCACTGCTCTTTCCACAGTGCTCCTGATGCCTAAGAGCTTGTGCCCATGGTCAGTCTTTCCAACCTCCATTTATTGAGGGGAAGTCTTATTTATCTAGACCACCTTGTGGAGGCCAAGTGAAACAGACACCAGTATAGCTATTTTTGGTATGGCTCTCCTAAGTACAAGACTTACCTTTTTTTGGATTTTATACCGCTTATGGCAGGTCATGCGTTTACTTGCTTTCTTTAACTCTACACAGAAAGAGATCACAAAATAATTAGATACAAACTGTTTAGTTTTTAGTGACTGTGCTCTTGGGTCCAGTCCCTTTTGTATGAAGTAATAAACTCTCAAACCTAATTTAAGAATCATGGGGCGCATAATAAAAATATAGTTGGCACTCGAGTCCCAGATTATCTGACTCAATAGATCCAGAGGAGAGCCAACTACCCCGCTCCCACCCTTCCCAATACTAGACTGGGATCGCACACAGGGCCATGTGACCCGAAACGACTGCCACGTTTTATCAAACACCACGAATCACAACGTAGGACCGAACGATGGGTTTGAGAGGCGGCTCTGAGACCTCACCGGGGCCGAGCTGAACGTGGCCCCAGAAGGGAAAACGCTGGGCCCGCAACCTGGCTTGGAACTAGTTCCTCAGGACACTCTGGCCCGACCTTCCCATCTGCGGCCCCGCCTTCCCTCTGTATCACGGGCCCGAGTTATCCTGCGGCCTTTCAACCCTCGGCCCTACGCGGGGCCAGGGCCACGGCCTACCCACAGGCTCCCTCTCCCGCGGAAAGAGCACCCCAGGATGTTCGCCGACAATCAGGCACCGAGTTCCCTGCCCACCCGTCCCCGATCGCACTCACTCGGCCGCTTCATACTGGCGGCGGGAAGGCAGGGCCCGCGACAGCTCAGAGAACTACCAACTGCAAACGGCAGCGCCACGTGCGAGCCCAGGCCCAGGACTAGCGCCACACACTCACGCTGCTGCCGTAAAACGCGCCGCTCCGGACTGCGTGCGCGCGCACGCAGTGTCGCGCGGAGCCGGGTTCGTTTGGCGGCCGCGGGGCAGGTTTTGCGGCGGTACCGGGAGGGGTGAAGGCGGTGAGGGCGGCGGGTGCGGGAGCGACGGCAGCGGCCGCGGCCGGAGGAGCTCTAACGGCAGCCGTGGCGGCCACGGGGCGGGGCACGGCGGTCGGCGACCGCGGCCGGGGCTGCAGGCGGCGGAGCGGCTGGGTAAGGCCGGGCCCGGGACGGGCGGTGCCGCTCCCCGTCGGCCGCCCGCCGGGCCTTTGTGTGGGCCGGAGCGGGCGGGAGCGGCGGCGGAGGCCCCGCCCCGGCCGTGGGGACGCGCCGGTCGCCCGAGCGCGCGGGGCGGGGCTCGGCGGCGGGCGGCGGGACGGCCGGGACGGCCGGGAGCCGCGCCGCACCTGCCGGCCGGACAAAGGCGCGCCGGGGCCCGGAAACTCCCGGCGCCCGGTTCCCGCCGCTGCGGCCGCCGAGCGCGGACCGCGCCAGCTTCCGAGCTGTCAGCGTTTCCCCTCAGTGACAGGTCGGGAGAGCCTCGCCGCCTCCGCGCGTCGGGGCCGCTTTTGGGTGCTGGTCTCGTCACGGTGCGGACACAAACTCTGCTAGTGCCTTCCTCCTCCTTTGCACTTTCCTGATGACCGTGTCCAGACCGAGTAATTTTTGTCAACGGGACTTGTCTTTGTAGTAAAGGCCAGGTGTTTAAGGTTCTTTTCTGCAACACCACAGAGAATCGAGGCTTTAAAACTGTTCGTTTCCTGGTTTTAATATTTTTTCATCTCTTAAATTTTTTTCCTGAAAGAGAAGCATGGTTTTGTTATTATAGGATAGAGATTGGTGAGTCAAAGGAGAAGAAAGATGGGCAAAAATGTAGAAATCCTGTGCAACAAATGAACACACAGTATAGTGGATATAGAAATAGTACAAATTATAGGAACATATGTTGAAGTAAAACATTTTTATTAACTTATCTTCCACAACCTGGCCTACTCAAGTGATTTTTAGGTGTTTTTTTTTTTTCCCCATTAGGTAGTGCATTCTTTACCAATTCAGAAGCAAATTGAACTCGATAAAAAATAATAGAGCAGTATAATTTTGCTTTATTACTTTTTAATAGATTGCCCCTATTTTAAGATCCAAAAGAAGATTAGAAAGTATCTTTTGAAGAAGTATTTCTGATTAAAACAATAGCATGTATGGATAAATGGAAGGGCCTTGACCACTTTGTTTGGCTTTGGGAGTGTGCACCTCAGATACTAATATTTACCCAAATCCCAAAGATGAGTAAGTTGTGTTTGATGGTTATCAAGCCATCAAACATCATGTGGAAGAATGTTACTTGGGAGAACACAGGTTGCCACAAAATACACGTGGTTTGTATACACTTTGGCAACTAAGGCATAGAATAAATACTGCAAGCTGTAAATGTCAATAATAAGGGGGATTTTTCTCTGGGATTCTTTTCGAACCTTCTATTTCCCAATATTTTTAAGCTGCATTACAGTACTAAGTATCACTAGAAAGAGAGGAGAGCCCTCTGAGCTTATAAACTATAATAATATACCATTTGGTTATACGGAGTAAGTATTTTCCCAGTTGCACTGTAATTTATCATTGGTTGTCAGACGTCTGGACATATGACTGTAATGCCATTTTGAAACTTAACTGAGTTCCAGAATCTATTCCTTCCCTCTTCATGGAAAAAGAGTTGCTGAAGGGATTCTCACAGTCCTTTAAACTACACAAGTAAATTTTTTTCTATTAAGGTCCCACTTACATGCACTTTTACTATGTTTATTAGAAAAATGAGTTGATCACCCAAACTATGCCAAATATCGGTCTATAGGCCAGGGCTTCAAAATGGATTAAAAGCTATTCCTGTGTCCAAGGAGCATGTAGTCCTAGAGTTGAAACTTAACTTTTTTGTTGTGCTTTTAAGTTTCAAAGAGATTTCTTATAAATTTCACTGTCAACAATCCAAGGGAGATCTCCAGACTTTACTGTTCTCATTTGAGAAATGAAACAGATCTGAGAGGTGGTGACTCAAGCAACATCAAACAGAGGTGCAAAGACCTGGGGCTCTATCTGGCCTTCTGAGCTCAGGTACCGTTGCTCTTTCCGCCCTCCTGGCCACATTGCCTTTCTTGCCAGACTTCCAAAATGTATTTTAAGATGCGTTCTTTGGATAAGAAAATATTGGAGATTTATCCTCAAGTCACATCTTTTTCTCGTTTCTTATCAAAGAAAATTAGTGATTTAAGGAGTTTTGAATATTGTATGGTCTACACCGTATACACATAGACCAATGAATACGTTTTTTTGTCACTTGATTATCAGTGGATCATTTGTGAAAGTAATTTTGACCTCCTGCCAAAATGGTTGAAGGCTTTTTTTCTTTTTAAACCTCCTAAACTTACACATGGTGTCTTTTCAGTGCTGACAGGACTTTTGGAAAGAAACGTCTTTCTGAATTTTTTGGTGAGGGGAAGAGTTTTTCAGACTCTTAGGCTCACATGAGCCATCCTTGGTTTGTTCCAGCTTGCCAGCACTCGGTGTCACAAGTGCGCCCTCCACGTGTGTCCACTCTCCGTTCCGGCTGTGTGATTGAACCCTCCTCTTACTGACAAGGGGGCAGTGGGCAGGCACGCTTCACTCCCGGGCTGTCATTCCCTGTGAGTGAAGGGGGACCTCAGGGAGACATCTTTACGGATCTGAAAAGCATTTGGTTTTAAAGTGGAAGAAGCATGAGGGGCTGTTGGCGCCTGAGCCTGCACAGCAGTTTGACTGGGGCACGATAACTAATGGGCCGATTTGCTCCAGTTCTCACATCTTCCTTTAGTGGTTCTACTTAATGTTTTCTACCTATTCGTACTCATTTTTACTCCTTCTGACCCTTCTTTTTTATTTCCCTTTCTCTGCCTTGTTCTTCTTTTTCAGTTTTGAATATACTAATACTGAATCAGCACTTCTAAAGCCCGCCCTTCTCCCACTGGCTTCACTTGGCCTTCAGACATAATGAGGAGACTGGCTTTTCGAGGCGCTGGTTGTGCTCTGGTAAAGCTGGTAAATTACTGATCATCTACACCCTTTCCCTTTTCTGTCCTTCCTTGCCTTTACCCTTCCACCTTTCTTAAATTTTGTGACCCTTCCCATAAAGATTCCCTCCTCATGTTCATCAAAGTCACTTGTGTTCTTGTCCTGGATTGTTTACAAATGCTTAGTCTTTAATCTCTTCATCTTAATGAGCTGAGGCCAGTTTACCAGCCTCTTGTAAAACAAAATAAACAAAACTTGGCTGTCCCTGGCCTAAGCCCTTTGAAGCTTTTAGCAAGTTACAGCCAATTCCAGACTAACACACTGCATAACAAAACGTAGCCTAGAGGAAGGAACGTCACTACAGTAGGCTCTGTTTTTAAATACCATGGGGACTGTAGTTCAGACGAAGAGATAGGGACTCTTGTTTCTTTGTTGGTTACCAGGATTTTTTTATTTGTTGGGTTTGTTTAATTCTGCTTTCTGTTCCCTGGAGATTGCCAGTTTTTCTCTCTACTACCGGCAACCCATTCTCTCAGCTGCTGGTGTCTTAGTTTCCTAAAACTGAATGCTTGTGAATGAAACTGGGATCAGTTATTTCTTCTAGCTCTAGAGAAAAACCTTTGAAATTACAATAAACTGTACTATTTGGTGCTGTTGTTAAATTGTTTAAGCACAACAATTTAATTTTAGAATCCTGAGTGTACGCCCTTTCCCTCCAGCTGTAGCAGTTCATTTCAGAGGTTGCATTTCTTGGGTCATAGTCAAATGTGTACATTGGTAAAGTGTTGTAATACTGTGTTGTGTTGAGATGAGTTAGCAGCCCATCTAAAACTGAGAGCAAACATTTATTTGTTTCTGAAAGGCCAGGCAGGAACTAAAAACTCACCTCTGAGGGGTCTTCCGGATCATCTACTGAAACTTAAAGCTCTGGTTTCAAAATTCATGGGGATAGAGTACCTCACATAACTGAGAAGGAGGTTAGTCTGGATTAACAGAGGTTTCAAAGCAGAGGTTCGCTACTTTGGCATAGGTTTGACCAGTCACATGAAGTGTTTTCCAAGGGTACATCTTACAGATCCTTTAGTGAATGGAGAAAATTCATTTTCAGGGTGTTAATTTTAGGGTGCATCTAAAATGCTAGAAGGTTAATTGTCCTCTGTTATCCTGCCCTTTTGCACTATTTATTTGCCTCAGGCTCCTGCTGATTCTTTTCCACGTCATGACCCATGTGGAAAATGATCATAATTATAAGGTGCACTGAGGAAAACAGATGAGGCTGCTTGATCCAGAGGTGACTGCCTTGGGGCCTCTGTGGGGCTCAGGGGTCACCACCGCCAGCTAACTGAAGTGCTACTCTACATGTGGGGTTTCAGACTCCAGTGAAGGGTAAATTCGGTTGAGTCATTCAAAACTGATCACTTACAGATGAGTATACTTTTGCTGAATTTGTCTCATCCAAGGTGGCAGTATAGCATTCTGGTAAGCGAAAGGGCTAAAGCAAGAGTCCAGGACTTCCACTGAAAGCACTTAGTTAGGGTTCTTGGCACCAGTTAAAATATCCTCATAAGTGAACTAGACATGGTAGCAGGTGGCCCACTGAGGCTTGGTGGTGGAGTCTAAATTTAAATATAAGAACATGGCTGATTATTTCTTACAGAAGAAGTTGGATTCCATGGGTTCCAAGAGAAGAAGAGCTACCTCCCCTTCCAGCAGCGTCAGCGGGGACTTTGACGATGGGCACCATTCTGTGTCCACACCAGGTCCCAGCAGGAAAAGGAGGAGACTTTCCAATCTTCCAACTGTAGATCCTGTGAGTAACTCGAATCACACATCTCTGGCCTGCATTTCCTATATTTTCCTACCGTTCCTTTAATGATAATTGATTTAGATATAAGTCCTCTGTTTCTTTTTCCTCTGGCTTGATATTCTTAACCTTTCTCTTATGAAAAGTATATATTTAGATAAAAGTCTTAAAACAATATTATAATGTTAGAAATAACAAAAAATATCAGTATGCCACATTATTCATTCATTCATATAACTGTGTGCTTGCGCATTATTATGTGCCAAGCCGTGTTCTGCTGGTTGAGATACAGCCATGTGTAAGACAAGCCAATTTTTCACATGGAGCATAGATTTTAGTGTGGGTGAAGCAGAGTGTAAATACGCAAACAAATAAATAATAAAGTACCTTCAGCTAATGATAAGTGCTTAGTAGAAAAATTTGGGTGATTCAGGCTGTTTTGGCCCAAACTTTGAGGAAAGATTTCTCTGTGATGAAATGGCACCAGCCCTATAGAACCCTGGGGAAGAGTGTTCTAGGCAGAGGGTCCTGCTGCAGAGGGGTTGGGGCAGGAATAGGTTCGTTGTCATTACACGGAGGCAATGAAGAGGGAGAAAGAGACTGGCAGTCTGCCCAGCCAGATAGTGTAGTCATCCTACGCACTCTGTGGCCAGCGAACTTAAGGAGCTTGAATTTTACCCTCTGAGTAGTAAGAAGCCCTTCTTTTGGATGTTCTTAGTAAGGGAGTGATATGAACTGATACAGCTCAAGAGAAAGGAAAATCACCAGTAGCATAAATCTGATGAAAGATACCAAAACATTTAATCAGTTAACTTCTTTTAAATAAGGAGAGATACTGTCAACCTATTTCAGACCTGGGTCCCTAGATGGGAATTTGGGAACTCATCCTTTTTCTTCTCTACTTGCCTTTTTGTGTGTATGTTTTTACTGAAGATAATCCTTATGCCAACACTGGCTTTCTGTTCACTTTTCTGGTAATTTTTCTCCTTTTCCTATGTGTAGATTGCTGTGTGCCATGAGCTCTACAACACCATCCGAGATTATAAGGACGAGCAGGGCAGGCTCCTGTGCGAGCTCTTCATTAGAGCACCCAAGCGAAGGTGAGTTGGAACGTGAGTGAGAGGGACTTGGTCCCAAATCCATGTTTAAAGGGTTTGATAATTGAATTTTCCTTTAGAAGAATGGTTTAAGTGATACAGATTTTAGTTTTAGTTGTCAAGGTATAGTGAATCATATTTAAAAACAATTTTTTTAATTAAAAATTTTAAAGTGGTTAAAAAACACAACATAAAATTTACTATCTTAATCATTTTTAAGTGTATAATTCAGTGTTAAGTATATTCACATTGATATACAACAGATCTCCAGAGCTTTTTTATATTGCAAAATTGAAACTCTGTACCCGTTAAACAACTCCACATTTCCCCCTCCCTGCAGCCCCTGGCAGCCACCATTGCACTTTCTGTTCCTGTGTATCTGACCACTTTAGATACCTCATGTAAGTGGAATCATACAGTATTTATCTTCTGTGACTGGCTCGGGATTCTTCCATGGGACAGAATTTCCTTCCTTCCGAAGACTGTATAATACCCATTACCAGCTAACTTGATAAACTCTTGGGTGGCTTCTGCGTCTTCACTATTGTGAATGTTGCTGCAGTGAACATAGGTGTGCAAATACCTCTTTGTCCATTCTTTTGCGTATATAACCAGAAGTGTGATTACTGGATCCTACAGTAATTCTGTTTTTAATGTTTTGAAGAATTTCCATACTGTTTTCCATAATTGCTGCATCAATTTACATTCCTACTGGTAGTGTATAAGGCTTCCAATTTCCCCACATCCTTGCCACACTTGTAGTTTTGTAGGTAAGTTTTGGAATCAAAGTGTGAGTCTCTGACAGTCTTATGTGTCAGTTTGACTGGGCTAAGGGGTGCCCAGATAGCTGGTAAAATATATTTGAGGATGTCTCTGAAAGAGATTAGTATCTGAATAGGTTGACTGAGTTAAAAAAAAGATGGCCTTCACCAGTGTAGTTGGATATTTGTCTAATCTCCTGAGGGCTTGAAGAGAACAAAAGAGTGGAAAAGGTCAAATTAGAGCTCTCTGAGCTGAGACACCCGCCTCCTCCTGCTTTTAGATACCTGAGCCCTTTCCTGGTTCTTGTGCCTTCAGACTCGTATTGAATTACACCAGTGGCTTTCCTGGTTCTCCAGGTGTTAGATGGTAGATCTAGGCACTTCTCCGCCTCCATAATTGCATGAGCCAATTCTTTTAACAAATATCTTATACATACAGTTGACCCTGACCAAAATGGGTTCGAACTGTGTGGTTCCTCTCTTATGTGGATTTTTTTCAATAAATGTATTGGAAACGATTTTTTGGAGATTTGTGACAATTTAAAAAAACATTTTCTCTAGCTTATTTTATTGTAAGAATATATTGTACATATAACATACAAAATACATGTAATTGACATGTTATTGGTAAGGTCTCTGGTCAACAGTACGCTATTATTAGTTAGATTTTGGGGTCAAAGTTACACATGGGTTTTCAACTATGTGTTGGGTCAGTACCTTTAACCCCTGAGTTGTTCAAGGGTCAACATTTATCTCTTTCTTTGTGTCCTATTGGTTGTTTTTCTCTGGAGAACCCAATACAGTCTTCCAACTTTGTTCTTTTTTAAGATAGTTTGTCTCTTTGGGGTCTTTGAGATTCGATGTGAATTTCAGGGTGGATTTTTTGTTTCTGCAAAAACTGCTATAGAGATTTTGATAGGTATTGCATTTTAATCTGTACATTGGTTTGTGTAGTATTGGTGCCTTAATGTGAAGTTTTCCAGTCCATGAACATGGGATATCTTTCCATTTATCTGTGTCTTTAATTGCTTAGAGAAATATGTAGTTTTCAGTGTACAAGTCTTTCATCTCATTGGTTAGTTTTATTCTCAAATTTTTGTTCTTTTCAATGCTCTTAGTGTATAGAACAGCAACTGATTTTTATGTATGTTGATTTGTACCCTACAACTTTGCTGAATTTGTTAATTAATTCTAATGATTTGTTGTAGAATCTTTAGAGTTTTCTGCATGTAGGATCATATTGTCTGTGAACATAGGTAATTTTACTTTGACCTTTCCGATCTGGATACCTTTTATTTCTTTTTGTTGTCTAATTGTTCTAGTTAGGACTTCCAGTATTGTCAAAAAGAAGAGGTGAGAAGCAGGCATCCTTTGCTTGTTCTTGAACATAAGGAGTGTATTTTGATTAGTATGTTAGGCTGCTTATACTAGGGCACCCAAATTAACAACTTGAAACAAGAAAAATTGCTCCTTCTCATGTAGAATTCCTGTTCTGTGAAGTCCTCAGGGTTCAAGTATTGTCTGTCTCTTTATTCTTCTGCTCTTGGAGTGTCATTCCTGCCTTCAAGGTCTGAGCTGGCTCACCACAACTATCTTCCAGCCCACAAGAAAGAGAAGGCTTAAGGATATGGCCTGGACACTAGAACTCTTCTGCAGTGAGGCCGTAGGATATAGTCGTTAGTACCCATGCAGCAGATTGGGTGCTGCTGAATAGAAAGAAGGGAAAATGAGTTTGGGGATAGCCAGTAGGCTGTGCATATCAGGCCTGGTGTTTCTCACTCTTCTGGTCAGAAGTCTTCGTCATTCCTTGGCTATTCTGTGGATGTATCATGGTGGGGCACCCTCACCTGTTGCTGAAAGAGAAAGCTCTTACTGTAGACATCTTACTTGCTGCCCAAGCCTGTGTGCCATGCACACAGAAGTCTGGAAGAATACTAACAGTGCCTTACTCTGGGTCAATAGGGACAATTTTTACTTCTTTATGCTTTTCTGTACGTTGATTTAAGTGGGAAAAATTAATAGAGCTGTTACATTTTGAGAATGGTAGGATTTCATTTTGCCCGTATTATATAGATTGCAATGTTAGGACCCTGATCTGTGTGGCAGTTTTGAGGCTGTGAGGAGTCCTCTAGCCGACCTTCTGGGAGATAGTGTCTTTTCTAGGTACATGTCCTTACTGGGTTCTCAGTTGTGTATGGATAATCCTCCAAGCCTGAGAGGCCGCTGAGGTCCAGCTCAGCACGGAGCAGTGGCCTGGAGCTCGTCAGGCCCAGGTGGAGAGAGCTGTCTTCTTGGGTATCAGGTTGACAAAGCCCTAATGCTCATGCTGAGAGAGTCCCTGAGCACCACGGACAATGTCAATAGTAGGCCTGGATAGTCCTTTTCTACTCTCCCAAGACCTTTATATTTTTAGCTTTCTCTGAATAGCAGATTGAGTACTCCTTTTATTCCATTATACTAAATTTTATAGTTCACTAAAATCACCAAGTGGTTGATAAGGGTTTTTTTAAATTCAGTTTATTCTTCCTCTTCCTTCCTCTTTCCGAAGCATTCGACCCAAAAGCCATTAGGTGAGGCTGAGCAAGGTAGGTGTCTACAGTAAGACACATGGTGGGCTTTGGGGGAGGGTTATGGACAGTAGCAGCTGTCACATCACAGAGTGACAGAACCTCGGCATAGTAAAAAGGGAGCTCATGAAGAAGGACTTTCTGGCAAGGGTGTTGTAGCCTAAGTAGGAGGAAGAGGGCGTCCATGTTCAGGGAGTGGTGGTGGCAATGATGGGTGGTGTAAGGAGGGCATCCACATGGGCTATGGCCTAGCACAGGAGGAGGAGTCATAGCCTGAGAGCAAGATGAGGGGAGCATTGGGGTGTGGAGGTAGGACATATTGGTTATATTCAGGAAGCCAGTCAAGTAAGTAAATACATTGTGAAGAATGGGCCTCAGGCTTCTCGTTACCCGAGAAGGGGCCTACAAGTAGGGAAAGGATATCAGAGTGCACCCTGTGGTGTTGGACTGGAATTAGAAATATGGGTGTGAATTCATGGTGTCAATATATGTAGATACAGAAAAAAATATAGATATAAATGACCATGTGTCTGTTCCCTAGCTCTGTTCCATTGAGATAGCCTGGGAGCAGGAGCACCTCTGTAGAAATGAGCACATCTAGCACTGCAATTTTGGTGTTTAAATACCATTTACAGTTAAAAGGAATGAGTTCTTTTGGGAAATGGTTGATTTCAAGGGCAAGGAAAGTACACAATGAGCCTATAACATCTATGGTGCCAGAAAACAAGCAAGTGCTCAAAAGGTGATAGGAATATGTCAAAAAGACATAGAAAATAGAAGCTATCTTGAAAGGACTCCTACTGTCCAAACCGGGAGCAGTTTGAGCATCAAAGTAATTAAAGTAGTGGTTTGTAATGCACTGAGTGAAATAGTTCAGGAGTCCAGATTGATGTAAGTGAATAAACTGACGAGGAATGGGGTTTTGCATAGTCTGAAGGTACCTCCCCCTATAATACAAGGCAAAGAAGAGTCATTCAGTCATTTGGGAAGCTTGGCAGGCACTACCATAATCAAGTGACCAAAGTCAAACTTACCTTAAGTAGTGGGACAAGTTGAAGTCATGTGCCACCTGACAGGATACCGTGAGGTGAATGCAGCAGCATTTCTGTCATAATCCTGCCAAAGGAGTGTAACCTAAGTTTACTCATCAAGAAAGCAGACAGACCCAAATTGAGGAACTCTCTACCAAATAACTGGCCTGCAATCTTCAAGTGTATCAAGTATGATTCTGGACTTGATCCTTTTGCTATAAAGGACAATTTTGGAACAGTGGGCAAAATATGAATGGTGTCTGCGGATTAGATGGTGGTACTGTCTCAAGGTTGATGTCCTAATTTTGATGGTTGAACTGTGGTCCTTGTTTGTAGGAAATAAACACTAAACTATTCAGGGTGACAGGACAACATGTCAGCAGCTTACTCTCAAATGGTTCATAAAATAGATTCTTTGTACTATTCTTGCAAGTTTTACATTAGAATAAAAAATTTTTTAAAAATATGTCACACTATCTCTGGCAACTTGCTGCACTGATGGACAGTGACTGCATTGGGGTATGGGTGGAGACTCGGTAATATGGGCAAATGTAGTAACCATATTGTTTTTTCATGTGAAACCTTCATAAGAGTATATATCAATAATACCTTAATAAAAAATTAAATATATATATAAATAAATAAAATACTATATGGCCATAACATGTCAGCCAAGGTCTTAAGAGAAATTAAAGCCTTAATGACCATGACATTTGTATGGAATAACTTAGCCTCTTATACATTTAGAATGGAGATAACTACCTACCCCAAGGGAGAGCTGAGAGAATAGTCACATAGATCATTTTTTCAGGTTTACTTGTCTCATGGAATTCCATTTGGCCAGAAAGAATAGTAATAAACATCCGTGAACCCAAAACCTAACTTAAGAAATTATCATTAGAACTAACAATGGAAGTTTCCTGTGTGTACCTCACTATCCCTTTCGTCCAGACATAATCACTATCCTGAATTTTGTACTTATCCTTTTTGTTTCAATAGTTCCTTATGTCCTTTGATCTTTGGTAGGCAACTTGTACCACGGGCCTAGTCTTTCTCCTTTGTAACTTCAGTAATTGATATCAGAGCATTATATATAACAGGCACTTGGTAGTAATTGGCAGACAAAGTTCTCTGGTCATTAGCTGAAGAAAGACAATCCATTCTGTAAGTTTACAAAGAGCTTTGAAATGTGTCTGTTTTCCACCACTAGTAAGCACCGTGAAAGGTAAGTCATTTTCATTTGCAGAAGATACCGTGGACATGGTGTTAGTGCTCATGCCCAAATCTGAAATATTTATCATATAGAAGATCACAACAGGTGTTAATTTAGGAGTTCATATCCCTGATACATATTTGGAAAAGGGTATGCATATGCATCTTACTTTTGTTACTCTCTTGTAGTTCTAATAATGGAAGTAAGTCTAGTGTGTCATCACCTGGAATGTTGGACTTTATCACAGATAATTTTGAAATACAAGTTTTTATAGGCTTTGAATTAATTAATTTATTAAAAAAAATTAAATTACAACAGAAATCAACCAGACTATTATGAAGTGGTTTCTCAGCCCATTGATTTGATGAAAATCCAACAAAAACTAAAAATGGAGGAGTATGATGATGTTAATCTGCTGACCGCTGACTTCCAGCTTCTGTTTAACAATGCAAAGGCCTATTATAAGGTAAGAAAAGATCAAATTTGAAAGGTGTCCATTTGATAATTGTCCGGCTTTTTAATATGTGTCTGTCTGGTAGGCAAGTAGTGGTTTCTCATTTGGTGATTTCAGTTTGCATTTCTCTTATTAGTAAAGAGACTTAAGAGTAACATGATTATGAAACATTCTCAGTTCTTCTGTCTCTTCAAATCTTTTGCCCATTTCTTTTGCATTGTCATTTCATATTTCTGGAAATTGTTAATATATTCTAGATACTGATCCTTTTTGGTTGTATGTGTTGGAAATACCTTCTCCCAATGTGGCTGATTTTTCACTTTTTTTAAACATGTCTTTTTGGAACAGAAGATTTTTGTTTTAATATAATCAAATGTATCACTCTTTACCTTACTGGTTTGTCCTTTGTGTCTTGTTTCAGAAATCCCTCTTGCCCACGGAGCATGAAGATAATCTTCCCTTATATTTTCTTCTAGAAGTTTAACAGTTTTGTCTTTCACATGAATGCCTTTACTGTATCTGGGACTGATTTTTGTGTCTTCTCCGAGGTAGAGATCTATTTTCCTCATAGGGATTGGTGGCACCTTGGAGTAGCCATCGTCCCCACGTTCCTCTGCAGCCTGCCATCGTCCCCGTGGACCTGTGGGTCTCTTTCTGGCCTTCAACTCGTTCCTTTGTTCTGGCCAGCTTATTAGTGGGCTTTTCTGTTCCTGCTTTAATTACTATGGTTTTCTAACTATCTGGTAAGGAAAACATCTTGATTAATCTTGGCCCTTAACTTACACATTCTCAGCCTTTCCTTATGCATTTTAATAGTAGTGTGTTAAATCAAAAAGCACAAGAAAAAAAAGCACAAGAAAAATTATTTGTATTTTTTTGGAATTGCATTGACTCTGTAGATTTTGTTTTGGAGAATTGATATAGTTGCTGGTATTGATTTTTCCAATCTGTGAATTTGGTTAAGTCTTCATTTATTTCAGTCTTCTTCATAATTTTTTCTTTAATTGAGATATGATTCACACACTCTTTTAAAGTGTAGAATTCAGGGGGTTTTAGTATATTCACAAAGTTGTATGATCATCACCACTATCAAACTCCAGAATGTTTTCATTACCCCAAAAAGAAAACCACGCCAATTAACAGGCATTCTTCATTTTCCCTCCCCCCAGCCTCTGGCAACCACTCTTCTACTTTCTTTCTTTTTGGATTTGCCTGTTCAGTATATTGCCTATAAATGGAGTCATCACTGTATGGTCTTTGGTGACTAACTTCTATTACTGAGCATAGTGTCTTCAAGATTCATACATGTTGTAACATATATTAGTACTTCCTTCCTTTTTTTATGAATGAATATATGGATATTTCACATTTTGTTTGTTCCCCAGTTGATGGACATAAGGGTTGTTTCTACTTTTGGCTTATGAATAATGCTGCTGTAAATTCTGTGAGTATAACAAAGAGCGCTGTTCACTGGATACAATACCCTGCATGTGTCTGTTCGACCTAACTTGTTAATAATGTTGCTAAAATCTCTTATATCCTTACTGGTTTACCTGCATGATCTATTAATTTACCAAATAAGGTGTTTCGAAAATCTTTCATTCTGATGATGGACTTGTCTGTTTTTCCCTGTTACACTGTTGATCTTTTATATTTTTGAAACTATTCAAATGGGAACATACCAGTTTAAAAACTGTTATATCATCCTAATGAATTGAAATTTTTTGTATTACGTAGTAGTCTTTTATCAGAGGGAATCTCATTTACACCTATCCACTTTACTTGTTCTTAATATGGTTCAAATTACCCACAAAAACTTCATGAAACACCAAACTCAGCCATTATTCTAAGTTCTTAAGTTATTATCACTAGTCATGTCTTTTGTTTGAAATGTTTTATCTGATACTAATATAGTTATGTCAGCTTTATTTTTGTGTTTACCTAGTTAATTTTTTTCCATTCTTTTACTTTGAACCTTTCATATCCTTTTAATGCTGATGTATCTCTAGGATGCAGCATGTACATGAATTTCTGTTAATCCAGTTGACAATCTTTATTTTTTAATGGGAACATTTCATCTCTTTACAGTTTTAATGATTACCATTATGTTTAGATGTATTCTTATCACCTGAAGTTCTACTGTCTATTTGTCTCATTTTGTAATGTTTTTTCTTATTTTGTTTTTCTCTCTGCTTTCTTGTGGCTTCATTTTGTTTTTAATTTATTCATTCTTATTCTCTCTGTAGTTGAAAGTTGCAAGATCTAATGGTAATCTATTCTTACCTGAGAAGTTTTACTATGCATAAGAAAATTATCGAAGTCAAAAGTTAATCAGCATCTTCAACTTCCACCTAAACAATACAAGACCTTAGAATAATTCAGCTCTGATCTCTTTCTACTTATGCTACTGATGATTTTTCCTTTGTTCTGTTGCAGCAACTTCTAAATCCCATTAAATAATCTTTTATATAGTCAGTATTTACTTGTACTTGTAAATGTACTACTCAGTTTAGTCTTCATTCTTCTCTTTTATTGCTATGAAAAAGTCATCTGTCAGTGTAATTGTAGTTAGTTCATTTATAGGTTATCTGCTTTCTTTCTGGCTACCTTTGTATCTTTTTGCCTTTTGTATCCTTAAGTTTCACTGTGATAATGTCTACGTAGAAATGTTTTTTTTATTTATATAATTTGGGAGTTGTAGGGCTCACATGGGTCATGATGTGGAAAAGAATCAGCAGCAGCCTGAGGCAAATAAATAGTGCAAAAGGGCAGGATAACAGAGGACAATTAACCTTCTAGCATTTTTAGATGCACCCTAAAATTAACACCCTGAAAATGAATTTTCTCCATTCACTAAAGGATCTGTAAGATGTACCCTTGGAAAACACTTCATGTGACTGGTCAAACCTATGCCAAAGTAGTGAACCTCTGCTTTGAAACCTCTGTTAATCCAGACTAACCTCCTTCTCAGTTATGTGAGGTACTCTATCTCCATGAATTTTGAAACCAGAGCTTTAAGTTTCAGTAGATGATATGGAAGACCCCTCAGAGGTGAGTTTTTAGATCCTGCCTGGCCTTTCAGAAACAAATAAATGTTTGCTCTCAGTTTTAGATGGGCTGCTAACTCATCTCAACACAACACAGTATTACAACACTTAACCAATGTACACATTTGACTATGACCCAAGAAATGCAACCTCTGAAATGAACTGCTACAGCTGGAGGGAAAGGGCGTACACTCAGGATTCTAAAATTAAATTGTGCTTAAACAATTTAACAACAGCACCAAATAGTACAGTTTATTATAATTTCAAACCTGTGGATTGCTGTTTTTCATCAGCTCTGGTAAGTTTCAGCCAGCATGTCTTTGCATGTTGCCCTTGCCCCATCCTTTCTCGTAGGGAACTCTGGAGGTTACATGAGAACTCTCCAGTTCTCTTAACCTTTCATAGACCACATTTTTGTATCTGTGTTTCTTTTTGGGTGATTTCTTAGTTCCTCCCATTTTCCTTGGAAGCTGTTCTTAAATCAGTCTATTCAGTTTTTATATTTTAATATTTATATTTTTTGTATTTTGGAAGTAGGTCTTTTTTTAGGGTTTCCTGCACTTTGCTTATGTCTTCAGTCCCATTTCTTCTTAGTCATTGTCAACATACTTCTTTTTTATTCTATAGCAGATATTTCTAATATCTGAAATATTTGCACACCTGATTTTGCTGTCATTCTGCTTCCTCTTGTGATTCTTTCTTGTGTTTCATGAATTTCGACCACAAGCTCATGTTTCTTGCAACCTTATCTCTAGAGATTTTCTGTGGCTTAGATGAAGCTGAGCTCATCCAGAGACTTGTTGCCTGGGCCAGACAGCTGGCCTGTGTTTGTTAGGGCTAGCCTGCGACCATGAGAGTTCTCACGGGTGAGCCCCCCTGCCTCTCCTTCCCACAGTGCCGTGGTTGGGGAGAGGCGTGGCTTAAGCCCTGTAGAGGTTGAAGTGGGGTTCTCTTCTTTGTGTCCAGCGCACAGAAATGGACTTGTTTTTGAATTCCGACTTATACTGTAGCCATGGCCTTCGGAGTCCCAGATTCTCGTGGAGCCCGGCCTTTGTCTCCTGTCCTTGCTGTCTCCAGGAGCCTTGAAGACTAAAGCTTAGGCTTATCTTGTCTCACGAATGACCTCAAGGCGAACATTGGCTTTAGCATTCTCTTTGCTTGTCTGGGTTCCTGCTTTTACTCTATTTTTGCTTTTATAACATCACAGCACACAGGTGTGTTTTTAAAGTTTCGCTTATTTAACATTGCATTCAGCATTGTTTTTGCTAGAAAGTTTCAATTAGAGTTCATCCCCACTACCCTTCAAGAAAAAAATCTTCAGATGAGGTATTAATTTAAAAATAAAAGTGAATCAGAACAGTCATTACCTTTTATCCTTTAGACTTATGTCCCTTAAATTAGATCTTATCCTTTAAATTGGGTTTGTTAGTGTTTTAGTAATAATTAGTGTTAATTTAGCAAGTCATTTATCTTCTGCCTCAAGTCTTTCTATAATGGAATACTGCATAAATAAATAAAATAATATAATTTCAGAATTTAATTTAACACATACACTTAGTTCTTCAGAAGAATTGAGACCCATGTATCTTTTTAATCATAAGGATTCTTAAATTTATTACAGAGTTTTCAAAGTTATGTCCTGGAATGCCAGTTTCTTCTGGAAGAGGATGCTTTAAAGTAGTAAAAGATTTATAATAAAACACTAAGGTGATTTTTTTTCTCTTCTCTTTAATAATCTACAGCCAGATTCTCCTGAATACAAAGCTGCTTGCAAACTATGGGATTTGTACCTTAGAACAAGAAATGAGTTTGTTCAGAAAGGAGAAGCAGATGATGAAGATGATGATGAAGATGGGCAAGACAATCAAGGCACAGCAACAGAAGGAGTAAGTGCAGCCGGGGTGGGTAAGATGGGCTGTTGGAAGGTGGACAAGGCTGCTGCCTCTGATGTCCTGCGGCTGCTATGGGCAGCTGGGCTTTGTGCAGTTGTGTTGCTAACTGGGACACTAACAGGGCATACAGACAGAGCGCCCCACACCAGTTACAGTGGACCCTAGGACATCCTGTGCCATGTGGCCTGTCCATGCTTGCCTTCATGAATTGCTCTTGCATTATGCTTACTTACTGCCCAATTTTAAAGATAATCTTTATATTATCAAGGACTGGTCCAATATTGCTAGATTGAGATGTCATGTAAGATTAGACAGTGTTGTGAAGAAAAGTTGGCAAGTCATGGAATCACCTTAGTTAAAAGAATATTTTTGTAAGTGAGACTGGTTACTGTTTCTGGAATGTACCAAGTGTGTTCCTGCCTCTGGAATTTTGCAGTTGCTCTAATTTTTGCTTAGAATGTTCTTTGGTTCTTCCTGTGATTGATCCTTTTCATTCTTTTTTTTTTTCGTGTTTAGTTTCATGTGTATAACATAGAGAGTGACATTTATATATATTATGGAATGCTCAGCACAATAACTATAGTGACCATGTGTCACCGTACAAAGTTACTACAATATTAATGACTATATTATCTATGCTGTACTTTTTATCCCTGTGACTTACTTATTTTATGACTGGAAGTTTGTACCTCTTAATTCCCTTCACCTATTTTGCTATCCCACCAGTCCTCTACCCTCTGGCAACTAGTTTGTTCTCAGTATATAATTCCATTTCTGGTTTTTTTGTTCATTGTTTTTTAGGTTCCACAGATAAGTGAAATGGTATTTGCCTTTCTCTAACTTATTTCATTTAGCATAATACACTCTAGGTCTGCCCATTTTGTCATGTCACAAATGGTAAGATTTCATTCTTTTTCGAGCTGATATTATTCAATTGTATATATATTATCCATTCATCTATCAATAGACACTTAGGTTACTTCCATATGTAGGCTAGTATAAATAATGCTGCAATAAACATGGGTGTGTATATTAGTGTTTTTCATTTTCCTGAAATTTTCTGAATTTCTTGAGATGAATTAGTGTTTTCATTTTCTTTGGTTAAATACCCAGAAGTAGAATTACTAGCTCATATGGTATTTCTGTTCTAATTTTTTGAGGAACCACCATACTGGTTTCCATAGTGGCTGCACCAGTTTACATTCCCATCAACAGTGCACAAGGGTTCCCTTTTCCCTGCATCCTCACCAACACTTGTTCTCTCGTGTTTTTGATGAGAGCCATTCTAATAGGTGTGAGAAGATGTCTCATTGTGGTTTTGATTTGCATTTTCCTGATGATAGGTGATGTTGAGCATCTTTTAATGTGTCTGTTGACCACTGTATATCTTCCTTGGAAAAATGTCTATTCAGGATCCTCTGAATAGACTGTTTTTAATCTTTTTTTTTTTTGGTGTTGAGTTGTAGGCATTCTTTATGTAATTTGGATATTAATTCCTTAACAGACATATCATTTGCAAATATCTTCTCCCACTCAGTAGGTTGTCTTTTTGTTTTATTGATGGCTCCCTTCACTGTGCAGAAGGTTTTTAGTGTGGTACAGTTCCAATTGTTAATTTTTGTGTTTGTTCCCCTTGCCTGGGGAAACAGATCCAAAAAAATATTGCTAAGAGCAATGTCTACGAGTTTACTGCCTATGTTTTCCTTTAGGAGTTTTATGGTTTCAGTTCTTATATTTAGGTGTTAAATCCATTTTGAGTTTATTTTTGTATATGATGTAAGAAAGTGGTCCAGTTTCATTCTTTTGCATGTAGCTGTCCAGTTTTCCCAACACCATTTATTGAAGAGACTGCCTTTTCCCCATTGTGTATTCTTACCTCCTTTGTCATAGATTAATTGACGATATATGTGTGGGTTTATTTCTGGGTTCTCTGTTCTGTTCCATTGATCAATCAATCTATTCTTGTGCCAGTGCCATACTGTTTTAATCACTGTAGCTTTATAGTATATATAGCTTGAGATCAGGGGGCATAATACCCTCTTTGTTCTTCTTTCTCAAGATTGCTTTGGCTACTTGGGGTTTTTGTGGTTTCATATAAATTTTAGGATTATTTGCTCTAGTTCATTGAAAAATGCTATTGGTTTGATGGGGTTTACATTGAATCTGTAAATTGCTTTGGGCAGGATGGCATTTTGACAAGATCAATTCTTCCTATTCATGGGCATGGTATCCTAGGGGGAGTGGAGAGGTATGATTGACTAAAGGTGACATAATAGACAACTAGAAACTTTCTTCCTTCCAAGAGGGAGGAGGCTGACATCCAGGTCTTAGTTGGCACATCAGGATGGAATTTAGGGAGAGCTGTCCCCTTTCCATATACGGCATGGACTTTGGGGTCTGGTCTGTTCTCCTCCTATGGCATCTCTCTGTTCTGTTTGCATGTCCTTGTTTTTCCTTTCTCCAGCCTAACATACCAGCCTTTTGGTCATAATGGGCAACGACTCAGTCTGGCTACTTCCAGCTGACAAGGGGCATTGTGGGGGTTTGAGGCTGGTATTAGGCTGAAGGAGGGGGTTCAGTGGGAAGAGGTGTGTAACGGTGAAGTAACATCTGATTGGTGGCGACCCGGGTCATCTGGGTTAGCTGCTGTTGGAGGAACTTGAGGACACAAGGGGCAACTAAGAGTAAACCACAAACTGTTATTAAAGTGCCCAGTAGGGGCATTAGCCAGGCTATTATGGGGGACTGGAATTCTGGATCAAGTTTACATCTCAATGACTAGTATTGGGATTTAGTATAGATAAGACTGCATTATTGAAACAATACTTTTCTATAAAATCACCCTCATTTTTATTAGAAGTAGCTAGATTAAGAAAATAATTAACAGTTGGCTTTATTATTTGCATAAGTGCAGCAAGAAGAGCAATTGATTACATAGGCTCTTTTAAATATGCTTTGCTGGAACTTTTTGTAAGGAATTTCAGATTGAACTTTTAAGGGCCTCTTGAGGCCAGAAAGCCAAGCCAGACTTGCCATCAGGTTGTGCTTGCAGTACCTGTTCATTTGGGTGAATTCCTCTCTTCTTGAGGTTCTTGCACCTCCAGAAAGTGACCTTCTTTACTCACCTGGTAAGGCTGCTGGAAACTCTGTAAGCAAGGTACTAGGCCAGTTCTTCCAAGGGGCTTTGTTGGCTTTATAAAGTCAACCTTAGTTCCTTAAAGCTGTCTGTTCATATCTTAGTTTACACACGTGTCTCTCAGGTATGACATTCCAGTCAAAACCTTGTTAATATAACCAGTGATTTTAATTGGTTCTCTTACAAGGAAAGCAGATTCTTATTGAACTTGTGCAAATAAATACACTGCCATGAAATATAAAAATAGTTACTGAGAGTTTTTGAATTCTGGAGGGATCAGGTAGAGAGAAAGATAAAGTTTCAATTCTGCTTATAAAGGCAGTCATTTACTGAACTGTTGTCAGCTTTAGAGAAAAAGCTTAAAACACTTTACCAACAACATTTGAAACAAAAGGCAGGAAATTCGGGTATTTCTGTAACACAAAACATTCAGTAACAAAGTTTAGCATCATTCCTTTTGACAGTGCCTTCCAGGCAATTAAGCAGGTAATTATATATCAGATAAATAAGCCAAATACTTTCTCCAATGAGAAAAAATTCCTCTGACATGTTCCAGGGGCCCTCTGGAAAATACCAGAGTTAACTAGAGGCAAAAGCACCTTTTTGAATTTCATTTTGGGAAGTTGTTAAAAGTTTTAAGGCACTTGCTTAAATAGGATTATAGATTGCTATGAAGCAATACTTATCCAATTAACTAGAATGACAACAAAGTACTTCAAAGGCAAATAAAGAAGGTTACATAGTTATTATCAAAGTCTTAAAAGATTTAGCAGATAACATTGACTTAAATGACCTTAGGTAAACTTAGGCAGCTGATAACAGCAAGGACATGCCTGCTTCAGCTAAACTCAAATTAGCATTAATATTTAACATTTTTTACTAGATTTTCTGGAAGTTCCAGAATGCCCAATCTTCACAAGCACTTGTTTTTAAATAAAATATTTTTCATCTATACACCTAGACACACAAATGTACAAACTGAGATACAACAACTACAGTCAGCAACACTTTTCATATAAAAACATATACACAGATAGACAAACTGATACAAAGACTTGAGTCACTGATATCCAATTGCTGTCTCTCTTCTCAGCTTCTTGTCTGTGGCTTCTGGAACTAGAGGGCGGGAGGGGCGTGTTCCGGTGGGGGAAGAGGGCGGTGAAGGTGGAAGGAGAGGGGGAGGGGTGGTGCCGCCACCGGAAGAGGAGAGCAGGACAACGGCATGGTTGAGAATGCAGGACTTTAAGATGGAGGCGACATGTGTGAAGACAAAGAACTTAGAGATGGTGGTGGAGAGAGGGGGAGGGGATTGCGAGCTGAGGGAGGCGGGCGACTGAGGTTTTCTGGCGGATCTGAAAAGGAAGGACTGAGCAGAGTAAGAGGCTGACAGTCTTTAAGTGGAGATTGGGCCAGGAGAACCTGAGTTATAGAACACAACATAAAGGTCTTGACAGGAGTGCAAAGTCCAACAAGCCTGCACATACGGGATTTCATTCTGCTTTCCGCTCCGGTGGCAATAATTAGTTAAGTCGGTGAGGAGGCTAAAATCAAAAGTTCCCTCAGGGGGCCAGCGAGATTGGTTGTCCAAGGGATACTGAGGCCCGGCCTCAGAGCAAAGGAAGACTAACTTCCGTGTGCAGACTTCCCGGAACAAACAGAGCAGTCAGATTAGAAATGGGACACTGCAGCGGGGTCTGAGCCTCTGCTTTCATGGGCTGGTTTCCCATGTCTGCGCCCACTTCCCAAAAAAAAATCCCGCTGAGAGAGGCGCCCAGTGTCCCAAGCGCACCAAGTCAGGGGAGATGACCTGGGAGCCTGGGTGAGGGACGTCTCCCCCACCGCAGGGCCAGGAGTGAGT